TGACTGCTGACCTTTCTCTCTTCCTTCCTCTTTTTCTTTCTCTTTCGTCCTTATCATCGCCTGCCATCACGTTTCACGGCGCGGCAACACTTACTCACTTGCGTCCCGGGTCTCTCTTTTCGAATGTACAATATTCGTACCTCTTTCTCACTACTACTACTACTTTTCCTCCTCTTGTATTCTATTCAACTGACCGCGTTAGGCAATAGAACTACTATTATTCGATTCCACCCCATTCAAAAACATCGTCTTGTTTGGTGTTGGTTTGAAGACCAAGAAATCTAATGTTTTCGTGCGGAAATCTAGTTGAAAAGCTAGAATTTCATTGAAATTCACACCTGATTGCTCATGCACGAAGGAGAAAGATTTTGAATGTGATTGTGAAATTTCACATCCGGTCTTTGTATTGGAAGCTTTATTTCTTCACATTTTTGCATGGTTCTCTTCACTTTGAACAATGTGAAAAAATTTTTTTAATTGGAATATTGCAGCTATACAATCTAAAATCAATTTCGATCGTTTCTCTTTGTGCTTTGATTGTCGGGGCCTGGCAGACGGGCCGACCTAATGAAGTTGAATGATCGCTTACCGACTTGGCCCAGCTCAGTGAAATTTCTTCCGCAAAAATAACAAAAAGAACAACTGATCTTCAAATTTCTGTCGGGCGAACACAGCAAAAAAGAGCCGCGCGTTTCCATTTTTGCAAGCCGATGCGATGAGCGAGACCAAGACCAAAACCACGAGCAGAGAGGAAAAAAAAGAATTGAAACTGTTTGTTCAACGACTTTACACAATACCGATTCCCTCTCTCTCTCTCTCTCTCTCTCTCTCTCTCTCTCTGTCCTCAAATAGTGATCCTTCCCTTTTTCTGTTTGAAAATTTTGTATTGGGAACAGAAATGTGTTCTCTTCTGTTTTATATTGATTCGAATCGATCCTATCGTTTCCCAGTGATCTTTTGCGGCAGTTTGTTTTCCTACGAGAAAAGTCGAGGGTGAGTCACGGGGGGCAATGAGAAACACGGCTTTCCGTTTTTGTCCTCCCTTTCAGCTTTCTCACCAACTTCACATGACCGATACACGCGTTGAATCACAATTCCGAATTCTCAATTTAAAATTTCGATTAACGCAACTTAACGCAACTTTGTCATTCACGTGCCCCATTTCGTAACACTTTCTCCTCCGAGCTCTTTCTTTTGCTCACCCTTTCCATGAATTCCTTATTGCCTATTTCCATTCCACACTTTTTACTTTTTCGCTCAGGACCTCAGACACTGAAGTAAGAGAAAATGTGCCGAGTTAGAGGTGGTGGAGAGAAGGAAAAGAGAGAAAAATCTATTTTGCGCCAAGGTTGTTGTGTTCAACATATTTCGAAGGATTAGGACGGATTTGTCAAGACCAAGACTGGCCAAAGTTCTGGTCATCACGTGAACAATGTTTCCGGCGTAAACTGGAGTTTGTAGCGCAATTTTTGAACTGCATGCTTTTATAGACCCTCTCTAAATTGTTCTGAATATTTTTTCTATTAATTTTCAGTATTTCAATACTCGAAAGTTCTCTTTGCCTAAACGCCACGCCATGCGGTATTCTCGCCTCGAAATGTTCTCCTTAAATTGAGTTACCACCCATGTTTACCCGAGGACATAACGATGAGCATTGTGTTTTATTCATTCCATTTACGACGAGAGCACCCGCCACCATATGCTCAGAAAGTTTTCTGCGGGAAGAAGTGAACAGAGCAAGTGTGTGTGTAAATGAAAATGTGTTTTTCTCTCTTTCTCTCTCTCTCTCTCGGGTTTCCCGTCCTCTTCCGTGCGAATCTTCCTCTTCTTCTTCTTCATCGAATTCATTATTTGAACATCTGGCGCGAAGCATTGACCATTCTCCTCCTCTTCTCGCTCTAATGTGTCCCGTAGACCAAGACCAATTCGCCTCTTTTCCTCGCTCATTCAACCCGCTCGGCCACCACCGAATTAGTCATCCACCATCAGGCACCCTCCAGAACACTCGGAAAAGCACCAGAAACGAGGAGAGAAGGGGGCTCAGCGCTTGTCAGAATCGAGATATCCGTCATTTCATTTATACTCTCGAGAAAATAGGAGGAAATTGCGTCCTTGTCCTTGAAATGGCAACCCTCCCTGCCGGGGACAGCTGGACGGCGTGAAGGGTTGAGGTTGTAAGCATAAGATTCGATCCTTTTCACAAAAAGCGTCTGGTTGGAATATCCTGGCGACTTGAGATGTGATTCATCTCACTCATTTCAACAGTCATTTTCAAAAGATTATCAAAAAATTGTTATAGTTCACACGTTTTCCTACTTCTTAGACCGTAGGACTGTCCAGTTAACCCTTTCCAATATACGGACACCCTCACAGGAGGCACTAGCACACCCTCAGACTTCTGAAACAATTGACTGACTGATAACGCTTCACGCCACTCTTTTGGCACTTTATTGTCCTTTCTCTTGTTCTTATCATTAATAGAGTCCACTAGGACCACACCCATCTCCGATTAAAGATGTACTTTTACAAAACTTCCCTTTATGCCCATGGCACGTGTTTCTGTTCAGCAAAAACGCATCTGTGGTGGTGTGTGGCAATACCTACGTAATAAGTATGTGTCGGATGGAATAAAAAAGGCGAAAGCCGGTAATTGAAGCCCCGCGCAGAGGGGAGGGGGGCAACATCACCTATCCTACCCGCTGTCACCCATTTTTTCTACCTTCATTGCGCCAGAAGCCCCCTACGTCACCCGGAAAGAGGGGGGGGGGGGGGGGCTAGATGAAGACGGCTAATCTAATTCATAATTAGCGTACACGATGATGACTGTAACTGTCTACAATTAATTGGCGGATTGGTAGAAAGTGATATGTTGTATTGGATTCATTTCGGTAACCACACAACCACCCAAACAATTTGGATAATATTATATATGAACGGGTTTTAGATGTAGGGGGTGGAAGTAAAAGTAACGGGTGGGCAGTGTTCTGCTGTTAGTATATTGTTTCATTCTGATAGCAAACATCAATCACTGGATTAGGTTCACGCAGCCAATTTCATTAGTAAAAGCCCATTTGAGCACTTCAACTCTTTCAGTTTGTGCTTCGCGCTAATTCAATTCCATTTACTCTTTGCGGAAACGTTTGTTTGCATTTCCTCCTGAAAATTTCTTGAATTGGTGCCGACGGTGTCATCTTGAAAATACTTCACAAAACCCTATTCCATACAACATTTTTGACGGAAATACGCAAGAATTGTTGTGCACGACACGTTCAGATTGCAATTCTATTAGCGAAATCCCAAATCTCTTTAGAGAACTCGCTGGAGCCTGCCCCCATTCCCAGTAATCCCACTTATTGATCCTTCAGCCTTTATCCGTTGCCTCCCTTTTCCAATACAAGATACCTGGACTAGGCCCGCTGCTAGTACTACTACTACTCGCCCGTGCCTTTATCGGTTGTCGTTACCTTCACTCCTTCAAACGCTTTTCTTCCATTCATTTGATGCGTGCGTCGCCTTCTCTTGCGCCACCGACACAATCTATCTATCTCGTTGTCGTTTCGTTCTGTTCCGACCAGTGTCGGACGTCGGGTAAAGAGGAGGAAGGAAGGATGGATGGGTCACTTGAACTTTACTGTGTAAGTGTGTGTGTGTGTGTGTGTGGCCATGGACGCTGTTTTGCATAGTACCTTGAGAAAAACTCGTCAGGTCTACATATTCTAATTCTGTTTTTTTTTCTGTTGCATGCTGCGTTTTGTACTCTTTGCAGCCTTTTTTCGTAATAAGAGGAAGGGGTTAGCCGCTCGTCTAGACTCAACAAACGCCCCATGGAAAAACAACACGCAAGAGTGTTGAAATGGCCGAAATTCTTCGTTTCGACAATTGGAGGTGTCAAGCTCAGCTGAATTGCCACAATTGTGTCGGGCTAATGGCAAATCTGGGAAATTCCCCGTTGGTCCAGAGTGTAAAATGTTTTTGAAGTTTGGAGTCATTTGAAAATCTCAAAAGCCAAATTTAAATGTTCATTTGTCACATTTCGATCAAAAATCCAACATCTCCACTGAAAAAAATCGTCAAGAAATTCCTTCTTTTAAATCTTTTCGGGTTCTAATTTCACGCAAACGTCTTCAAATTACAATTTTCTCTATTCTCAGACTCATATTCCGTTCATCAAAGACATGCACGACTTTTTATAGAAGGTTTGATGTCAAAAACTCAAAAACTCAAAAACTCAAGAACGTCAAAAACTCTCACGTAATTATCATTATCATTTTGAAATTTTTTCCCTCAAAGAAACATAAGTCGGGGCTATGTGTCCTGAAGAGCAAAATGAGCCCTATCCACCAGCAGCCAACGGGATCGACGGGTAGGTATATCTGTCCAACGAGAGAAGCAGAGAAAAGAGATGTGTATACATATTCCATCGGGCGAGAAAAGCTGCTGCTCATCTCTGTGGACCCCCTTCTCGTCTTGCTCCTCTTGGGAGCTTCATTCTCTTACTTTTGCACCCCCTCCTCCAATTGGCGGCTGACCAGGGACTCTCTTGCTTCTGTTTCTGCCATCTTCTCGACCGCCTATCTTTCTTTTTCGTCCCTTCTCTACTTACTACCAGCGTTTATATCCCGTCGTTTTTTTCTGTCGAACCCATGACTCTACCCCCTCCATCCGTCTTTTTTTTGCGAACTTTGCCCTACAATTATATCTGTGTGCTATGAGCTTGCTGTTATTGAAGTTCGAACCAAGGCCACAACAAACAAATTGTTTCACTTTACCAACAACCAAAAATCTCACCTTGTTGAATTTAGAGCTTAAGCCAGAAAAATGTTCTGTTCCTATTTACGTACACCTTTTCCCGCTTTGCGTACACTTATTCTTACTTCTTGTTAACTTACTCGCTCGACCAAAAATAAAATTTCTCAACGATTTGCAGGTTCCCAAAACGATCTCAATTTGGTTAGGAAATAATCGACGCCGGACATCACTCGATTGATGGTAACGACATCATGGGAACGATGAACGACGGAAGCAACTGGGAGCAGTTATGGGTGAGTTTTTCAATTCTCCGAAAAAATGTGTGAAAGAGTCTATCAGTCGAATATCCACCAATACTCGGACTGACTGTTGTCTCATTATCTATTCCGAAAATGTTATACAAATAAGAACTCCGACGTTTCATAATCCGACATTTTGATACTACATAACGTATCATTAGCGATATCAAATTTATTGTGTGGTTCAAAACGTTAGCTTCCAAAAATGCCGATTTCTTCTCCCGTCACTCTCAAAACCCGAACCCAATGATTTTCCCATATATATACAATAATATTTGGAAATTGATCACAAAGAACATGAAGAGCTATATCTAATTAGCGGCTTCATGTGCATGTGAATTCATAATGATGATTCTCATTTTTACGCAACATATTCATTCGCGTTTCCCTTCTACAACTACTTTGCTGTGAAATCGAACCGCGGGGACCGAACGCATAAATATGTAATTTAGTAATGGCGAAGGAGTACTAGCAGCCAGAACACTTGAATTAGTCATGTAAACGCTAATAAGCGGCAAGCGGCCACCAAAAAGAGAGAAAGGAACACAAATATACATTCCTGTTCCATTCGCTTTATTAAAAATTGGGTGGAGAGTAGTGTGACTCTTCCTTTTCGACTGTACTTGTTCAAATTTGATCTCGACCTGGACGCAATACGTGATAACAGGGCAAGCAGCGGAAGAGGAAGATGTATGTCATAGGTGTGGCATTAACAGAACTCATTTCGTGGCTGCCTGGCTGGTCGGCAGGCTAGTTTGATCGTTGGTATCGTTATCTTTAGCAATAATAAGAATGGTTGCTTGCAGAACAAATAGAATCACTCCCTCTTACGCTTTTCTTCCATTTTTTTTTCAATGCAGCTGAATCGTACTGCTGGGTAATAAGTCTCTTATAATGTTAGATAGATTATACAAATGTTCATCTTCCCTTTCAGTTTTTTTATCCACAAACTTTCTAGGTCGGTCTTGTCTACCGCCCCCCTCCTTCTCTTTCATCGACAATTCATTCAGATGTATGCGGGTATGCAGATCTTGCTTCCCACCGTTTCTAGGGCGCGCCCGTCGCTCGCTCAAAGCGAATGAAATTCCCGACCTATCAAGACGTTTTTTGGCACCTTTTTCTGTGCGGGCATGAAATGAATGTCCTTGTGAGTGAGAAAGATATATTGAGACGAAGAGAAAGGGAGGAAAACTATCCGCGCGGCGCCCGCGCGGAACACTCACTTATTATGAGTTTTTAATCTTGGCGGCTGCGTACGTAAAAATATTATTGGATCGCAATAGACGAACACTGAGTGAGTGAGTGCGCGACGGCGCGGCGCAGCCGGCACAAGCACATATACTATCCGTTCGCTCTCTTTTCTCTTTTCCCTTTGCCTCTAGTCCTCGCGGAAGAGTGAGTGACTCCTCTTGATCGTCCTCGTCCCCCGTCGGAGGTCGGCGCATACACCTCAATCCAATCTGACCTACCCCCCCCCCTTTTCCTCTTTGACTCTTCTCTCGATCGACACATCACGTTTGACAATTCAATTCTATCCGATTCCCATTCACTTTGATACTTTACTGTACTCCTCTTTTTCTGTATTCCTTGCCCTCTGGCTCCGTCATGAGTTCGAGTACGTCATCCTCTCGTATGACAGCCTACGACATGTTTCGGTCTGGACGGGATACTGTACGCCTCTCGCGTGCATCAATGGTAGACTTGTTTCATTCGGCGTTCACTACGAACAATAACAATGATCACTACAATAACAGTAGTCACGGGTATCAAGAGGATACAGCCAGTCGGATTTATGGAACGAAGGTTGGTTTAGTGTCTAGTCGGTATGAGGATTATAGTAATTCGAAATAGAGGGTTCGCAGGTTCTGAGACGCTGCGTAACTTTGTAAGCACGTTTTTGATACATTCCGAACATGCGGCCGTCTAAATAGCTAAAGATGCATCTGCTGGAAATGGCATTTTGAAAGAGCCGCTTATTTTTGAGAAGTTCAAGCCTTGCTGTGCATAATTCCCTCAAAACATGCACAATCCGTATCGGATGACGTGACTTGACTTTTTCTAGTAGTGGATTCTCCCAATGGACCGTTACATTCTGTTAATTGTGCCTCGCTTTTCGAGTGACCGAATTCAAAAATCCAGAAAGTACACGTTTTACCACTACACACTTTTCACCTCCAAAACACTTGACGCACTCATCTCTTTTCTTTTTCTTTACCTTTTCGAGGGCAAACATTACATACTATACACCATCAAATGTGTACCTTTCAAACGAATTTCGAAAAAAAATCGGTCGCACGCGTGGGTGAGCATTGCATTTATGGTTGGTTCTACAGTGTTTTTGCCCCAATTTTTGCCTCAACTATGAAAGTTAGAAGTCTTTCACAAACAAAACACATGGCTGAATGTTTGTGTTTTGTATTAGCTCATGGGAGGAAAACATTGGGCGCGAGCCGAAGTCGGCGGAAAAATGAACAGAAAACAAGGAAGTTGACAGGACAATTGGGAGATTGAAACGCAACAGCCAAAGTTAAAATGTTATTGTTTTTCAGGACCAACAAGCGAATCTGAATGACTATACTGCCAAAGGAATCGACATGTTGGACCGAATACAGACGCTGGCCAAGGAACGCGCCGCCATCGAACTCGAGTACAGCGCCAAACTCAAGTGAGTCTTTTAAAACATGCTTTGTTAAATGGCAAAACAAATTTGTTAACTCTGAAACAAATTGAATTTTGTGGAATACACATAACACATTTTACTTTTCAGAGCTCTGTCCAAAAAATCACTGATGAAGATGAAGAATGAGAACGAATTATGGAATGCAGTCTCGTACGTCAAAGCATTTCAAGAAGTGGTTGCGGGAATCGTACCAATTGCCGTGCAGCACGAGGTAATATTTCAAGATGACATATTTTGTAACTAATTCAAAATGTTTCAGGTGATCGCCGAAAATCTGAAAAACAACGTGATTCCGTTCGCTGCTCAAAAGATTGCCGAGTACCGATCTGCCAAGAAACAACTGGAAATCGACAATGCCAACCTAACAAAGCAACAGAATTTGGTGACGACAGAGTATGCAAAGACGCTGAAGGAATACGGGTGCGTTTTTTTTTTTGAAATTCAATTAAACATAAATCCGGGACCAAGTAAAGGTCTGTCCACCTGGTAAGGAAGTGGCGAATGAAAAAAATTTGAACCGGGACGGAATTGCACGGGTGGTCTTGGCGAATTTCTACACAACTGAAAGTGTTTCTTGAATCAAAACATTCTTCGGCATACTTTACCTTTTTGAAAGTATGTATTCAAAGTCGAGAAGCAAAGCGAATTCATGATTTTTCTGATAATTATCAGCAAGAAGGCTGGTATCAGTTTACATGCGCCGGGTCGTTCCAGTTGCAAGAAGTGCTCTCCCTAATATTTTAATTTTCAGAAAATCGTTTAAAGAGACGGAAGCGGCTATGCTGAAATATGCGAAAGCCGAGAAGAACATGGAAATTTCGAGACTAGAGCTCGAAAAAACCAAGAACAACTATCAGCTGAAGTGTGGTATGCTCGAAGAGTCTAAACAATCCTACTTGGCTATGACAGCCAAAGCAAATGAAGAGCAGATGGCATTCTTCGACCGAAAACTTCCTCAACTGCTCGACAATTACAAGAAGCTGCACACTAACCGAATTTTAGATACTGTCGAGATTCTGAACAAGTGTGTCGAGGCTGAAAGCAGTGTGAATTCTGTTATCGGTTCGTTTTTGTAGTTTTTTAGTTTGCAAACTAATTTTCGAGATTTTACAAGATTTCTTTCCAGGCGTTTTGAAAAATCTCGAAAATGTTCTCAAGTAGTTTTGTTGTGTGAAATCTCTGATTTACTCCAGAAATCCCGAATTTTACTCGAGTTTTCTCGGTTAGCTTGGAGCATCGATCACGACAAGATTCCTTGAGATTTTTTGCGCTCTGTGCGCAAAAAAAAAGAAAAAGAATGTTACGGGAGAACTGTGCCGTCAAATTAACAAAAGACTTCCTGAATAAAAATGTTACCGACTCACCCAAAAATGTGTTGGGAATTACGAAGAATCCCGGGTGTACAACGATGCTTCAAAATAACGCATCGGTTTCCGACCGGGTTAACCCGGAGACTTTTGTTTTGAAGAATCATTAAGCACCTCACAGGTAAGTTTTCGTTCAACGGCATATATGGGATTATTCATATTGCAAACGTGGCAATTGTTTAGCAAGCTGCCACAATGACATGCGAACCAACATTGCGATGATCGATCCGGATCGCGATGCCCGACTTGTCGTGGAAACAATGAAGTCTGGACACCCCCGTCCATGTCAATTCACATTCGAAGACCTCGGCCATCCGCAGAACTTCCTCGGTGGTGGTAGTGCTGTGGGATCCATTGGTAATACTTTTTTAAAACCTCATATTTGATCTAAATCGAACTTTTTTCAGATGGAATGGATGCCACGCTCAAGAAGGGCACCTTGATTGGACGCAAAGACGGCAAGGGAGTCGTTCGAAAGCAGTCAATGCATCAGAAGTTCTTCGGTGCAAACGCTGACAAAAAGGGGGACAATGGAGACTACGGAACCCTTCCGCCACAACAAAGAGCCCGCAAGATCCACGCAAAGATCACGGAACTCGAGAAGGAGAAAGAGCGGGCGCTTCAGAGCAAGGAAGGTGTCAGCAAGATGCAGAATGCCTATCGGGAGAATCCGAAACTCGGAAATCCCAACGATTGTGACGCGCAACTCCAGCAATACGCTCGGGAGATCGACGGGCTGTGCAATCAGATTCAGAAGTACCGCATCATGCTCGAAGATGTCAATGCGCAACTCGGCGGCGGAGGATTGTCTGCGACAAGCGTCGGCGGTAGCGATACGCCGCCGTCAGTTCGTTCTGTCTCGTCGGCGTCGAGCGGTGTCACTTCGAGAGTGAACACCATCAATGACACACATCGCAGCGGAGGCGGAGGTCGCAGGGACAGCTACTCCGGAAGTGGCGGCAGCGACAACGATCCATCAGTGAATGGGAATGGAAATGGAAGAGACGAGGTATGAAATGGGAAAGAGGGGTGATTGACCCGATTCAAAGTAATGGAGTAGGAAAAAGAGAAGATAGCACATTGTTTTTTCAGCTGTACGAAGAGTGCTCGAACCCCAACCCGATTCTCGGTGAAGCCCTCGCTCAATTTGCTTTTGACGGAGCTCAGGAGGGAACCATCAAAATGGAGGCCAATGAGAAATTGTGGCTGATTGAGAAGGACGAAGGCGATGGCTGGACTCGCGTTAGAAAGTGCGTTTTTTGGATTTATGAAATAAATTAATGTCCCATTTTGCAGAGAAAACAACAGCGCCGATGGATTTGTGCCGAGCACTTACCTCAAAGTGACGTGGTACGATGGACACTGCTAACTTCTTTATATTTTTAATTATGGGGTTAAGCAGAGGAGTTTTGAGTTTGTTTTATCATTTCTATTCTGAGCAACGTTAGCACAAGTGAAAAAACAAAAAAGTTCTTCCTCTGTTTAACCCCTTTTCTTATCAGATTTTGTCATATTTTACCAGTTTCCTCAACACTCCCCCCTTTTTCTACATTTGCCACATTTCACGGTGTTCTCTGTTTTCAGCTCTTATTCCTCTCTTTTATCCCAAGTTCAACACGAGCTTCACTCTCATTTCCTGTTCCTTTTGCTCCGATTGCTTGTCGTCCAACAGTTTTGGAGATAATTTTTAAGGTTGATACCGTGTCATTTTGATTTATTAACTTATCCCCCTCTCTCCAAGAATCCATAACTTTTTGTGCAATTAATTTGCTGCAAAACTTCACTTTTTCTATATTAGAAAACAGAGTTTTTTTGATTTTTAGCCCAAAAGTCTATTGAGACCCTTTTCCGTCCCCTCTCTAACACATTTCAGTTATGTTATTGTAAATTCGGTAAGCTTTCCATTTATTTTCCATTTTTCAGATATTGTCTTCTATCTGTCTCGCCTGTTTCTTTAGCATTGATTTTGCGGGTTCCGTTGCTTCAGTAGGCATTGTTGCCGCCACACGCGCATGCAGAATATTGTACTTGTTCGTCTCATTTCTGAATTTCGAGCACATTGCAACCCAATGTATACAAAAACCTTCGTCCACTTTTTTTCAACCCTTCATCTCGCTCTTTTATCCATCTTATGTATAAGTTTCATGTCTTTTTTCGATAATACATGCTTCAAACTATCCATTTTCAAAGCGAATGAACTCACAGACTTAGAAAGCATCGGTGGACAAGCAGGAAAATCAACTTTTTTCAATTATTTTGAAAAATGTTGACGATTTTGTTTTGGTGACAATAGCTTCTAGTTATTTAATCGGTAACAAATGTTCCAATCATTGCAATTCGACTTTTTAATCTTACCAGATTTTTTTCAAGTTTTTTAATGTTCTCTGTTCTTCTTTGAGTTGATCACAATTCTCGAATCATCCTATTTTTCGGCACTCAGTTTAGTTTCAAAAAGGAGATAAAAAAATAATTTCGGAGCAGGAAATAAAGAAATAACACTGCATTCTTTACCAAAATCACTTAAATCATCAAATCTTGCAGAAACAAAGCACTGTTTGGATAAAGTATTGATTTCTAAAGAAATAAATAAATAAATTCGATGAACATTTTTCTCAGAACTCGCGGGAGGTGTGTTAAATGACCAAATCAGAGTGGGCTACGTTAATAAATAATATTCAGAAATCTTCCTTTGCACACAACACATTCTGGATACAAAAACAGTAGGGCGAAAAATTGCCCAATTTTATTGATAACAAACTATGGAAGAATGGACTGAGAAAGTAAAATTCAAAACCGGCACATCATCGAAACTTTATCACATCGGGATTCGTTAAACGTACAATAAGAACAAGGTGCATCCTGTTTCTCCTGCGTGCAACTGCTGCACATCACAAACGTGGGCCTAAACAAAATTTTCGTGGGCCGAGAAAATCATGGACCCGAGAAAATCTTATGAAATCTTTAATAATGTCTAAAAATGTTAAATGAACATTAGTGTATGTTTTTATGTTACAACAAAATGCCTTAACTCGTATTTATTGTTTGTCCTACATTTTCATTGAACTTTACTTAACTAAAGCTCAATTAAAAGCTTTGTTAGTGTTATCGCTTGATCGAAAATCCGTTTGGGCAGATAATTCCATGTTGGCTCAAATTCTGTAAACATACCAAAGAAAAAATTGTGCAGCGAACAATTATTATCCAACTGACAGATCGTCCATCAAGTATTTCCTGTTCGCATTTCCGATGCGTGTTTATGTTACCTACGATAATCATCATTTTCATGTATAAACACATAATCTGCGGAAGCAATTGCGTTGTCCTCAGCCAACAATATCTTTAATTGTTTCCGATATTGTGCAATTATTTGACATGCGGACGTGCGTATATAAGAGCGGGCAACTGGTCATGTCATATTCATACTCGATTCGATTCTGAGAAGAAGAAGCTGTCATTGGCAGAGATGAGTGGTGAGTTTGAAGTGGAAATGCTCCTCCTCACGGAAAACGAGTCAGATTAGTATTATCGCCTTCCTTGAAGCGGCATCTCGCTTCGCTTTCACTTTATATACCTAGAAAAGAATGAATTTATTCCGTCATATTCCACTGAGCAACTCTCAGCTTAACGGCGTCAACCATGGTAATTTTCTTAGCGATTTATAGTGAGAAATTGAGAAAAGCTTTTAGTTTTATGGATGAGAACGTTTTGTTTTTCATTTCTTTTCAAACTCGGTCCCCAGAAATCATGAACTTCTTCGCAAACCTTCGATTTTTCCATGATTCCCTAGATCATTTTAACTCGAGTGAGTGATTTTTGATTAGTGAATTTTTTTTTTCGACTAATAATAATAATAATTGAAAATATTTTTCTTTGAAAAAATCACCTGTAAGCACAAAACGTAGATTTTTATTTTCAGCCCTTTTCCAAGAAATCAAAGGCCGTCAACAAGACTTCATGAAGGCGTTCAATGCCGGAGATGCTGCTGGAGCGGCGTCTGTCTACGATCCGGATGGCTACTTCATGCCGAACGGACGTAACCCGGTGAAGGGACGCTCTGGTGAGGACACATGGCGCATCGGCCGTTCAAATCTGTGTTACTGGTCGGGAAGAAGAGGGAAACATTGTTACTTCCAATACAGTCTAGTTTCCTGCAATCGTAAAATATTCTGGTAAAAGAGACGAAGAACGACATCAGCGATTATTGTATTTGAATGTTTCAATTTGATCTATCAGCTGTTTAGATAGAAGTTGAGAAAAATAAGTCAAAATGGAGCATCGGTCTCATATTTTCAAGAAGAACTGTCGCAGTGCATACATACATAGAAGCGGCGAATCCAAAAACCTAAATGACATCATACACAAACCTTCACCTTCAGGAATCGAGGCCTACTTCAAAGAGGATATGGCCGATGGAGTTCAGACCGCTCAAGTAGGTCCTTCTCAAGTGGCTCAACCCTTATATTCATTTCAGATCATCACCGAAGAAGTGAACGGCGGCGGTGACTGGGCTTTCGAGAGAGGAAGCTATCACTTGGATGGGACCAAGGGAAGAGAATCTGGAGCTTACCTCCAGATCTGGAAGAAGGTTGATGGCGTCTGGCTCATCCACAATGACTGCTTCAACGTCATCAAGAAAGCTTGCTAAATGAAAAGTTCGATAACAATCTATAGTCTCGCTTTTCTTAGCGCTCTGATTCTTTTATAATTTAACTTACTGCTTCTAGAATACTCTGCTTTTCCTTTCTATATAAAAACCAAATAGAGCGCATACGTATATTGGCAAATAAATAACTTTACTCCGCTCCCATTGAAACAAAGTAGTTTTGTTAGGAAGCGAGAATCAACCAGTTCCACGTTCATTTCATGACCTCTAGCTGCGGAAGTCGGGGAACTCATTGGTGACAATAATCTCATAATCAAGTGGACTTCTTACAATGAGATCGTGTTTGTTCATCCTCTCTCCCCTCTCAACCCTCAATTCAGGCGCCCTTTTACCTCCCGCATGGTCAGAAAAAGAAAAGGAAAAGAGAAAAGGCGGGTAAAGGTCTCTCGGCATAGTATCGCAAACGCAAATATTGTTCGGTGAGGGGCTTCTGACTGGCTGACTGGTCAGTCAGTCCCGTTCCCGTTCCCGCGCTCTCGCGCTCCGAAGAGGACATACTTGCTCAATTTGCATATCTCCCTCTTCTACTCACAAAGCCCCTTTACCCTCCGGTTTTCCTTTCTTGTCTTTCTGTTGTTACCGCTCTCCTTTCTTCATAGCTTACACATTTGAGTGGTATCATAATTACAGTATTGTCGTCTTCTCAGAACCATGCTGCTGACTAAGCTTGGTGTTGCACTTTCCCTTGTTGGAGTGATTTACACAATCAAATGCTATAGTGGTGAGTCAATTGTTCAGGAGATTAAAAGTTAAATTCACAGAATCCATCAACCCTAGTAACATGTCTCTCAAATGATGATGAATAACTCTGCCATACCCAAACAGACATCACTTTCCATAAAAAAATGCTGGTAATGAATGGCGTCTCGGAACAAATTCATTGCAGGAATGCAAGGATCCGTAAATGGTGACACTATCGGAGAAATCGAATTACTGGATTGTAACGGCACCGACTATTGTGTCAAGTAAGTTCAATACCCGAACCTTCATCATTTGTTTGACAGTACATTAGTGAAGCGACGGAAGTTCTTTCAATTTGCAATAAAGATGAACACAATCTCCTTCCAGATTATTTCCAAAAACATGGCGATTAGTGTTGTTTGCTCTCCGAGTAGTTAGTCCGTCTTATTAGAGCTTAGGCGTAACGGAACGGCCCGACCTGCCAGCCCGTTTGCCTACCGTATTATCAGCCTGTACAAGTGTGCGGACCTCTGGTGTGTGGTCATTAGCAAATAAGAATGTATTGGACGAGGTGTTTTGTGTACTTTGCCGTGAAAGACACTGCGGTAAAGACAAGTTGCTTGGGGTGCCTTGAGGGAAGAGAAATAAAGGAAAATATCTTACGTGGCAAACATTTTACAATCCCTGAGAAATTGACAATCTTTTTAACCTTGTTCTTCTGGAAAACCGGAAAGTTCACAGTTAAAAAAGTTGGTTTCCCTGGATTTACTCCAAAATAAACCCGCTTCAGCTTTCATTTCTCAAGTCCCGTTTTCCCGTTTTCTCTGCAAATCTCACCTGTTCGTACGCCTACACAACTGACTACATTAAACACAATTTTCCAGACTCCCTTCCGCCGGCAATGTTGGTCGGAAACACTATGAGGGGGCTCAATACAGCTGTGACTTTGGAGAATGTCGGGTGAGATTTTCCCTTCTCTTTTTTTTCACATGCACCTGCTGATCACACACTAACATTGTGAAGGGAAAAAACGTCAATTTTGTTACAGAAAGAAGGGTGCTCGAAACGAGAAAACGGAGAGACGATCTGCTGCTGTACGACTGATGAGTGCAATGGAGGACATCACGCACAAACGGAAATGTTCATTGTCATTTCACTAATCTCCATGCTGGTCTTCATTTTGAACTAAGAGCCTAATTGGAAATAATGTAAAATGTGCAGTTATATCTTTAGGTACATATTTATCATACCCACAACTGTTCATCGTAAAATCTCTCGTACATAGTAGAAAAAACACCGGTCCTTGTCATTTAATATTGAATTTGTTTCTCTTTTTTCGGTTAATCTCATATTAATGTTCTACCAGTCTGTACATATAAATCAATTTGTAATCACTGTCTTGATCCAATTTGCCGTTTTTTCTTTCTTTGACCTTCAGCCTTTCCCTTCAAAGAACTTCATAGGAGCGAATGACGTGGGGTCTGAGAACAAGGAAAATAATTGTGGATATGAAATGATATCATAATGTTATGAACGCTTGACTCACCGAGTACAATTGCAGAACGCCGGTTGCCCTCATTTTTGAAAGTAAGAAATCAGCTTGGACAGTGTCCAATGGACACAGAAAATACTCCAATAAAGCGATAAAAATGCTAGTGCTAGGGCTATCGCAAATTGCTAGGACTATATCTTGTTGGCAATCTGTTTCAATTCCTAACGGACTTTGCGACGCTTCATACGTAGCCGGTTGATACATCAAAAACCAATCTGTTGAAATGGAAATCATAGCTGTCGGAAGCTATTCAATGCACAAATATGAAATGCATCTTTGCAAAATCTGAGCACTGTCCGGGCTGAGATAAGTTTTGCAAGCCGAGCCCGGCCCGGTCCGCGGCCTGTCGCAAGTATAATGCAATGTCGGATCAAACTTTGAGTATCTGTTCACTGTTCGGACTTTAGACACTACTATTCCCGATCATCTCAGAGATCTTGGCTTTCCCGCAAGAAAATCCCAACCCAGTTATTGACTATTTTAGGAATCGAACAAGTCCAAACATTCAAGCCACAAGAATGTGGGCGTGGCGAAAGCCTATGCTCAAGACAGGTGAAACTCGCGGAGAAGGGTGGAGCCAGTGCCAAGAGGCCAAGCGGGTGAAAAAGAAAAAAAGCTCTCGCCGTGAGCCACACACAGCTCTAATCTTATTCGGCTACGGTGCTCACCGAAAATGTGCAATATTATCAAAGAACCACTGGATATTCTTACCAACAAGGAGGTTCATGCGTTGTACGTAGAGAAAGGATTGCTGGTTAGTTCGTTTTTCGTTCACAAATTACACGTGTGTCTCGTGAGATTGGTAGCCTATTATGAGCTCGCAGAGCTTTCCATTGTGCTTTGAGCTTGGTTTGGTTGAGAAACCAATTTGCCTTTATTTTTCAAACCAGTCGGCTCCAACAAGATTTGGTCGATTTTTTAAATAAACTTTTACGATAAGGAAATATCAGTGAGCAGATGATAACGTGTGTCTGACTTGTAACCATAGTAACTTTAAATGAGTAAAGATGGAAAATCACCTGCCGTGAAAGGCAGAATCAGAGATACGAATACTGCATGTCTTGAGGAAAGCAAGTGGGTGTGGGGGAATTTTATTCACCTGCTTTCAATGCATTTTCGGCAATTTCACCGACAACTCAAGAAAGAATAGGATTTTAATACTTTAAGTCAAACACAGGACTACTGTAGTTTAAGGTAGTGACGTCAGCTAGTTTATAAAATCTATTGTCTCCATGAACTACAGTAGTCAGTTCAGTTAAGTCAGTTATGTAAAATGGATATTGAAAATCACATTTCAAAATATACCATTCCAGCCAGAGAACAATACACTGGACGTGTCTTTTAAGGATATGGAGTTGTGCCACAAACACTGGCCGGACAATTTTGAAGCGTAAGATAGAACATGCTCAGTTTTCACGCATTTTCTCACACATACTTGTTTCCAGGCTCTATGATATTGGAGCAAAGGCCTTCGAGAATTTTCTCATCGAGCGTTGTCATTTGGCCAAACTTTTTAGAGTAGAGCATGTCAAAGTGGACTCTATGCGGCAGCACTTTGTATTGGACCGCTGTGTTTTGCACATGCTCCAAATGCTTCATGAGTCTATATCAAAATATCATGATGATATGACAGGGAAAGGAGAGAAGACATGCGATTCTTATGAAGTGTTTTACAAAAAGATACAGATGTTCGGCGGAAGATACAGGTCTCTGGCTCCTGATGTGCATGTTCAAGAGTACTTCCGTTTGTTCAACGTGTGGATTGAGGTAATAACAATGACCAAAACAAGTTGAGAACAGGAGTTTAGAAGAGCGCTTATGAAGCTTATGAAGCGCTTCGAATAAATGTAGTTTCGTATAAACAAAAATCGTTTTGGATTTATTTCAGATTAAAGTAGACGTTTAGGCTATAAAGAGCTAGAAATTGACGGAACTCGCCGTTTTAGTGTTAGGTACCGCATGATACACAGAAACTCATATACACTTGAAATTATCCGAGTACTACGAATACATTGTCTTTTTTTGTTACCTAGATGCACATGGACTTCATCGTTCTCTCGTGCTACGAAGGGCCAGTTTGCAACGATGAACGTGTCATAATCGAGAAAGTGTGGGCGAAAATAATCTCGAGCATCAAAGTGCACTTTGTCTTCGGATGGCACCACAAGCTATATACTCTGACTCGTGACGAGTATGACTACTTCGCGAAAGAGAAACCGGCAAACGAGACAGTAAGTATCCTTATCACATTTCAGATAGATAAGTAACATTTTTTCCAGGCCAGATCCAGATTGATGACAAAGCTCACACGACTGTTGAGCAGAGAGAGTTTCAGCGACGGTACATCTTCAAGTTCTTACTCATCGAGTTGTCTGAATAACATTTCAGCCAGTACTGAGGACAAAGCGTCGCCGACCCGCAAAAACTCGCAGAACTTTAACCAGTCGTCGAGTGCCGGTCCATCGAGGTGAATCTCAAAATTAATTGTTAAAACTATGTATATATTTCAGAGCTCGTGACGCTCTTCCAGCCCGTGCGGCTCCACCTCCAGTCAGAACTCCTGCCAACTCTCGCGAGGAGGACATCATCCGGTCGGAGCCAATCGAAATCTGTGATATCAGCCTGGACTTCTCCAACAATCCAGCTGACTGCTCGCCGCTCAATTTCGCAAACCACTTTTAAAGTCGTTTTAGTCTTTTCCTATATACTCACTCGAATTATATAGCTTCTCAATTTATGATCTGTGCTTATTTTTTCTGTGATTGATAATATATTTGGCAAAATATCTATTTTTAGGTGTCACAATTTCTCATAACAGACGCAACATTTCATCTCAAACAATAAAAAACATAGCACTAGACCCTATAGAGATGGGATGTGAGTATTTACATGGAAAATCCACCCGTGACTTCGAGAGTGGCACCAGTCACATACGAGGAGAGATCGGAGGCCAGGAAGAGAACCGAATTGGCGATTTCCTCCGATTCGCCCATTCGCCCCATCGGGATTCCTGAACAAATGTCGGTAAGTACTTTCGGGGGCATCGCCTCCGTCATTGGGGTCTTGATGAATCCAGGAAGCACTGCATTCACGCGAATGTTCTGAAAATGTTCCTTTGGATTTTGTAGCAAAATGCAAAAAAATACGGATTCTTCTGATCGTCACGCGCTAAGAGTTGAAACAAACCTTTTTAGCCAGCTCCTTGGCGGCTGATTTCGTAAATCCGATGACTCCAGCCTTGGTAGCAGCATAGTTGGTTTGTCCAAAGTTGCCCATCTTTCCAACAATAGATGAAACGTTGATGATGGAGAGTGGGCGGTTGTTGTCATCAACAGAAGCTCTTACGAAGGCTTGTGACACCTAAAGAAGAAGGTTATCTGAATATTCTGCACAGCAAATAGTTTTAACTAACGTGGAACACTCCAGTAAGGTTCACTTTAATAACGCTGTCCCAAGCTTCCTGGTTCATCTTTATAAGAGTTGAGTCCTTTGTGATTCCAGCACAGTTAACCAAAATAGACGGAGTTCCGAGTTTCTTCACACTCTCGCTTAGTGTCTTAACGCTTTCGGCGCTGGATACGTCACATGCAAACGATGCGTGGCTCTGAGTGGGCTCCAGTCCTCCAGCGGTAGCAGCAGCTGCATTTGAGTCCAAATCAGCGACGACCACACGAGCTCCATGCTTGGCAAGGGTTTGAGAGATGGCTTTCCCGATTCCTGATCCTCCTCCTGAAAAATTTTTTTTAAACAATGCTGAAAGAAAGCTACACCATATAAGAAAACCAGAAAAACTCACCGGTAACAACAGCAATTCGTCCTCCGAGAAGCGCGCTCATCTTTTTCAAGTTGCCGAGCCGAGTCTGCAGTCGGTTTTCCCGTAGACCGATAATCAATAAATACCCAGAAATTTGAGAGAGCGCACACAATGGCGAGAGAGAAACACGTGTGCATTGGTCGATCTGCGTGTGTGTGTCTTCCTTTTTGTGTCAGGTGCCCTCCTCCCAACGTATGGTCTATCGGCATGTGTTCTGAGGTCATCTCCTGTGATCTGTGATAATTGAAATGTGAAATTGGGAGAGTATGGGGCTCGACAAGTTGTAATATGAAAGGAAATCAGCCGATTGATAATAGCGATAGCATGATTTTCGGTGTGAGAAGTAGCCTCAGTTTGGTAAAATACTTTGAGTTCCTGAAAAATGATAAACATAATACTAGAACCATATAATTTTAGGTTGAAAATCCAAGTCACGAATCAAACAAGTACAACTTCTATCATGACACACTAATGTTTGCAAAAACACATTATTTTATGGAGTCTTCAACACACAAGACTGATAAAAGCACGCTTTACATCACAAATAAGATAATAGTTCTGTTTCACTTACCATGAAGCTTCTTTTTCTGTTTTTTGCTATTTTTCCTATTGTGAACTCAATAACATGCTGGGCGTTTTCGGATTTGGAATATGAAGGAAGAATTGATAAGATTGATAAGGTGAGATTTTCGAGCAATAAAAATAAGTACACATTTTAAAGAAATCTGGCACGGTTCAGTATTCCAACTTTCTTTTTTTTCTGAATATGACGTTTTTAGTGTGTGTGTGTGTGTGTGTGTGATTTTCGCTTGAATTATTCAAAAAACCACCGTCGCTAATGAAATTAACAGTTTTAGATTCAAGTAACCTGCGAAGGTGACTATTGCCTAACTTTATCCGAACAGGGAAGCGATTTCAATGTCTACAACGGAACATGTCCAGATAAATCCGTTACGATCACAGATTGTGCGGTTAGTTCTATTATGTTCTTGATATTAAATGAATTTATGTGATTTTCAGACCCGAGGAGCAGGATGCCAACACGAAAAACTTCGTGATGTTTACGTAGATGTGTGCTGCTGCAATTATGATTTGTGCAACACTTCTCCATCATTCATCTCTCTTTTCCTGCTCCTGATTGTGATTGTGATTGTACAAATTTTCTGATGCTGGCACTGACATTTACTAAAAATAAATAAATAAATCGTATACAACTAAACAGTAAAGCTCATTGTAATTAAATAGAGAGTAATACAACGGAATTATTGCCTTAGGAATGAATGCAGATTAAACGAATCTGAACTATCGGAATACTTGACTATGCTAGTCAATATTATTGAAAAGGTTGGAATGAAAATCAATTGGGTAATTATGGGGAATCAGTTGGTCAGTGGTTGTTGCGTTATCCGATTGTGGGTTGGTTGCGAAGTTTACTGGAAAAAAATTTGTTTGTTTACGTGTAGAAAATACAAGTTATTGCTGTCCTATAAAATTCGAGTAATGAAGCTTACCAAGTTGCTCTCCGGCATGATGTAAGAAATATCATCCCATGGATGGCGGTAGAGTCCTTGTTTGAGACGAGACTGGTCGAGATAATGTCCGATGAATCCGATGGATCGGCCAAGGACGAATAGACCGTTCAATGATCCAATCTCAATGGTTTCGGCGGCTTCTTGAGTGGTGAACATTCCACTGTGGCGAAGGATATCAACGAAGAGGATCGCAATCGCTCCGTCCACGTTCAGGATGAGGTTGGGCTTCTTTGCAGTCGTGATCTTCTCCACTTCCAGAGCGTATTCGAACAACGGTGTCTCTTGTGCAAACTCCTTCTTATCCATGGCAAATCGCTTGAGAATTTCAACGCGCTTGTCTGGATTGTTGATCTGAAATTGTTTTTTTCTCAATTTATTCCAAAAAATACTTCACACTTACACTCTTGACACGATGTCCGATTCCCATGATGTGCTTTCCGCGCTTTCTCATCTCTCCCACAAACTGGTTTGGCGACCATCCTTGATCGAAGGCTTCCGAGAATTGACGAGCAGCTCCATCTAAAGCTCCTCCGAATCTGTCTCCAATTGTGAGAAGTCCAGAGGTCAGAGAGGAAATTAGATCCTTTCCGGCACGAGCGCAAACAATGGTGTTATGGGCGCCGGAAACAGCTGGTCCGTGATCGGCAGTGAGCATGAGGCAGATTTCAATGAACTTGTTGGCGTGCGGCGGGAGACGCTTCTGAAAAAAGATAGGGAGTCTCCAAATTTAGCCCGTTAAAAGCATCCGAAAGACTATTACGTTTTGTACGACATACCTGGAACCAAAGAAGACCCAACACTCCTCCGATTCCCATATCCGACTCCAGAACTTTGGTGATCGGCACTCCAGCGTAGTTCAACTCCTCTCCTCTCTCGTCGCAGATCGAAGTCATGAAAGAAGCTGGCTTTCTGATGAGGCCCAGTTCACGAGCCCAGGCGTAATCCATTGGCACTGCCGGTGGTGGTATTTCGGCTTGTGGAACGATGATCTGTTGACGGACAAGTTCGTCGTAAGTTTGACGAATCTTGTTGCCCAAGTCGTCAAATGACTCCGGGACAAGGGCTCCAGAAGCACGGAGAGCGGCGTTCTTGCAGGCAGCAGTCTCGCCAAGAGCATTGGCAGAGGCTCCAGCGTGTCCGAACTGAACCTCAGAGGTGATGTGATCAGCACAGGTTCCGATGCACCAGGCAACCAAAGGCTTAGTAACTTTCTTCTGTTTCAACAGCTCCACAATCTTGTACTCTTCAACACCTCCGACTTCTCCAAGAAGGACGATCATCTTGACGCGGTCATCGTTCTGATAGCGGATGACGTGGTCGGTGTAAGTGCTTCCCGGGTAGCGATCTCCTCCAATCGCAATGCCCTCGTAAACGCCATTGGTGTTATGGGAGATGATGTTGTTGAGCTCGTTGGACATGCCACCGGAACGAGAAACGTAGGCGACACTTCCAGGACGATAGAGCTTCGAAGCAAGGATGTTGTCCATCATTCCTCCGGTGTTTCCAATCTTGAAGCATCCTGGCTTGATTCCTCCGACGGTAGCTGGTCCGATAAGGGTAACACCGCGGTCTTGAGCAATCTGAAACCATGAAATCATTAGATAATTATTCTGTTATTTGGGGAAAGCGTACCTTGAGAAGCTTTCTGGTCTGATTCTCTGGAACTCCTTCGGCGATGATAGCAATAACTTTGATTTGAGGGAACTCAAGAGCTTCGAGAACAGTTTCGAACACAGATCTCATTGAAGCAAAGGTCACCATTATGGAAGCTTCCGGATGTGTAGCAAAGGCCTTGGCCATGGATTTGTAAGCCGGAATGAGGATTTCCTTCTGTCCAAAATAGTACTTCTGCTTGTTATCTCCAGTGAACGGATAAGTGGAAGCCACCACCGATGGCGAGTTTCTTCTACACACATAATCAAAGTCGAGCATGCCCTGGATAGCCTTGGCCTGTTGTCCCCAGATAATTGCCTTGGTATCATCCTCAAAAATTCCTCTGAAGCTGTTCAATCGGTTCTGCTGGGCAGTGGTGAGTGGATGCTCAACTGGGGCCGGACTGGTGGCTGGAGATGGTGAAGACGGGGCTCTCTCAGTTCCTCCGGTCTAAAATAATACAAATTATTTTGTTTCGTTTTTCTTCGAACACACTTACATTTCTTTCCGGGCTCAACAAGAATTGTCCAGTGGTTTGTGGAGCAGTTGGAACAGTAGGCATTGGCTTCAGTCCAAGAGCAGCTCCAACAATAGCAGTCATGTGGGTTTCAGGTCCGAACACATGAATCGGAAGCTCCAACTTAGTGGCGGCATCCTTGATACGACGAAGTCCCTCTTGATAGTTTGGTCCTCCACGGCGCACATAAACAGTCACCTTGTGCTCCTTGAGCTTTGATACAAATGTCTCAAATGCTCTGACGATTCCTCCAAATGTCTTGGCGACATTTGTGAAGTTGGCAATGGATCCTCCAATGATGAGAACCTTTCCTTCCGGTCTTGGTGCTCCTTCGGTCATCACCGAGAGGATCGTCTTTGCATATTCATAAGTTTGCGACTCTGACGGGTCTCCGGAGTACTCTCCATAATTGGCCAGTTCGGACGCTCCTCCGAGGTCGCACACAGTGTCGCTGAAACGAAGTTTGCTAGTAAATTTTATTTTGCTCACGACAGCTGTACAAATTGTACAAAGATAATCTATTTTTTTCAGTATCTGTTAAATGTGTGTGAACACTTCAAGCGACTCACGTGAAAACAACTGAAGCTCCACCACCAGCAACCATCGTCCAGACTCTTCCCTTTCTATTGAGAATTGTCAATTTTAAAGAAGCTCCAGTCTTCGCATCCATGTCAGAAATGTACTGTTCTTCAGATGTCAAATCACGGCCAAAGGGTGCCGGGAACTCCACATGATTCGGTCCTCCGTACGGTGTGAGCCTGCTCTTCCACTTATCAGCGCACAAGAAGTTGGCAGTTTCGTCAAGCTTCGCTGCCAGATCCAATACGTGAATGTGGTTGTTGAGAAGAACGAATGGGTTGATCTCGAGATAGGTGAAATGGAGGTCCTTGTAAGCTTGGTACAGTTCGACAACAAACTTTCTGATGGTGGCGTTGTCTTTGACCGGGCCGAGAAGTGCGGAGAGCTCTTCGTCGGACGGAGACATGGCTTTGTTATCGAGTTGCACTGGCACAAATACAGAACGGGCCTGCAAAGAGTTTTGATCTTAAAAAGTTATTTCGACGGATCTGAGCATAACTAAACGCTGATCTTGTGTGTGTTCCTATCAAAAACCCCAATTTTCTTTTACCTTTTCCTCAACATCTCCAATATCAACTCCTCCATGCTCGTAGAACATGATAACGTCACGGCTTCTCTCGCTGAAGATGGCAATATACATCTCATCCTTCTCCGCGTGTGCGCAAAACGGCTCCACAATGAACGTATGCAGGCGTCCCTCAGTCTGTCCCACTTTCACATAGCTATTTCCGGTCTTCTCGAACCAAGCTTTCAAATCCTGCGGAGTTCCGATCTTGACCAAACCCAACTTTCCGCGTCGCTTAATCAACTGGTCGGGCTTGATAACGCCCTTGTTATCGCGGGCGAGCCACTCGTACTTGTTGGCGATCTCATCGAAATTCTCGCCGGCTTTCACGTGAAACGCATGTGGAGCGCTGAGAAGACCACTCGACTCGAAATACTTGTAGAGAACCTGAATGCAAAATTTTAAAAATGGAGGAATTTTAAATCGCCCAATCCTTCAGTAAATACTCCTATCAGTTCTGAAAATACGTAATTTTTCGCACATTTTTTAATTGTCAGGCGGTTGAACAATTTTTTAAGCATTTGTGTGTAAGTCAGAAATTTGTTTTTTATTTGCGCTTTTTCTCAAACAATACACACTACATTTATTCTTTCACAGAGTAACTAGTCAAAATCTACAAACTGAAAGTATGCCTGACCTCTTTTCCGGAAAGTTCGCTGACAGCTTTCGCAGACATTCTTGTCTTCTAGATTTGTTGCTTTAAATTGAGATTTACCTGCAAAAAATGATTCAAAATTTAGTCTGAAGGCAAGATTCTTGCAAAAACAAGTGAAAAGGGATCGATGAGAACGGAACGCGGAGAACGAGAAGCGGAAAAACTCGCAAAGTAAAAGATATGTAAGTAAACAACACAAGCGCTCTTTTTTTGCGTCCCAGCCTGCGTCTCTCACAATTTCGTAATTTTTTTTGCATCATGGCTCTTTCCGTTCACTTGCTCCGACGGCCTTTTCCCTTTGTGTCGCCGCTTTTATACAGCTCATTCCAAATCTATGTACTGAGAAAAGAAATGAATACAAAACCAACTGTCGTCCTAAAAGTGCGCTGGCTCTGTCGAAAATTGGCTCCGTTTGAATAAGAAAAGTAGAGAAAGAGGGGAAGAAAATGGGGAAAAAGAGAAGAAATCAGAAACCTTTTGGGATTTCGCTTTGGATATGCCATCTTCTTTTCCATTGCTTCTCTCTTTTCACGTCTTCTTTTTCTTCTTTTTCAAAAGAGAAAGAATGTGCGTGGGCTCGGCTTTTTTTCGGAAGAAAACGGAAAACGTGACGTTCTAGAAGGAAAAGAAAAAGAAGATAGAAAGGGGACTGGGAAGCTGGGAAGCCAATTGAATATTCAGAAAATTTTTTTCGTTTTTTCTTCTTCAAGACGTTTCCGCCTTTATTTCTCTTTCACTTGCGCACACATACACACAAACCACGTACACTTGGGGTTAGCTATGAACACTCTTTTTATATCGGCCAGCCCTGCCCCTCTTTTCCAAAAGAGGAGGGGGGATGGTGTGATTTCTTATATCATACACACGTGGAGTGAACAACATTATCACCTTATCATCAGCACATTTATGCAAAAAGAAGCGGAACGACATGTGCATTTCTCGTGTATGTTCTTCCAAAATGTGGATGCGAAGAAGAATGGTGCCATTTTCCGAGAGACTCTCTTCTTATCATAAAGTTATTATGATAAGAATAAGGACACGATGAAAAGAAATAAACACGATACACCTAGAGTGTACCCGGATGAACGGGCACCATGCAGCATCAAGGTAAAACGCAGAATATTTTAAAACACTGTTCAAAAATTAGCATGAATAAAAGAAATCAATCTCAAGATGACAGTGGACACCGCATAGAAGACTGTCATCACTCTCATTGGCAACCCCCCTGCACCTTTCACAAACACCATCTGGTTGCCTCTGGGAAGGGCCTACCCAGGACAGTTGCAAGTCTCAAGAACAGCATGGAAAAAATCTAAAAATTGGACAACGATGAAAAATGCGAAAACCAGGTGGAATTTGGATAGTAAAATATCAGATTCTACTGAAAACTGATCGAAAAAAGTTACACCTAGTGTGTACCCGGATGACCAGGCTAGACGACAGCAAGAAATTCAGACCACCCCCTCCTTCAGTCTCTTAAGATTCCGTTCGTATCTGTAGGCAAAGATCTTTGTCGTTTCTTTTCAGGGAGACGACGGAGATGAGAAAAAATGCGGGACGGAAAGAAGAGAGAAAAGTGAAACGTTCTGGGCGCGTTGTGAGGAGGATGAAAGAGGTGAGCGGGGAGGGTATTGAGGTCATGGACAGAGCGGAAAGACACGCACACAACAACGTGTTAACAATTAGAAATGGATGAGGAAAAAGAAAAATTACGATTTTTATACTGACCGTGAAAGAAAGTCATCATTTCAGTACGTGAGTGTTGAGAACTGTAGGCAAGGGGGAAGGGTTTGTACTTTTCAAGGTACAAGAAATGGGTATTTGCGCAGACTACAGTGACTCCAGTAAATTTGATTACACTCAAATCTGGTTACTCTTGCTTTTCAACGAAAAGCCACTGAAAAAATCATTTTGCTTGCAGAAAAACCAAAGATTTCTTCAACTAGCTCTATTCAATTTCTATCCCCAGAAAGAAAATGCCCCCCCCCCTCCCCAATTCCTCTTTTTGCCCCTTGTTTTCTTTCCAAACCAATAGATCACATGGTGGCAGGTCCCAAGAAAATTGAGAGCAAAAGATGGATGGCTTCCGGAAATGGCACATTGTTCAGGCGCCTCTTCCTCACACATTGAGTCATCCTTTAAAACCACTATTCTTGAAGGATAGACGGGGGCGGATGTGGATAAAATCAAGACAAATGTGTGCAGACAATAGCACAAAAAGCTACAGACTATAGGAAAACTTTTGTAGCGTCTGACAGGATGGACAACATTGTTACTGAGGAACATTTGAAAAAATACAGGAAAAAAACGCAAAATTCTCTTGACAAATGAGAAAAATTCAGATTTGAGGTTGTGTGTATTGAAAATGCTCACAATCTTCTTTGCTATGTTTGGCAAAAAGAAAGAGAAAAGTCGACAATGTTATGTGAGAAGGGAGGTCTTATTAGACTTATTATGTACACAATCTTCAAGTGAGTTGATGAGAAACAAAAACAAACAATTTGCTTTGTGTATGTAATTTATTAGGGACCGAATATTCTTTTAACACAACTCTAAACAAATCGATATTATCCGATAAATGCAAAGTTAGAGATTCAGGAGATTACCAGCTCTTTTCTGAACGTACACTGCTCCACATAATCATTCCACTTTGATATTTCACTGGAACACCCTTTGCTATTAACAAAATAATGATTACTTTTTCAGTTCACCCTCCAATTCTTCCTGACCGTCGAGATGATCATCGCTGCTCTCGCTTTGTAGTCGATACAGATCGACGACAACATCTACATTCCGTTGTTTGCCGTTTTGGCGCTCAACATCTTCCCGATGGCTCTCTGTACTGCTCTCCACTTTGCCATATACCGTGTCGTTTGCTGGGTGAGTGATTTTGAAATTGATTCCATATAAGTTATGGTTTTAAAATTTCAGATCTCACGCATGATCGCTATCAGAGTTGAGCGGAAGAATTCAACGGAAGAACACGGAAGAATTTCTGTCTTTTTCAGAAAATTTTTTCATGAAATGTGATCAACTGACGAAATGTAAAGCAAAATGAACTCTGCTCATAAAAAAATAATTGTAAATTTAGCTTTTCATACAAAAAACTTATTCGAGTTGTTCCGTGAAAAAAGTGCTAACGGAAGACGGAAGGACATTTTCACGAAACAACTCGAATAACTTTTTTGTATGAAAAGCTAAATTTACAATTATTTTTTTATAAGCAGAGTTCACTTTGCTATACATTTCGTCAGTTGATCACATTCCATGAAAAAATTTTCTAAAAAATATAAAAATTCTTCCGTGTTCTTGCGTTGAGTTTTTCCGCTTAACTCTAATCGCTATTGTTGGAGTCTACCACAAGTACGATTTTATCATGGTGCCGCCCGCCTGCGCCGTCTACTTCAGCGTTGTCGAATGTTTTCACGTAGTAAGTTCGGTTCACATTCTTTCAAATCATCAATCAATAAACACCTACTATCGGAGAATCCGTTGCCCTCGATTAGCAGTTACAAGTTTTCGAATCTCTCTATGAGTTTTGGGCGGCCAACGAAAACGCATTTTCCCACGACACGTTGTTGTCTGGATTCTGCCGGTCGGAGCCGGCCCGGGCCTGGCCGGGTCGTAACAGAGATCCAATTTGCACAACTCGTGCGTTTTGAAAAATGTTTACATTCACTGCAGTTTCTTCAACTTTTCTGTTTAGTTTGTATGTAGCTGTCCTAAATTTTTTTATTGTCAGTTTTATTACATTACCCATCTTATTAGAAGCTGGAACTGTTTGTTAACTCGTTTTCCTCTGCAATAGCAAGTGAGCCAAGGTTCGTTTTTTTAAATTTTCTCCTGTTTTGACAAAAAGCTAATTTTCCAAGACGAAGAACGTCTTGGGAAACGACCCATTTACCAGTAACTTACCCCCTCTTCCAAAAAAAAGAGAGGCTAACGAGAAAACCGGGTTAAATGGAAGCAAACTCTTCACCAAAAACCATTTCAACATTTTTTCCGCTTTTCTTTTCTTCCGTGACCATCATCACCAAAGTCCACGTGCTGGCCGTGAGCCAGACATAAGAAATCAAATGTTTAGGAAATTTGAATTTGAATTCGCATGTGCATGTTGTGAATAGTTACAAATCCCATTTAAAGTCGCCCCCCTCTGTACCCCCGAAAAATGGAGGGAAGGGGGTGAGAGTAGGAGGTAGGAGGTAGGAGGTCCGTCTCAAAATCAAATCTAACTTGTTCAATTTAGTTTATTGTCCTAGTTTTCTTCACAAAAACCTAGTCAAAAGATACGTTTTTTTTTGCCAGTTTCTTGTGAATAGAACCTCTCTTTTTTCGCCGACAAAAAGGGTTCGTCACATTTTTGTGGATGTGTGTCGAGCACACTTATCTCTCTTTAATATTCGGTGCTCCATGTGTTGGAAAAAAAAATGAAAGCAATAATATTCGTCATGTTCCATAATGTACTTGGGTCCATCCAATCCACCCACAAAAACCTTTTTCTTCTTCTTTTTTCATACTTTTCCTTTTTTATTATTACATTTGTAAGAGGTAAAAGTAAGTGGGTGTAGTCGATGGGTTCTTTTCATTTTTCATGCACTTTGTGTTTTTAAAGATATGTACGTACATGTTTTTAGAAATTCTATATCTTTCCATGGATTCCGTTTTTAGAACGCTATCAGATGGGGTGGGCACAAGGTTTCAATGATCGCAACATGATATTCGTGAACACGTGACAATTTTTTATCGAAACTTGACTTTTTTAGACTTTTTAGCCCATGATTGTTTGAATGGTTATTGTTTTTCAAATTGTGTTCAAAGAGTTTCTGTTTATATGACTCAACACTGACACTGTTGATCAGTGGAATTTTTTTTCCACATCTAGGAGTTACAGTAGCACCAAGAAATGTGAAAGGGTGGACGTCTTAAAGGCATTGTTTAGTTTATTAAACTATACTGTTTTAAGCAAGTATCGAAAACCTACATATCCATATACAATTTCAAGTCGCCACTTGAAAAAAAGCCACATTTTCAGGGCAGCAAAAATGTGACCTAAATTCTCGAGTCTAGACTAGCTGGACCCCTCTCTTCACTGCAAAAAAGTAAATTCATCCGACCATTCAGAGCCCCGCTTTCCATTTGCTCAAACTTTTTCTTGTATTGTTTTGATTCACCGATGAAGAATCGAAGACCACCCCTTCCCTGCTAGTCCCAGCTTCTTCCGTCATGTGGTGGAATATGAGATGGAACATTGAACATGAAGAAAAAACCCCGGAATATCAGAGACAAAAAGCATTGAGGGGGGTACTCCTGTGTTTTGGCTGGTTGCAGCAACATGTTGTTTTGTGCCCCCTTACCTTTCATTAACGTTTACTCATTTTTCCGCCATCTCTTCCTCTTCTTATTTTTCACTTCTTGACTTGACTCATAGTTATAGCCATCCAACTATGGAGAAGCGAATGTTAGCGGAAATGTTGAAGAAAAAAAGAAGAAGTAGGAGGAGAAGGAGCAGGAAATTTGAGCCTTGTTCCTAGTCATAGCATTTGCGCGTTCTATCCTTTTCCCATAGAAGTTAGTCATCTTTTGGGGAAGGTTTGACCACACTTCTGTTGTTAATTGGACTTGAGCTTCTTTACTAGGCACTTCGTTTGTAAACTTTTCCAAATAATCTCCAAAATTTCAATGAGAACTTTTGTTGAAGTGTTTGACTAATGCATTAAATGAAAGTTACAACAAAAACCTCATTTCTGTACTTCTTTTTATACGATATACCGTAATCACACAAACTCTCTAAAACCATTTTTTCCAGACAATTTGATATTTCTTCCTCGGTTCTCCGCCGCCAAAATATGGTCTAAATGGGTTGTTGCATGTCATCAGACCAAGATTCGGCAAATCAACACCTCCAACCTCATGGACATCATCAGTTCCTGAACATACACGAAGCTCGCAAGAGAAGGCAATCGTTCGTTGTTTTCAGAAACTGTAATGCGACTGCAAAACGAAACACAGAACACAAAAGATGTCTATATTTTCTTGTTTTGCACTGTTTATTGTACTTCTCGTTCAAGTCTGCCTGTTGCATTGAAGTTTCACCGTAGAGTATAGTGGAAATCACCGAAGCACATTTTTGTTGACACTGGGCACTGATTGCTGAAAAGATATCAAGATAACCAAACAATTTGTTTTTCAGTTCGATGGGTGTTGGTATGGGCGTTGCGATGATGATGCAGCAGGCTGGAGCATTGGTTGGAGCAGCTCCAGCTCCGCCGGATGCAGCTGCTATCCAGTCACAGATTCGAAAAGCTAAGGTGAACATTCCTATTTTATATTTTATCATTATTTTTCGGTACAATATTCAGCAGCATAAATTTGGAAGAATCGTATTGATTGTTTCTATTTAGGCTGAGGGTCGGACGGTCACTATGGTAAATGGCGCTTTGTACTTTGACTATCAGCTTGTTGCTCGGATTCCACCTCACTACGACATCAGACTTTGAAGTGAATTGTTCATTTTTATGCCTGCATAATCTTTAAGTTTTGTCTGTTCGCTAGGAGTGCCTTTAGCAAGCGTACAATGTCATAACTTTCATTCTGTCCTTCTTCTCCCTTCAGATCTCTTGCTTTTCTGTTTAACAAACCAGATCTAAACAATTTATTTTGTATTCAAATTTCAGTATTCCGGAGAGTTTATGCATATATATTTTCCGCTTCCTCGACATGTGTTTGATTTTTAAACGTTTTATCTAAATAAATCCACACAAATTACGGAGAAACAGTTGAAAAATATAAGAAAATGATTTAAAAAAAATCACCTGAAAATCTTGGTTTCTTCCTCAATTCTAATATCATTTGGCAAATGAATCGGTTCCTCCTTCTCATTTCGGATGGTCACTCTTCCATGAAGACGCACATTCCTGCCGAAATACACATCTCCAGACACATTGAACTCGGTGCAGTTCCGCATGTTTAACGAGTATGGAAACCGCTTGTCGAGCTGTTCCACACTCGAATACACTTTGGGGTCGAGGTTAATGACTGGCGGGTCTCCCATGTCATGGTTGTGGTGGATAGTGTAAGTGGAACGGTTCAGTTCGTGGATGGAAGAGCGAAGAGACAACAGGTCGCCAAGATTCTTAACGGGACGGAAGCGGTTTCGCTGGACATGGACGCCTGCAAATGTGATAAATTTAGAATATTATAAGGTTTTTCCATAAAGTTTCTTAGAGAAAACTCACAGAGGGCGTTTGTGAAGTTTTTGATACATCCACCAATTGAGAACTCTAACTGAAGAACGTCGCGTCCCCGAACCTTCTTCTTGTTCACGATAATTTCACTTCGAATGTTTGGTAACAATCTTTTGATGGCTGACAAGTTCACCCAAATGTTATTCGTGTTAAAAATTCTGTAATAAAAATATTTTATAGTAACTAAGAACGAAGCCTCACTTGAAAACTTTTGTGGAGCAGAAATCAGGCAGATGCTCCGGTGGGACTTGCGGCATTTCCAAGTGCATCATTTGGTTGTTGATCTCAATCAGAGTTCCTCCTTTGATATCAACTTTAGTCTTGTTGGTGCATTCCATAATGTAGTCTACGGGTTGATCAACCATTAACTGGACAATCGGAAAATAGGTGTTTGCTCCCGTGTTATCAATATTAGCAATAAACACAATTTCCCGTCCCTCGGCCAAGAGTTGATCTAAAACTCCACTGTTCTGCAGCGATTGGAAAATGTTGCCATGTCCTGGTGGGCACCAGCTGAAAAAGAACCAAAATTTCAATTGTCATTGCAGTCACTTCAGAATTGGATAACCGGAAACCTATGTTTTTCGAAGACCAGTACTTTTGACCCACTTGCAATGTTCCGATTGGACCCAAACTCTTCACTCTTCTTAGAACTGGATTGAAGCATATTGGGTCTAAGATTCAGACCGATCGGATTATCTGGTCCCAAGATATACTAATTTGAACCCGAAAGTACCGGGTTTTGAGAAAATTGCGGCATTTTTGGTCTCTGCTACCCATATATCCTGAGTAAATGATTCGATTGGTCCGAAACATGAGCCCAAAGGACATGCAAAGTTAATGTTTGGTAAATTATTGCAACTGGGACAAAAGTCTCGGCAGGCCTTCTAAAAGCTTGGGCCGGCCTTGTGCCCAGCTCTGACTGGAGCACAAAAACTCACGCATCGTCTCCCCATTCCTGCGTGTCATCTTCAATCGGCAGTTTTGTCTGCGCATTCAAACGTGGGCACTTGGATTGCACAAATGTGCGCACATTCTTGTATCCTTTCTCCTTCAGATACTCATTAGTGTCGTCATCCGTATAAAATGAGTTCATGAGGTACAAAGGAGTTGTTACCCCAAATGTTTTGCACATTTTCTGCAAAATATCAGTTAGAATAAGAGGCTAACAGATTGGACTGTTACATCATGCTCAAGAACAGCCAAATCCATGAACGTGAAGCCATCTCTAACTTCAATAAGAGATTTAGCCTTCTTGCAACCCATTGTGGTTCCAAGTCCACCGTTTAGCTTGATGACAGCGAGCTTGTTCAAGACAGTAACTCTGAAATTATCTCCTTGTGTAATGTGATTCAAAAAAGTTGATAGCGCACCTAGATTCATCAAATGGAGCAATATTCTCAATAGTCACTTGCGATTCTTTCTTTATAAACTTCCACGAATTCCAGTCGATAAAATGCTGATCATCCAAATATTGGCCGTACAAATCTTTGAATATATCAGCGTCATTTTGAGCTTTCTAAACAGATAATATTGATGCTCAGTTGGAAAATACCGCTCAAAAACCTTAGATTGATCAGGTTGTTTTTTGAAAAAATCGTCCAACTTTGATTTTAATACGTTATTAGCCACGTCAGTCATCTGAAATTGCCGAGAATTCAATTAGTTTTTCAAAATGGCATGATGAGAAAAGTAACAAAAATACAAAGGTTGATATTACTTGGGGGTTGTAAAAATGAGAAGGCGAGATAGATATGTGTATACAATTGTGAATGTCAAGGCCGCCAAAAAGGGCGAGCGACGGAACGATTCTTTTGCGTGGTCGTACGGAAAAAAACAGAAAACGGAGACGCAGGCGATCATATATTCCAAAGATATGTTGGTAGCGGTTGAAGTGGAACAAGTATTGTATGCTCTAAGTGGATTTGAACGGAAGTCCTCTGGCTTCCAAACAATCAGTCGGATGTTGAGGAAGCTGCCGATGATGTATAATGATGTATAATAGATCCTGAAATATATTCTGTTTGTATTGTGAAACTCTGCTGCTTCTTATTACAGCTACGCTGAGAAGAGACGTGATGTTCTCCTGGACGCAATTATTCAATCCAGTAGATACTGAAAAAATGTGGAGTTTTTTTTAGAAGTTTCAAGCCAGAGAACCATACGTCTCCCACTCAAGACGTGATTCAGCGGGATGCTCGGATTGCGACTAGTAGCTTGCCCCTTTTCAGCTGCCTAATGTGTAGTGTCTGAAAATATATTTGAGAAACGGCTAATAGTTTCTAACTAATGCCTGGACTTCCTCCTATTGTCGGCTGAAGATATGACCTACGTTGTTACCGGCGAGGTCCGATCGATTCTGGGAATTAATCATATTTTTGCACTTGAACAATACTGTCTGATTACAAGTACTAGTAGCATTGAGTAGGAGGGTGCTGGTATCCTTGAAGCAATATCCGATCAAGCCAACGCTGAAAGCAGACAGGTAATTGTTTTCATAAAGTTCTCTCAACCCTACCAAATATGTATATGTTAATTCCAACAGATCGCACAACCGAAAAAGACCAATGTGATGCTAATTAACCAGCTCCTTATCACTCTTTTTCCGAATCCTCTTGGCACCGTGCCATGACGTTTCGAAATCCTAATCGTTCTTTCCCATCTTCCCCATCCTTATCACTAATCTCCGTCTGTAATTAAGTAGGCTTCTGTGAAACGTGCTGCATATCCGCTTGAAGCTCACATTCCCACACCATCTTAATTAAAGCCGGAGATTAGTGATAAGAATATCGACAAAGGAGCCAAGTCCACTAATTAGAATGGCCACGCCCACCGGGGTATATAAAGACAGAAATTGTCATTTTATTTATTGCCGTCCCGGTTTTTTTTCATTTCTACCAGGGCTGAGCAATTGGCCGGCCCGGGCTTTTCGTTGGCTTTTCGTCGTTCCTTGACCTGGACTTTTGAACCACTTGCAATATTCCGATCGGACCCAAACTTTCCAGGATTGTTGCACATGGGTTGAAGCATACTGAGACTAAGTTTCAGACCGATCGGATCATCTGGTCCCGAGATATGTGGAAAATTGGCCGAAATTGGCCGGAAGCCCGGGCTTTTTGGAAAAAATCGGCCAATTATCCACATATCTCGGGACCTGAAACTTGGTCCCAATGGCCCTCAATCCAAGTCCAACAATCCTGCAAAGTTTGAGTCCGATCGGAATATTGCAAGTGGTTCAAAAGTCCAGGTCAATGGTAGGCCAACGAAAAGCCCGTGCCGGCCAATTGCCCAGCCCTGATTTCTACCCATGGGGAGCCCTCCCCCACCCAACCATCTCTCTTCTTCCTCTGATTTGACGTTATTGCAATGCAACAAGTCAATCACCCAATCTCCTCTCTCTTCTTCCTCTGATTCGACGTTATTGCAATGCAAGAAGTCAAACTCTTAAACATCTCTCTGTCTTCCTCTCTCCGACATTATTGCTATGCAGTAAGTCTTACGTTTCGAAAAGTTATGTAATCAATTGGTCATAACTTATATCTACCAATGATTTTCCTGTGATCTTCTGGAAACGCATGGAAAGACAGCTTCAACAGCTGGTAGTGCGGCGTTGAATTTCACGGTGATATCATAGGTCAGTTTCCGGGACCTCCCTTTTCACTACTGAAGGGAAGCTATCCCTTTCAACAGCTGATGTCCCGCTGTTTTATTGACTTTGGCCACGTCATTCAAAATGAACAACATATGCTATCCAATATTCTCTCAAAAAAAGCAACAAAAATTGTTTGTTTCGATTCAACTGAATGCTGGTGTTCTTCTGATATACTTATAGTTGTTCCAAGAAACAGCAACAGTCTTGATGGGATGAATGAATGAATGAACTTTTAAAGTTTATTTTTATCCGTGAGTACATGAGTGAATTAGATAAATTTTTTTCAGTTGATAACGACAACGTGACCCCAAGGTTATAATTGTCAGCTCCTACTTTTATTCAGTTCATACTTCTCCTCTTTCCTTGTCCGAAATCTTCAATCTCCGATCACTCTCATCGTAAAACGCATGAGTCATCGCTCCAGATGGACCGCGCCACCAATCGAGTCCGGTTCGACCCCGTAAATATCCGCCGTCTCTCTATGTCTTTTCCTTCTTTTCTTTCTCCCCACATGAAAACAAAAAGCGAAGCGCCACTGCCTTCCATCCCTCCGCCCGTGGCACACTATTCCCCAGAATGGTAAAAAGAGGACGACCAACAAAGAGGCAGCACGGAAAACTCGGAGGGTAGTGCGGGAAACCGAGAGAAACGAGAGAGCGGGGTATGAGTCATCTCGCTTCGCAATGTTGGCGGCGGTTTCGCAATACTTGTGTGAGGGGGGAGGTCTCTCGTTTCCCCGCTTACTTTTCCTTCTCTTCCTCCTCTTTCAGTGCGTGAACGAAAGGCATTCATCCATCTCCTTGGAGTCTAATTGTACACACCCAAAATTTTCAAGTCGACGTGGCCCACGGTGCGGTCTTATTTCGCAACTTGAGTTGGGTGCGACAAGTTGAAGCTTATATTTTGAAGCTTATATTTATTCATTCTGATGAGCCATCATGTGATTTTAGAAGCAATTTTGCTCAGGTTTTTTGATTGTCATACGTCATCACTTTGATAAGAACTGTTGCGAGAGGAAAATGGGTGTGACATGCCGTACTGATAACAGTTTTGCCTCTTTTCGTCTTAGTCATCCTTTTGCTCATTTCTTTTTGTTGGTTGGAGAAAGTTCAGTGTGAACCCCAAACAAATCTGAAAAGAAAAAAAAATTGTGATACATTTCCGAGTTGTTTCTTTTCAACGAAAATACAATTTCTTACCAAATACTTATCAAGTTTTCCCAGTTTTTCATTGACGAAAAGTTCAAAGAATTTCAATCAACACAAGAAATATGTACCAACTTTTATGAACAATCAGTTCTCTTTATCTTTTTTTTTTTGAAAGAAAAACATATTTTCTTAATTCCAAGCACGGCTTGGAGCATGATATATGCACCATGTCAAATGATGTCATCATCATGATTGTATCGGGAACATTCTACCAATGAACAAGGACATACACTTCTCTTACATTTACAGGTGTCTGACTTGTTTGTATGAATGTCTATTTCCTCTTATACTTTTGTGTCACTCCTCATTCTCATCCTCCTTCTCCCAGGGCAGGAAAGGGTCGTTCCCGTCATCGTCGGGCGCAGAGCGCCGCCATTTTTTCCTCTATTGCTTGCTTACTTTTTCTTTTCCCTCACTCTCTCGCGCTCCTCTACCTCCTTCCTCTCTCTAGAGCGCCTAGAACATTCGAAACGAAACCGAATCGGCAAAAATCGTTTTTCTTTTCTTGTTCTCAACCCTTTGACACACCTTTTTCACCAATTATATTTTCAGAATTAAAGGAATGCTGAGCAAGCTCAATTTTGAGTTCCCCGAAGAGAAGAAACCAAGTTTTAACGAACCTTTGAAACCACCCCAATTTGCTCGACTACGCGACGGACCAATGATGAGAGGTCTCACGGATTTGCCCCCTGATGGTGGTGCGTCCACATCTGCCGCGGGAAACTTTGTTAGACAGGTTTGTTGTCCGTTTTCATAACCAAAAAACCGTCATTTTTTTCAGGACTCTCTTGCCCTTGCCGCCTCATACCAACAGCGTGATCGGGAAAGGCAAAACATTGATTTTATGGAGGCTGAACTGGACCTGGACAACTATCTGGCGTGTTTCACTGATTTGGATGTTCCCGCTGACAACGTTGACTTTGACGACGCGGAACTCCAAAAAGTGAACATTTTGTACGATGGAGAACAACCGTACACGGAGCCGCCGCCGATGAACGGTTATGAACGACATGTGGCCTACACTTCTGGATTCTCAAAGCCTGAGGATTTCGACAATGACTCTTACAAGATGAACTGTGAGGTGAAATCTGAGCAGCCGGACTACGACACAAAAACTCGTCGTTTGATAAAGAAGCCAATGAACTATCAGCTCTACGAGCAACACTACAATGATAGCAGCGACCTTTCGGATGATCCAAGTGTGGATGACTCCTACTATGAACCTATCAGCAAGAAGAAAAAATCGAATGGAGTAGATCACTTTAAGCCGAGCACGAGAGCAAGAAAGTATAATCTAAAGCCGGTCGAGGAGAAGGCTGAACCGACGTATAAGTTAAAAAGAGCTAGGAACAATGATGCCGTCCGAAAAAGCAGAAATAAAGCAAAGGAGATGCAGAAGAAGAAAGAAGAGGAGCACAATAAGATGAAGAAGCGAATTGCCGAATTGGAAGGACTTTTGGCTTCGGAGCGTGAGGCACGGCGGCGCGATCAGGAGCTCCTGGAGCAACTTTTGAGAGCGAAGTGAGTTATTGAGATAAATAACGGTTTTGTATAGTAACCAATGTGAACTTGGACTTGTGTGAACTACTACTGGAATACATAATGTATTTTTCAGAGGAATGAAAGATGGCCACACTCGAAACGCTTTGGAAAACTACAACAAATGACCTCCTCCCTGTCGCAGCTAACCCCAATTCTAACAGTGTTATTTCTCGTCTAGTCAATTAGGATTCTCATGTTACCCATCCATTGGCATTACCATTCCAACCCTTTCCCCTGTGAAACAAAAAATAAAATCAAAGAAACCAAAATATTTGTATTGATCAATCTCATTCCTCCCTTCGTTCGAATGCAAATCATAATTTCCTTCCTATCAAGCTGAGCTTTTACCTGTTTCTCTTCTCCACTTTTTTCCCTTCACCCCGATCGTCTTCCAATTCAACTTGCTGGCAAGTGTCCCCTCGATTCCTGGTAGACTTGTTAGACACTTTTTCACTTTTCGCTTCCTTTCCGTGTTCCCGTTGTTAATGCAAGTGACTGGTACTGCAATTTTTGAGAAAATCCTTTATTTAGTTGCATTTCGCTCTCAACGGAGTGTGTATTCGCTTTATTTTGCCTCGATTTTGGCCTTATATTTAATAAATTTATTTGTGCCAAAGCAAACAAAATATTCTTTTTTGTAGTGAGCATTCACGCTTTTCAGATTAACAAAAGTTGATTATTTAAGCCACTAAATCAGTGATTTCTAAGAGCTTTCAATGGATTTTGGCCAGATTATCTATTCTGATGGAAGTTAGATTTCGCAAGGCATTTCTGTCAATAGCTTTATTCCGGGAAAAATACAATTTGAATATGACGTTTGTGCAAAATTTTACTGTTGCTAGCCGTGGCTGCCAAAATTTCTTTTACTTTCGAGTTGAGGTTGAAAATCGAAGACATTTAGCTGATGCTTTTGAAGAAGGCTCTGGCAAGAACCGGGAAGGCTTCACGACGTTCTCTGAAAAACAGTATCTTTGAAACATTTTTCTGGCAGAAAAGGGACGGAAAACAAACCTGGAAGCGAAAAACGCTTTGAGCACTCGGTTGTGGTGTTCGACGCGCTTTCTCTCTTTTTCGCGGGTTTTTCTGATGAATCGCCTTCTCTGACGCTCCATCTCCGTACGAAGTCTTGCGTGTTCGCGGGTTAGACGGGCGCTTGCCTCCGATGCTTCACGATAGCGCTCCGAAAGTTGATCGGCCATTTGACGGATCTCATTGAGCGTTTCCTGGAAGACGCGGAGAGATTCCCGCTGAGCACGTTGAGCTGCCAGCTCTGCTGTCGACGGCAGGTTCACCTGAAACGTGTATTTTAGCTAGTCACGAATATTTGTCCTATGTGCTCAGAATCTGGATACGATTGCGAGAAGGGGCTTACGGATGAGCAATTTGTTCGGAATATTTGGAAAAACACCAAGCCATACGAGGTTTAAAACATAATTTTGAAAATTTGCGTAGAAATGTCGATAAACATGCCCTCTACCGTTCACAACCAAAATGTTTTCGCAAACATCAATGTTTTCAATACCCTAACAGACAATTCTATTTTGCTTCTACGATTTCTGAGAAGGCTTTGACGTGAGTCATCCTACGCTATTCCATGAATTGCTCAGCCTTTGCTCAGTATTTCGCAATCGGCACTCTTCGGTTTTCGTCCGCCTATAAACAGAAATTGCTCACCTCGCACTCCTCGAAAACATGACAGACTTGTAATCCAGTGTCAAAGCCACCGGGAGCCATGTTCCGAAGATCCTGTTGTCGTGATCGAACCTGCAAAACACTAAAAAAAATGCGTGAAAAACGTGGTTTTTGGAACGGATTTCGTGACGATTTTTGGCGTTAAAGATCGACAAGTGTTTGGTGGAAAAACGTTGAGAAAGTTCTCGTGATAGTGAAAGAGAAAGGAATTTTCGTGCATCTTCCAACAGAATCGGCGATGTGGAAAAGTCGATAGAAATATTATGGCGAACGTGGAGACGCAAAGAAATGTATTTCGCAGTAGGGCGCTCTTGCATTTTAGTATCGGCTTCGTGACAGGCAGCGTCCCACGTGGCATCAAAACTCGAACTTGCACAATACCATGGAATTAATAATGAATAAGGAATGGAAAATGCCAAATTGAAGGAATAAACTGGAAATTCTAGCGGGAAGCTGTTAATTTCAGTTTTCTGTTTGTGTAGTTATTTATTGAAAACATAAAGAACTAAAAATAAAAGCTGACAAGAATATCTCTCTGAATCACGTTTCCAAGCAAAAAACACAATACTTAGAACATCCAGAAAAACACAATACTTAGAAAATAAAACTGATAGACCAATTCATAACTTCTGAAAGCATTTTTTAAAGTTATTTCCATTGTTACGTTTTCTGTTCAATTATCTTTAGTCTGATTTGAAACTAATGGCGAATGATGTCATTTGACTTCAGTTTTATCACAACACTATTGTTTTCCTCATTGTCACTACTATCATCATCATTATCATCATTTTCAAACCGAACCGGAAAATTCCTTAAAAATTTTAATTATGTACCATAAACGATTATGAAATTTATGTCGATGATAGTAATGATGATGATGGTGATGAGAACCAACTGGCACAAACATGCTTATCATCTGTAAGCATCTAACTTCATGACGAAGCAAGCGCATGACGTGAGACTAAACACAAGTTTTAGTCGGTTTTAGAGATGGGGACTAACAAAAACACAAAAATAGTTTTCTATAGTTGAAATATTATACTAAAAAGAACATTATTAAAGATCTTACTAGAACTAAGCAAAGCGTGAAGCAGAATTCTTTAGAAATATTAGTAATGCACTGCTACACGCGTATTGTAGCCTACAACTATCCAGTTCAAGTTGTAACACGAAACATAAAGAAAACCAAACAGTTTTAATTCGACATTTTAATTAAAATTGTACAATTTTCAGTTGCGTGTCTTGAGAGTGTCAAAGATGCGTCTCGGAGAAGACGGATCGCCTATAATCAAACTAATTATTTGCGAATTTAGTGTCTGTCTGTGCAAATTAGATCTATTTATGTGTGAACTGGAAAATATGAATAAGCAACTTCAATCGCATGAATTTCTGAATTCATACGTAATACTAAAAAAATTGACGAAAATAAAGTTTTATGCTTTTATTCACAGAGCCGTTTGTCATGCACAATTAATAATAAATAAACTACACATCTCCGGTAAAGGTGTTCAAGACAAATATTTGCGTCCGTAGAGCGTCGCTTTCTGCTCAAAGGCTGGCGATTCGATGAGGTCGTCAATCTCGTAGAACGGATTCATTGCGTGTTTTATGTAAGTTTCGTACATTTCCTGAAAAACCGATTTGTTTGTGTGTTTTTCACAATTGATCGGACGTCGCTGAAACACTTCAATGCTTACCTGAAAGAACTGCTTGATTCCCTCGTCCGCACGATGCGTGTGAAGCATGATAAAACGGATTCGGCTGGCGGTGACGAACGCTGACACGTACCACTCGTTGAACTTGTCGACCATCTGTAATCAGAACTTTTTGAGCTCATTTTGATATAAGAGTTACTTCAAACAAGTCAAGTTTTCAGTAATTTCACAGCATGCTAAGAAAAATAATCAATTCCCCTGGTATCCATCATGAGAATTTGTAAGAGTGGGTCTCTTGACACATGGCCCGTTGCCCAGTTTTGGGGTTGCTGAAAGCTTCACGCTACTTAAGATGACGCAGACAAACAATTTTCAGTGATTCAATGCTTCGTTTCATCTCCAAACCGTTGGGGACAGACTGTGATTTTTTATTGCAATTCTTCATTGAGTCACTCTTCGAAAAAACTAACTTTCAGATACATTTGCGAAGTAGTGAGCGCGTGTTCGTCGACAATATCCAGAGCGGCGTGTCCAATGTAGTGATTGAGGTGGCGAGTGCCCTCGGATTCCTTCGTCTTCTTCTCGCCGGCCGGAAAATCCATCTCAAAGATCGGCTGATCGTAGTGTCCAATAATGGCAAAATAGAACTCTTTGGTAGCCATTTCGATCTGTGAAAATGCCCTGAGAAAAAAAAGACTGGATCGAGAAAATAATATGAAAAACAGTAAAAAACTGCTCGGATAATATTGTAAAACAATAGAAACAAAAATAAAAGAAAATAGTTGTTCCTTGATTGTCAAATGGCAAAAAAAAACATTCTGTTTTAGTTGAAAAATTAACATGGGTTTGGTGCGGCGCAAAAGTGGTACATATATTGAAATGATCACAGAGTGACCGCGAAGAGTGAAAAAAGAATGATTGGTTCGATGAGAGTGTGGGGACGGAAAAAAGCTACTCGAAAAGATACCCAAACAAAAAATATCAAAAGCCGGGGGGAAGTTAGTAGACAATGGACGGTGTTATGACTATTGTTTGAGAATTTTGGGTGAAAAAAAAAACAACCAATTTGCTAGACTACTAGCGATCAGAGGAAAGTTGTGAAATGGCTAGTTTTTGGGATAAGAAAAAAGTTTGAATCAGGGGGTGTGGGGGTGAATAAAGAAACTGTTAATATTTAATGAAGTTATCACCATTTTCTAATGGATCAATCGATCATCTTGATCCTTCGGGCGCTCGTCGAACCTCGAGCGGAACTGACGAACTGGCGGCGGTCCTTCGTCGAATCGATTGCGACGTGGCGGGCGGAGATCCATGTCCTTGTGGACCGGAGCTTCATCCTCTCGCTGATCAAATCGGCTCACACGACGTTTCGGAATCGGAGCTGCCATTGGAGTTGTTATCGGAGCTGCCATTGGAGCCACTATAGGAGCCACCATCGGAGCTACCATCGGAGGTGGCGCAACGTACGCGTTATACCCGCCCGGCACTTGAACTTGAACTTGGGCGGCAGCAACGGCTGCAGCAGCCAATTGTGCCTGAGCTTGAGCCTGAGCCTGCGCTTGTGCATGTGCTTGCGCCTGTGTCTGAGCCTGTTGCTGAGCAGCCAAGAATGTCAGATTAGTGTTGAGGGAAGGTTGTTGCGTGTGGAGCAACTCGACCGGAGCTTGAATGTGAACCACTGGAGGTGGAACGTTGTACGACTGTTCGGGAGAAGAAGCTCCAGTGACAGAAGCGATAGCTTGCTCCATGGCGGCACTTGGGACGGGTAGAGCGTGCTTAACCGGTTGATTTGGCGGCGGAACGTTGAATTCAGTCGGAACGTCATCAAATCCGGCTCGACCGTATTGATTGTTCCCGCGATTCTGATAGCGATCCTGACCACGTCCACGATTGTTGTCACCGAATCCGTGTTGTCTCCGGTCACGGAAGTCGCGGTCTCGATCGTGCTGATTGTTGCGGAAACCTCCACGGAATCCGCCACGACGTCCTCTATCACTGCCACGATATCCGTATTGTTTCAGTTCATCCTGCTTCTGTCTTCTCTGAAAATAATTTCATTAATTCTTAGTATAAATTTTTATTAATCTGTGGAAAATCAGTAAAACATCTAGCGCTTTTAGTGCATTTCAACACACTTACCAAGTCGTCGTCATGAACAAAGCGACAATTGTCGCCACGGTTGCATGCATTCGGACGATTGATGTAGAACGCGCAGATTTCCTTCATTTTCCACCCAGACTGGGTCCATCCCTCCTGATTTGCGCTATTCTGAGCAGACATTTCCGGAGTTTCGAATTCGGTCTGAAAAAGTCACAAATAAATACGAATTTTCGAAATTGTGAAATAGGCTCACAATGTATCCATTCATCGGATAGTCTTGCATCGAAGTCGGTTCCTCACACGCGAACGTGTTGACCTGATGGTTTTGCGTCTGAAACATTTGCTGGGCCGTTTGCATGGCAGCCGCAAGCGGAGTGGCCGTGGATTCAGCTGGCATTTTCTCTTCGGACGATACGAGTCCTCTGGCTTTCAATTTGTTCAGCATCTCTCTCAAGTTGTCCGGAATCTTGAGCGCTGGTACCGGCGACTCCGTACGCTGCTCAATTGGACTTGCAGTCCGTGCGTAATATGCGTTTTCAACAAATGGCTCCGAGTCTTGAAATATTTGCTGGATGTTTGGCTGATTGCTCGGCGGTGCCATCGTGGCTTGATAATAATAGCCTGGCGTTGTCTCAACATGTTCCTGTTCGTAGTGGTTGTTCACAGAAATCAGCGGATTGCGACATTCCTGATACATTGTCGACGGTGACATAGAAGTTTGGAATGGAGCTGAATTCCGCTGTGGACGACCGGGAAGTGGTAGGTCGAGAAGCGTGCTCATAGAAATCTTCGAGTGAGTTTCACTGACGGTCGGAATAATCGTCGGATTGCAGTGTTCCCGGTCGATTTTTGCAATTTCATCCAATTCCGGGTCCTCAATGACCGAAGACATGCTGAAAATATATTGAATTTAGTATCAGTCTTCAATAAACGATACAAATGTATAGCATTGATTCTGCTGAGTTGTGCGTTCAAATTTAGAGTATTTATCCAGGGCATTCTGAATTGTCTATTTTCGGTAGTAACTCCTGTTGGAAACAGGCCGATACGCTCAAAAATCGTTAGAAAAACGTCAAATTACATTTCTCGAACATCGAAAATCTAAAAATCTGTTGCTTACCCAAACATGGCTCCACGCATAAGCCCGAGTTCATGAATGCGCTGCTCCTCAATTCTTCCCGACACTGACGGCTCAAACACCATGAGGCGACGTCCTTTCACCGGGATCAACGTCCAATCGAGCTCATCTTCCATTTCCTCGTGACCAACGACTTTTGCTTCATTTCTCTCGGAGTGACGGAAATCCGCTGTGTTCGAGTGATGAACTGCAAAAGGAGTCGGTTTTCTGGAAGATGGAGGAGACTGCTCACTTGTGGCAATTTTCTCTATTTCTTTAATGTGGACGAGCGGGAGACCTCTGGTGTCGGCGAAGAAAATGCATCGTTTGGCGCGTTTTGATGGAGACGATGAGCGGATGATTCCTTTGATTGGTTGCTGGAAATAGTCGGATATTACTACGTTGTTAATAGTTTCTTGTTTCAGGAAATTTGATCGCGACCTGGCCTAGAAAAACCAACTTGCGGCAAGGTGTTGTCAAGGAATTATCAGGCTTGAACATTGCATATTCCAATTTTACCTTTTTTAGAGCTGCAATAGCTATATCCTCATCAGGAACAGCGCGTTTACTGGCTTGCAAATCACTCGTACTCGGTTCCACCGGCTTGGCCGGTTTTCGTTTCACGATGCGGATTCCGGGATTTGATGGCGAGTAGGTGTCTCCTGAAAGAATGTTTTGTAAAAACTTGTTATGGAATAGAGTGAAAGGGGAAGGAAAGAGCTATCACCGGTTCCCACATGTGCATTTCTGAAAATTTTGGTCGAGTTCGGGAGAAGAGAGGAAGATTAACAGTAAATTCCACGATGAGCATATACATAGAGTCAGAGAACAATTCAATTAGCGTTGGGGCATAAACATTATCGTGTAAATTTGGCATAGACCCACTACGTATCCGACAATGCAATAACAAACAGTTTGTATCAGATATTGATAAAATGGAATTGATTTGCGAAATTTTTGAAAATTGTTGGCTTATGCCTCGAAATCTTAAAGTCAGCCACTACTTTGTTCACTAAAAATCGGATTCCTATCGGGCGCCTGACCCAGATGTTGTCAGTTGCAAAAATATGCGCCATGGATTTGTCTAGATGGATTTGTCTATATCACATTTCCTCGAAAAGTTGGGAATCGCGTCAAAAATGACATGGCTTATAATACACGCTCTGTTTGGAGCATGAGCAAACATTGACTTCCGAAAAAAAGAAGTAACGTGACAGCAACGACATCCGACAGTTGAACTCGTCATTTCTGAGGCCAACCAAACACTCTTGAATTCTTGAAAATCAATAGTGTTGGTTTGTTGCTTTGTTTTACGGGACAATTCTCCTAGCGAAATCATTCTTTCATAGTCCATGAACAGATACAGAGTTGAAAATCTGCGCGATTTCAACTCATCCGGTTCGCATATTACCGTCAAAAACGCATCAAAATCATGATGTTGTTCAAGGGCAGTATCTGCAAATCCGCTCGCATTTCACGTTCCATTCGACTGTTCAGTTTCAACAATCCAGTCGAAACCGTTCAATCGTGACGAGAAAAAACTGCTGAAAAAGTGACAACGACGACAAAAAGTGAAAGAGAAGTAAAATGTAGGTACATGAACACAAAAAGAGAGGGGGCGATAGGAAGAACGAGAACATCCAAGAAACCGGGGGGAACAGGAAGAATCGTTTTGGTGTGAATGCGTGCCAGTCCTGGGAGTGAGAGTACGCCATCGGCGAAGGTCCACGCCTTGAAAAACCTGTTCCACAGCTCTTTTTCTGAGCAATTCCTCTATCTATCTATCTATCAATTTTTCTCGAAAATAAAAACAGTTTTTGTTCGCTTTTGCACTCTCAATACTCGTTCATTAAGGTAGGCTATTCTGATTTTAAATTTTGTGGGGACAGATGCACATGTGGGAAGACGGCGATGGCCGCAGTTGCAGCGGCAAGCCCTTTCCAAAATGGTAGGGGATATTGTACCTGAAATTGTCAGATTGAAACACTTGTGGACAGTTCTTAGTGGAGAAAAAAAGGCAGAATTACAAACCTGCGCCGCCATATTTTTGTCTCGTTGTCTCTTCTGCTGGCTTCGTTGGCGTCGTTCCCTCTCGTGATATCTTGGTTGGTATGTAGACGGCTGAAAATGAATTAATTATTTGTTCTGCAATAAATATAGAGGAAAAGAGGTATTTGAAACCAAACTGTGTAGAGAAAACAAAGGAAAAGGAATCGACTACAATAGGTATGGAACACGAGGCATGAGAAATGAAGGTTCTACCCGAATCCCATACAAATCTTCCGTAAGCATCTCCCATTCGCGCCGCTGCAAACTTATTCCAATTTGTAATTTCTGTGCCGCAGTTGGAGACTCAAAAATCCTACAAAGATGAAGATGAGTCGATTCAACTGTCGCTATGTTGTATTCTTCAATTGGGTAGTTCAACTCTGTGCAGCTGTTCGCAATCCACGTATTCGACATCTCTTCCACATCATACGAGCGCCCTTGCTAGTGGATCCTTGATAACGGAGTGAAGCCATAGAGATCATGTCCGTAAATTGTCCTTCGATTCCAAAGATCTGTACATGATTTGAGCAACTTCGTGAGAATCAAGACAATAGCAACAGTAGCTTTAACCGTTGATAATAACGGATTGATTGGTGAGTGTACGTCGAGTTGCCGTAGAATTGGGCTGTTCGGTCAGGAGACGAGCATAGCAGATATATGTCGGTCCCCATGCGGCGCAGAACCTTCAACGATTCTGATAAACGTGATTGTGGGCAATCTTTCCTTCGTTGCGTATCACTGAAGAATGGTAACACGCCATCGAGAATCCGGCAGCAAAACGCGGAATGCCAAAACCTGTAAAACTGCCCTCCCGTCGGGGCTGTTTTCATGTAATGCCCTTTTTTATTCAGTTTTATAGTCAAGAACACTTTATTATTGGTTCGGAAACTGTTTTAACACTGTAAATTCCACAATTCCCCACACTGCCAGTGAACCGGAAACTACCATTCTCTCTCCAAGTCTCCGATCGACACACAGTCGGACAGTGAAACGAGGAACACGTTTTTTCGTATTGTTTGTTTACAAACATAGAAATGAAATGCAAGATGGAGAAGAAGATGCAAGAAAAGGATTGTTAGAAGAGAGGAGAAGGATGGATGAATATAGGGCATGATAAGTTATGCTCACAAAATGAACAGTGAATTGGTTCCAAAAACCTGATAGATGTGTCAAGACTTACCCGGAGTTTCCGGATTTCCTTCGAGTGGATGCAAAGAGCCGTCGCTCCTCTTGGTAGGAGTATAGGCGTCGGCGAAATCGGCCATTATCCCAATCGACGATTCCGGACGCGGTCTGAAAAATCACCTGTTTAGAGACAAAATTATGAGAAAGAAAAGTGGTGATTCAAAGATGAGAGCAGGAAAAAAAAGAATTGAACGACGGAAGATAATGTATTTGCGTCAAAACATTTTCGAAAATCCGAGGCGATCGATACGATGACTATGCAAGAGGGTGGGGGCGACGTGGTGAGCGACCGTGAGCGCTTATGAGTGTCGGTGAGTGTAGTGAGTGCAACCGCGTGACACTAGAGAAGAGAGTCAGAGAAACAGAGTGTCCCGATCAATTCGAGCGGGCAGGCGGCGGCCACGTTGAGTGCAGCGGCGCACTCACGAGGGTACGCAAACACAGCTTACCGTAGTCACGCACAAATGCAGACACAAAATGTTAAAATTTAAGTGAATTTTTATAAATTAAAGAAAGATTTACTAAAATAATGAGGGTGAAGTAAGGCAAAGAGTTGTGATGAAATTTTGCCACATTTTTTCTATTTAATTTCAGAAAAATATGCTGAAATACTGAAATATCTCAATAACTTCTACTTCGCACGATAACGGAGAGTTCGAAGAGGAACCATCAGCAGAGAAAGTCAGGAAAGGCGTCTGAAGTTTTGAAGATATAAAAAACGAGAAAGATCTGTCAAATCTGCACGAGAGAGTGTCAGAACTTCGAGAACAAATGACAAACAATGTATGATGACTCAAAATGACGAAAAACCAAATTTCGAATGTGTGTTTTTCAATGAAAGATAAAAAATTTTTCTCGCGAAACTTGATACGCCCAACAAAGTTTTCACCGCAAGCAAATTTTTTTATCGTTTGAAAGTGGGTATATTACACCGCCGCTTGATAAGATAAAACAAGATTGATATGACTGGCAAGTCAGTGAACACGGCAAACAACATTGCGAGCATATAATATGTAGGAGAGAGAAAAAGAAGCAGCACCAAGAAAACGCCCCGATTCGGCGTAAAATTACTGGTCAGAATAAAGAAAACGCGTTGGCCAGGGTCGCATAATCCACAAATAATTGGCGTTCTTTGAACGGAGCTCTGGCAAAAGCAATGGGTGCACTAGCAGGTGGAATTGTCAAATCGGGAGCATTAACGACGCGATTCCGACAAAACGGGGTTTGAATTCTTGTTTCAGCTCATTCGATTCATCTTTTTTCAGTACAGCTCCAATTTTTCAGCAATTGTGAAGAAGTCGGAGTTCCGATTTCCATTTTGTGCAAGAATCTGAAATAAAATTGTGATATTTGGAGTAAATTAACTTTTCTCATCTTAAGGATTCTATAGAAATGTTCCGAAAGTTCGGGAGAGAAATCGTATTGCATACAAGACGAATAGCAACTCCTATTGAGGTTTCAGAAAGTACTTCGAATCTTCTTAGCGGCGGCTTCAATCAGACTGATCCCCGAAAATAGTCCAAAACGGCCATCGATCTTCAGTTTTTGTCCAGGTTCTAATGTTTTATCGAAAAACTCAGCAGATTCTTGTCGTACAAAGTCTTCTCGGCCTTGAGTGGAAATAATTTGCAACGCGTTCCACGCATTTATGCACACCGATATGTTCCGTGCTTGACAAAAGATACATTAGAACTGCAGTCCCTGGAAAACGTCCGTCGGCTTTACACACATTTACTGGAGCTGATATATCCTCTGGGCCTAACTGTCAACAAGAAATACTGCAAAAAATAGATTGATTGCTTGTTTTTTCAGAGGCATGTTTTTCAGGCGCTGTTTTTTCAGGAGCATGTTTTTCAGGCGCCTGTTTTTTCAGGCGCATGTTTTTCAGGCGCCTGTTTTTTCAATTCGTGTGTACACTGTGCAAAGCACGAGTGCGTATACACAGTGGCCATTTCGAATTTTTCACAAATTTTGTCCGATTTTCCATTGTTCTTGAACGTTCTTTGTTGCTAAAAATATATATGTTTGCTGAAAAAATGAGCAGGAAGCGCATGAATTTGGAGATTCAGCAGCAAATTAAAGATGGCGTATTAAAGGCGGTGAGTTTTATGCGAGATTCAATAATTTTGTAAAAATCTAAGAAGTTCGTTGCAGGTTAAACAAAAGAAGTTAAGTAAATCGGAAAAATCCGAAAGCTTTCTACTATATGAGTACAGAGACGGTCGGAAATTCGAATACATGACGTGCGTAACATGTAATGCGACACTCTCTAGTAAATGTGGCGGACATTTGATGTAAGTTTATCAAATTGGAAAAATGAATAAGAATAAATTGTTTTTCTAGTCGTCACAAAACCAAACTGTGCTCTAATGACAACAAGAAGCTGAATTCTGGCCAAGAAGGACTACTTCAAGAAGCAATAGCAATGTTTTGTGTAAACTCTGGAAGTAGTTTTAGATTAGTTGAATCGGACGCATTTCGAACGTTTGTGCAGACAATTCAGAAGTCGGCGTAAGTCTATTAAGGAAACTATTGTCCATATGAGTACCTATATACAGAAATGCATCTCAAGCTGCTACATTTCCATCACGAACGGAAGTGAAAGAGTCGGTAGAAAAACAGTGCAAAAAGATAATTCGCCATATCGCCAACGAGGTTGTTATAAGGCTTGTCAATACGTGGATGCCAAATTCTAATATTCAGATCATTCCGCACGTACGCAACAAAACGGCCACACTGGTTATCGATTTTGGTCTTCATGTAAATAATTACATGTGTGCATTTATATCATTCGTTTCTGCAACAAATGACACTCCTACCATGAGAATCTCGCCCTTCTGCTTCTCACCAATGGATAAAGTTCAAAGTGCGGAGAATGTGAAAGATCTACTGGTCAAATGCGGAGAACGCTTTGGACTATCGGAAACTGAAGTGTTGTCGATGAACGTCGTCTCTGAAGGCGCACAAAATTTAACGTCTCTAGGGGCTCGATTTTTTCAGTCGTGGACACTTTGCACTGGTCACGTTTTTCAAAAGATGGCAAAACGGGTCATAAAGCCAAAAAGTATAAATTTCGATTTGTATACAAAGGCTCAGATTGACGAGTTGGAAAAATGCTCTAACTCTCTTATGTGTTGTGCTAAACTCGCATCTATTATTCATCGAAAAAAGGTTGGATTTTAAGTTTGCTACTCAATTCATTGCGCTGTCCTTGCAGAATGAAATGAGAATTCCGAAACTTCCAGCGACTTATGTAGAAAAGAAATGGGTGTCGTTGATCCGATGCGTCCGAGATATTCTCCAGCTGTTGCCGTCATTAGCTGATTGTTCTATAAAAGAAGTTATTAATGTACAAGCGGAAGTGGAAAGCGAGCGTTCCAGATTGACGGCTACTTTGGACGTTCTCTCCAAATTCGAACCTCTACTGAATTGTTTCGAAGTAAGTGGTACAAAGAGACTATAATACAAGGTCTGATTCGTTACAGAAATCGACTATCAGCATTCAGTGCTTTCTGCCGGTGCTCAGCGACATTAACTTGCAATTCGTCGCACTAGAAGATGACGATGATCCGGTAAGAAAACCGAAAATACATAAACTCCTAGACTATTTTAATTACAGACCATCGCTTCCTTAAATAAAAGTGCGCGAATAGTCACCTCGGAGTATTTGAGCAATGAGATCTCAGATATTCATCTTAAATCTACGTTATTGACACCTGCACTGAAAAGAATGACTAAAGTTTGGGACGAGCATCGAAAAAAGGTTACCAATGAATCGATTCACTTCTCATTTTTATGCTTCGCAGGCTCTAGAATTGGTTAAGGAGCAATTAGCGTCTATGTCATTGAAACAGGAAGAGCAAAGTTTGTTGGAACCTAATTGCTTATCAAGGTAACTCAATTATTTGATAGATAATATACTAACAATTTCAGTCTGTCTTTTTTGCACAAAAATGTCCTGCCGCAAAATAGCGTAAACGAATTGGAAGAATATCTAAAGGAGCACATCAATCCGATTTCATCTGATAACAATCCACTCGTATATTGGACTTCCCGTGAATTTAAATATCCTCGTCTCTACCGTATTGCTTTGAGCTGTTTCTCCAATCTTTCCAGCGAAAGTGTTTGTGAAGGATTTTCTGCAGTGAAACGCATAGTCAGAGACGATCGCCACAGTCTGAAAGCCGATCTTGTAGAGCTCATGATGATGGCATATTTCTACAATTCTAATCGATCATGAAATAGTATTTTTCATTCCTTTTTAGTGGTTAATATTCTCTTCGTTTTGTTTTATAAACATGGTTTTTTCGGTAATCACGGTGCGTTCTGACTTTAACGCGCAAACTCACACATTACATTTCAAGCACCTGTTGCTCATCTTCGACAGTTTGCGGGTCAAAGTTATTCCGTTCTCAATTCTCGAGCTTTTTTGTCATCTTCACCGGAATATTTTTCTCATTCATTTGATATATTAGGTTGTTCGGAAAGTTCCAGTCATTTTTCATAGTATGTTTTTGAAGATTGTTTTTTCTATCGGGAAGCAAGCGAGTTAGTTGTCGTTTTATCAGTATGTTGGTAGGGTATTGAAGTGTCAACACAGCAACGGATATCATTCTCCTGTTCCCGAGTAGTGAGATATGCCAAACGTTTTCGTCCCTAACAACTTACATTTCCGAAATGCAATCTTATTTCTATTTCTATCTGACCTGAAAATGCCGACATTGATCGCCGTTTCACGGAGGTTTACAACAAAGATGCACCCACCGAACTACCATTAGCACTTGGTTTCATCGATTCGAAAAAGGAGAATTTTTGATGGATGATCATCCACGTTCAGGAAGACCGACATCGTTAGACTTGGAAGCATTGAAAAGCGAGATTGAGAGGGATCCTTTTCAATCCGTCCGTGAACTATAAAGGACACTTGGGGCGAGCCTAACATCAATTAGTCATGGACTCGAAGCAATTGGCAAGGTCAAAAAACTCGGAAGATATGTTCCGCATGTTTTGACGCAACACAACTTGAATACACGTGTGGATACCTGCTTGAATCTTCTCACCCCGCATCGCACACATGGATGGTCGGATCAAATCACTACGGGAGATGAGAAATGGGTTATGTATGATAACAGTGAGCGACGTGCCGAGTGGGTTGACGAAGACGCTCAGCCAGCTGACGGGCCAAAACATGAAATACACGAAAAAAAGGGGTTGTTATCAATATGATGGTCTGCCCGTGGAGTTGAATATTGGGAGCTACTTGATGACGGCGTCACTATTACGGCCGATGTCTACACTGATCAGCTGCGAAAACTCAGACTCCATGTGGATCTCCATTGGGGGAAAAATGCGAAAGCTTACTTTCAGCATGATAATGCTCGTCCCCATTTCGCCAGAAAGGCCAAAGCTGAACTCGCTGGATACGGCTGGCCAATCTTGTTTTACCCACAGTACAGCCCAGACCTGGCCCCCTCTGACTACCATCTCTTCAGTCACCTCCAACGCCATCTCAGTGGAAAAAAGTTCAACTCAAGACAAGATATCAAAATCGAGTTGGCTTCATTTTTCGACTCCCAGCCGCAGGAGTTCTGGAAGGAAGGTATCCACAAGTTGGTGACACGTTGGCAGACACTCATCGAAAAACATGGGCAATATGTCTAATTAATCGGATAACTCTTTGACTTGTTTCACAATAAATTTTTCTGAACCCAAAAATGACTGGAACTTTCCGAACAACCTAATACATAAAGTCATATTTTCGTCATTTTTATTTTTCGGTGTTATCTGAATCCTCAAATAACTTCTGAATCTTTTCAATATGTATTTAGATATTATTTATACACCCTATGGGCGATTGAGCCGCGTGGCCAGGGTGGTGTAGGCGGTTAAGCTTGTGCTTAGCAATCCGAAGACCGCAGGTTCGAGCCCCGCCGCGTGCAAAGAAATTTGCCTTGGCTAGACACTGATCGTGACGACTTTCAGACGTAACTGAAGGACGTGGCGACTCCGGAAGTGCACGAAATGGGTTAAAAATCAAAAGATGGTGGACGGACGACCGGGAGAAGGCAACTCATGGATGAAAGGCTGAAAATATAAGTAAGTCTGAACAAATGAATGCTCGATCCTGTGATCTTCACACCGTAATATCTGAGTCACCCCTTTTTACTAGTATTGTGTGTATGTCCACACAAGGAGCTGCCTGTTATCATTGAACACACAAGCAATATTTGTAAAAAGGGGTGACTCAGGTATTACGGTGTGAAGACCACAGGATCGAGCTTTATTTCTCTCAAACTCACTCTAGAATTCTTTCTTCTACCTTCCGAGCACAATCCTTCTTCCTGTCGTCCGCACAGTATTTTTGTTTGAACCGTTTACACACTTCCGGAGTCGCCACGTCCTTCAGTCAGGTCTGAAAGTCGTCACGATCAGTGTCTAGCCAAGGCAAATTTCTTTGCACTCGGCGGGGCTCGAACCTGCGGTCTTCGGATTGCTAAGCACAAGCTTAACCGCCTACACCACCCTGGCCACGCGGCTCAATCGCCCATAGGGTGTATATATAATGGCGACGGGCGCCGTCGGACGCGGTGGTGTCGGTCATATCTCGAGAACGGATGGAGCTATCGAGAAGCATCCAAGAGCAAAAATGATCAGAAAAATGTGCTCCGTTCATCTAAATACATATTGAAAAGATTCAGAAGTTATTTGAGGATTCAGATGACACCGAAAAATAAAAATGACAAATCCAAAGACCGCAGGTTTGAGCCCCTCCAAGTGCAAAGAAATTTCCCTCGGCTAGACACTGATCGTGACGACTTTCAGACCTGACTGAAGGCGACTCCGGAAGTGTGTAAACGGTTCAAACAAAAACACAGAGCGGACGACAGGAAGAAGGATTGTGCTCGGAAAGTAGAAGAAAGAATTCTAGAGTGAGTTTGATACAAAGAAAGCTCGATCTTGTGGTCTTCACACCGTAATACCTGAGTCACCCCTTTTTACAAATATTTTACAAAAATAATATAGTTACGTATGTTTGGTGATTTTCGCGATGATACCTGGAAAACTGTCCGAACTACCTCGATAAAACTAAAAATCGGCTTTTTGCAACCGTTGCAAGTTTATAAGGCCACCCCAGGGGATAGGGGTTTTCGCTAATCTGGTCAACCCCTATGAGCACAAAATAAGTTGTACATATCTAAAAAGACGTTTTAAAGCTGTTTTTGTCATTCAGACGCTTTAGGTTTTTTCGTAAGACATGCCATGGGGCACTTTCCCTACGGATTCCAAAAAAGTCTTAACACAGCCATTCAAAACGGTTGGATGGCCTAACCGAGGGTTCAGTTGTTGTCTAAAGTGATTCAAATCCATTTCGTGACTAGTCGAAACTCAAAAAAGAATTTTTGGAAGACCGGGCAGACATTGAAACTGAATGTTTGTGCCAAAATGTTCGCCATCCCTGTCGTCAAACTCAAATAACGGCATTGATTGAGACCAAATAAACTACGGGAGGGTCTCAGATGATTCTAGAGGACTTCAGATCAGTGCAACAAGTTTATCTGAATGCATTTTGTAAATATCCAATCGAGGAGAAAGCGTTCAAAACCATAAGGCTTCGTTCTCCAAAGGATCTTTTTGAGAAGACGAAGCGGTCAGTGCGGATGTCGTGCCAGTATCACTTCCATTCCTCCAGATCGTTCAAATTGACCATATTTTCAGCAGAAGGCATGATTTCACCGGAAAACATGTTTCTGGACAAACAAAACCGATCATAACCGCCGATCCCTCATTGGTCGACATGTTGCCACGGGCGCAATCGATGCAATGTGACTTGTGGCAATGCACGGAATGCACGGAGAGGGCCACATGGTCTCAGAAACATTGTTAGGGCACTCCTCAACAGTTTCCAAAACCACACACTTTCTAAATCCACGGTCCAGCTCCTGTTCCATGCCGTTGCAGGACTGCTTCGCAGTTGAAACGGCACGGATGAGGAACCTTTTGGCATGAGAAACCCGTTTCCGGCTTTTCTAAGATGTTCTTTTAGGCTGGACTGATCACAAAATGTACTTGAAACACTTTAGATGACAACTGGTCTCTTGGTTCGACCATCCAGCCGTTTTGAATGGCTGTGTTAAGAGTTTTTCGGAATCCTCGGGAAAGTGCCCCGTGGCATGTCTTACGAAAAAACCCAAAGCGTCTGAATGACAAAAACAGCTTTAAAACGTCTTTTTAGATATGTACAACTTATTTTGTGCTCATAGGGGTTGACCAGATTAGCGAAAACCCCTATCCCCTGGGGTGGCTTTATAAACTTGCAACGGTTGCAAAAAGCTTTATCGAGGTAGTTTGGACAGTTTTCCAGGTATCATCACGAAAATCACCAAACATACGTAACTTTGTGCCCTGAATCCGATTTTGAAGTCGCCGGGTCGTAAAAATTTTCGCGCGCCACGTGGCAGTGCCAAACGGGGGTGGCCTTATAAACTTGCACCGCACTGTACGTACGATTGAAATTCTCTGTTGTTTACTTCCCCAACTAAGTAGAACGTAACTACTCACTGATGTCAGATGTTTTTTTTTCAAATTTTATCATTCTCTTTTCAGTACGTCAACTCGGAATCCTTCGAAACTATCATACAGTCAAGTAAAAGCAAACACTTTGGACTGGTTAAATATTTGAAAATTTCAGATGGAAACTTGATCGACGTGTCTGGGTGTGCCGAGGAAACCGTTTGATGTTGGAAACTTGTAATTTCTTTCTGTTATTTGTCTATTTTGATGAGAAATTACGTATACGTAACTTTGTGCCCTGAATCCGATTTTGAAGTCGCCGGGTCGGAAATATTTTCGAGCGCCTCGTTGCCGCGCCGACTGGGGGTGGCCTTATAAACTTGCAACGCGCTGTATACCCTAGCCTCAATCATAGCATAGGTTCGTCAGAGGACAATATAATCGTCAGAGGACATTTCTGGAGTAGACCTGAAGCCCGTTCTTGGTATTTTGACTAATTAGCCGGCGAGCTTCCAGCCGGGGAACTACTCCCAGCCATGTGAAGGAAGCTCCCGAGGCTTAGTCATTGAAGGACTTATGATCGTCAGCGGACGATCTGTGCACCGGCAGCGGTCGGTTCACGAGCAAAGTGACTGTCGGAGGACAATCCGTGCACCGGCAGCTAAAGGAATTATTCGCGAAGCGTTACACATTTATTGAAAAAAAATGAGAAAAAGAAGAAAAATGAAAGCACGAAATGAGAACAGAAGAAAACAACACGTTTGAAGGGAACTATTCAGTCAGAGGGGACGAAAGTGAAGGTCTTCATCAAAAATCGCTCTCTCTCCATTAAGAACGGACAATTCTCCGGGTTTCACCTTTTCTCCATTCAACTGAAACGTCGCATTATTTTGTAATTTAATGCTTTTTCCTACCAGTGGACGGGAGCTGAATGACAATCCAATTTCAACGGGAGCGAGAGGAGTCGGGTTGCTTGTTGAGCAATCGGACTCATCCGGCGCATTTCGCAATTCCCTCAGTTTCTTTCTGAAGTCCTCCACAAATTCTGCCACTGCTGCGTTTACTTGTTCATAATTTTTTTCATTTCTCACGAGCTGAAAGTGTATTGTGAATTTTGTGAGTTGCAAGAGATATTCTCACCAATACGTGTTTGAGAATGTTGCCAATTTGTCTTTTTATGAAGACGTCGTTAGCATAGTGCTGTAGAATTCTTCCAAAAGCTCTACTGATCTGAAAACTACTTTTGAAAAAAATTAATTGATGCGGTGCGGCGTTTTTTTTACTCTTCTATTTTCTCGATCACGTAAACGAAAAAAAAACTAATTAGGGTCGCGTCCCAGAAATGTTTGAGAAAATAAAAGCAGCCCATGGAAAAACAGTCAGGGCGAGGCCGTGGACGCGGAGTTTTCTAGTCCCGTGGAAAAAAAAACGCCGTGATGCGGCAGACCGATGGAAGAGGTCTGAAATCACTATTGAGGATTAATAATAGTGTTTGTAAGTATTATATTATATTTTTGTAACATTGAGATTCTCAGGGAATTTAGAAGGGATTTTCATTGGCTAGCTCGTGAGGATTTTCTATTCTTCTCTAAATTCTGCTATTATTTGACATAATTCCCTATTTTTGAGAGGGTCGGAATACGAACCCCTTCGTCTGTTTGAGGCACTTCTCCTCCCGATGGTACGACTTCTGCTTCTTTTTCTTCTTCTTCCTTCTCCTTTCCGCTTTCAACATTGAGTTTCGAACTAATTTCCATTGTGTTATCAGCGAAAATGGTCTCTGTTTGCGAATTACGAAGGAAGTCATCTATTTTCTGAAGAAAAATATGAACTATTACCAGACGAGCAGCACGTACAATCTTCCTCTTTACTTTTCTCCGTTTCTTTCCAAATTGTCTCTCAGGTCGGCCACACTGATAGTTCTTTTTATCGTAGCGGGACATTTCGTCTTGTGGGCGCCTGTAAATGCTAATATAATCATGTATCTATTTTATTATGTATTACGAATGGCGCGACAGAAAGCAGAGAACAATAAAATTTGAAATCACGCTGAAAGGAGTGCCTATCCTAATGCAGTGCTGGCTGTTGACACAAAAATTAGGCTTTCGTATATAGTAAAAAATATTTTTGAGTGGAAAAATTTTTAGAGACATTCTCCGCGGAGAACTGCTATCTAGGCTTAAATATGGGTTTTTCTACCTTCTGACTACAAAAAAGCTGTGTAGCTTCTCAGAATTAGAGTCAGAAGAGCACAAGGCAGAACTGAAAGGGCTCTTTCCTGGCAAAAATGTCAGATTTCCGTATAATCATAGATTAATACGTTTTTATGAGACGTACTAATGTACGTTTCTGAGCTCAATTCTGAAGTGTGTCTAGATTTTAACAAGAAAATGTGAAGAATACTTTGAGAAAGGCGCATAATTAGATTGCCTGATTTGAAAATTTCTAGAATGATTAGCTATCAGAATAATCAAGCATATCAAAAAAGAAAAACCGAAAATTGCGCTGGTCGGAAGGTACGTCACACAGCCGACCTGGCCTGCTGTTGTGTATCATTTTCTTAATACATCTGCCATTCTTACACTCGCTCACAATGCCATCGCGTGGTAAGGAGGAAAAGAAGAGTTTGAAGTTGATATATGGGTTGGAAAGGACAGAAAAACTTGTACTCGTACTTGATAACATGCAATTGCGCACACGCACACTATCAGCAAAAAGTTGAAATCTGATAAGACTAATGATAACATATGTATGTTGTGTGTGCTGATATTTATGCTGTTTCTCGATTTGTTTATTCAGTGCCCACGTTTCGATAGAGTTTCTCCATTTCGACTCCAGGTTACGTTCGGCCCTCTCTATTTTTTTTGGAGAAAAAAGTCAACGCGGCTCTTTCTCAATTCCCCCTCTCGTCTTTTTTGTTATCTGTTCTTCAACAGTTGTGAGCGCGCTCCCCACGTTTTAGTCGGTCATTTCTCGCATACTCCTTCTCTCTTTCTTTCTCTTTCTTTCTCTTCCTCTCACCCGTTTTGGTCCCTTTCCGCATCTCTCGCACACACGCAAACACACATCGATCGTTAAGGACTGAGATTATTCGTGGCTCTCGCTGCTTACCCCGCTCACATTTCCTTCGTTTTGCCCTTCGTTTGCAGCCACGCCGTTTCATCTCTGAATTTTAGAACTCCATTTGTGATAATCCACATAAATTTAGTCACTAATAGGCCAAAATACTTCTTTCAAGCCAAGCGATGCACTCGTAAATCTTGTGGTTCTTTTCAGAATTGCTTTTTGAGGAGTAAATTTTTGTGAAAATCAGCTATTTTAGGTCCGTCGTCTAAAGTTTTCATCCATTTACAACGCGCGCTTTTAAAATTTGAATTTATTGCTGAGGGGTTCATTTTGGCGCCATTCGTGTTTTCGCTGCGAGACCCGCTGCCCCGTGTGAACACCGCTCTGCAGTCATCTCTCCTACATACGAAATTGTATTTCTGCGCGACTTGCTGTGACAGAATAATTTTTTAGCATTCACTAGTTGAGGAATCTTTGTGACATGTCTCTTTGAGTTGCATGTTTTTTTCTTCGAGTTTTTTGTCTGAAAATCAACTTGAAAGCTAGTGATGAAAATAATATTTTCAGGTAACTTTTGTGCACACCGACACAAATCGACTGCCAAGCCATGTCCGAATCTGGTGGTTCTGCGTAAGTATTTATTGATCAATTAGGTACATTTCTTAGTCAGTGAGATTGAAAGGAAACCGTTGATTACTCCTAGAATCTAAGAAACCAAGAGAATGAGAAAAATTGTCAAATCAAAAACAGAAACAAACATTATGTTCAAGATATTTGTTGCAGCAGTGAATTCGACATTCTTTCCAACTCCAGTTTGGAGAATTTGGACAAACAATTGGAGCAAGTGGTCGCAATCAGAGAGGAGATCAGCAAGATATCTGGTCCAACTTCGGCAGCTCTTTCGAATCAACCGGCTGGTGTTCTCGTTGAGCCAATTCCAACATCCCCGCTCACGGCTGTTCAAATGGAAGTTCCGGCCCCTTCTGCAGCCGAACCACCTACTCAGAAATTTGCAACTCAAGGTATTTTTGTCTATTTTTTCACTGAATTGTATTGACGTTCTTTACTTTCAGAAGAATTTCAACTGTTGACTCAGCGCGTTATCGATCTCGAGCTCGCCTTCAAAGAGTATAGGGAGGCAGAGCCGCAACCCGTTGTTAACGAGGGAGCGTGCCGTAGCGGTTCCGTCTCCCGCATCTCTACTCACTCTTCTAACAACGCGAGCTTCACCTACCATTATCTTGACGGAATACCAGCACCGATAAAGGTCTATCGTGAAAACAACAGAGGCAATGCAAACTGCGGCCGCCGCTCTCCGGGTCCGATGTACCCGCGCGAGAGTTGGAAGAACAACTATCGCCGTGGACGTTCTCCATCTGGGGCACCGGGTCAAAGTCGCGGATTCTCTTCGCCCCAGGAGAGAAACTGCTACTCGCCTCGCTATCAGGATCGCCATCATGAGGGCATGTTCGATCATCCGCAGCGTTTCGGCAACGAACTTTATTATCCCGAACGTCGCCTTGTCGCGGAAGGATTTGTGGACGAGATGGTCGCAATGCCGTGCGTCTACTGCAACGTGCGCCACAGATCGGATCAGTGCCCACGCGTGTCGGACCCGGTCGCTCGCATGGACAGTCTGGAATATCAGGGCCGGTGCACTCGTTGTCTGCGCGCATATCACACCGCCAACGGATGCAAATCGAACGTCATATGCCGCTACTGCAAGCTGAACCATCACTCATCGATCTGTCTCGGTCCAAACAACGTCGAGTTTACCAACTAAATTACCAAGCAACTTCACTTTTTGCTTTAACTTCTCCTTTTCTGTCGGTTGTTCCCTTTTTCTCTTTTTTTTCTATCATGGCCAACAATGAGCCTTAAACTGGTTCTTGATAGCAATGTTCTCGCTGATATCTTCTTTATTTCTCTCGTTCATCCATTTCTATAATAAAAACGATATTTTTCACAATAACCAACAAGAAATGATGACATTCTATTTCTAGGGTACCGGTACACGGTACGGGGGCTGCACAAAACAACCAAAACCCACCGAGTGGATAGCGAAAAATAGGATCGAAACTACTGGATAACGGGTGAACAATTTTTGGAGGAACGGTCATTTGCAGGAAAAGAGGAAACTAAAAGAGCCGAAAAACTTCAAGAAATTCTGCGTATCACAAAAAACATCGAAGTGACAAGAGAAAAGAACACAAATGATTGAGGGTTGAAGAGAGAGGAATAATATTAGTAATACGGAAACACGTCGAATTCACGCGCGTCCTCACGTGGGAAGAAGAGGCGAGCGTCAATGAAGACGTCGTGGCGAAGACGCTGATCCTGTGGCGGAATGAAGCGAACTCCCCAAATCTCTTTGCACGTGCACGGGAAGCAACCATCTTGCTCGTGGACCTTGACGAGATGCTGAGCACGCTGAAACTCCGCTTTGTCCATTTCGAACGTACGCTGAAAGACCGATTTTAGTGTTTAACTTTCGAAACTGAGGTGCTATAAAATTAATCCTATTGCCTCTTGCGTCTGGCCGCAGTCCCAAAAGGCCACACGGCTTGGTCTTGTAGACGCATGGCAATCCTGTAGCGGCCGGACTCGGGAGACAAGAAGATGAATTTGATAGTATAAGCTCACGACGCGATAATCCGGTTCCGGGTACTCCGGTTTGAAGACTGGACGAGGCCCACGAGGCGGCGGCGTTTCCGATTCGTACAGCTCTTTATCACCGTCGGTCTTCAAGAACATCATTAAGTAAATCAGGTAAAAAAAAACGGCAAGTTTTCAATGTAAACAAGTTTACCGTCCCGTCTCGGTCCTGGTTTTTGTTCTCTATTTGGAAAACATTTGGCTCACATCAGAAATCATGTTTTGAAATTTTCACGACTAGATCACTACAATATGATACTTACCCAGACAAAGTCGTCCCAATTCTTCTGACGCGCGCGGATGTCTGGCGGAATCAGAACTGGCTCATCGAGTTGTCCGCGCACGTACCACGGTGGCAGTTTACCGTCCGGCGGGATTTTCTCGAGCTCCTCCTCACTGTACTCGCGCTCCTCGAAAATTGGCTCCTGCTGCTCAGGCTCCTTCTGCTCGGGCTCCTTGTTAACTGGCTCTAGCTGCTCAGGCTCCTTCTCCTCGGGCTCCTTTCTAACTGGCTCCAGCTGCTCTGGCTCCGGCGCGTCAGCCTGTCCGCCGTTGTTCAAATCGACCATTGGCACATCGTTCTGGTTTTGAACGGGCGGGTTCAGCTTGACAACCTTGATAATCTGGATATCCTCTGGATCTCCCGACTCTTCAAGTTCACGTCTTCTTTCGGCTTTGGTCCGCTTTCTGGGCTCATTCGTTTTCGGCACGGATTGGATGAAAATGACATCGGTGTCCTGAAATCCGCACAATCTCTTCGAGTTTTCAGCAGTTTTCTCTCACCTCTTCCCTCATCATACGCGACTGCGATCTGGTGGTCACCATGGTATTGCAGGTTTTCTGGAACTGAAGATTAGAAGCAAAATAATAGAGCGAAAATAAAGGTATTGCAGAAAATCAATATATTCTCGCATCAGAAAATTACGCAACGGACTATTAACCCCAAAACTCGTTTATTCGTATTTTTGAGAAGAACACAATCAATACATGCACAACCCAAATTCCAGATAAAACTAAAAATGGAATGATTAGACAGAGAATGGACTGAAAGGCTAAAAGATCAGTTAACTGTACACAAGTGAATGTGATAAGTGATAACCGAACCTGAGCAACATGGAACTAGACATATCATGGGCATATAAAAGATATTTCGATACATTTCCATAGTTCACTTCTTGTTCGTGGCAACCACTGACGACGCATCGAGTCTCTGAAAAAAATTTTGAAGGCATTCGCGCTTATGGTTCGACGACAAAAGTTTCTACTAGTGACTGGATGTGTTCGATATGGAGTTGTCATTCAAAATTTTTGTCGTATGAAATAAAATTGCAAGACCGCAAAATTTGTGGCTCGACCCGGCCCGGTCGACTTGGAAGTTTACCTTGAGTTATTTGCAAAAAGAAAGAAAAATGCAGGGCAAATTTTCTAATATTGAGTGTCAGGGTTGCGATCTATCGCTCCAGCACTGCTGAACAGGTGGTTGTAAATTTTCTTTCGAAAATTTCGGAAAATTTTAGAATCCGGCCCGGGCCGCATTTTATAGCAAGTGAGCTATAAAAAGACTCATAACTTTTTTAATAGGGGGCATTTCACGGCAAATTCGGCTTGTTGCAAAACTCTTTCTGTACTGCAAACTGCAACGATCTGGGGACCGATTTTGCAGAAAATGCCCTTACAATAAACACTAAAATCGATTAAAATACAGCCATGTTTTCTACATTTAATCCAACTTGGGTTGTGGCGGAAGTTCAGTAAGACTCTGTTAAATCCACAACTCCAACTCGCCTCTACTCACCATGTGGCCGGCTGGTTTGTCCTCGATGACTGTGACTCTCGAATGGAAGCGGTTGTTCTTTTTTCCCACGTGGCGCTTTGGTTTCTCGACTCTCTGAAAAAATGTGAAATTTCTTGAGAGCTGGCACTTTGTGATACTAACAAGAGCTCTTGCCAGAATAGAGGTGGTCTCCTCGAGTTTCGTTTTTTCCGAAGCGTACTGAAATGAATTATTATTATTGTTTATGGTCCCAAACTTTAATGCGTTGTACCTGGATGAACATCATTTTTCCGATATGACCGTAGGCGCCCAATTTCGCTTTGTTCTCCGATCCCGACCCGTCGGTCGTCTTCAGCATTCTATTCGCAAATTTGTCGGCTCTGTACTCAGCGATGTCCAGAAAATCCTGTCGGAACGCGGCCTACAAGTGACATTGACACTATCCAGGCATTTCAAAGTAAATGCGCTCTGTTGCAATTGTGGTCTCCAGCCCGGCGCCAGTTAAAAACAGAGAACATTCTTCCAGAATTCAAATGAAAAACTACTGAAACTCGTAACACGGCTGAAAAATCAAACGTCGGAGATCACAAAACGATGGGTTTCTCAACAGAGCGCATTCACATTCAAATGCCCCGACAGTAAATGAAATACGAATATATGATTTTAATTCAATTGAGCCACTATTCCGGGACTAAAGAGAACGGTGAAAAAATGCTAATACACCGGTAAGAACATCGATTTCGCACATAAGAAAACTGGTATGTATTGAATTTTTCCCCTTCTTCGAATACGCAGGTTCAATGACGTAAATGCGGACAGACCGGCCAATCCAAAGACCGCAAGTTCGAGCCCCGCCAAGTGCAAAGAAATTTGCCTTGTTTCGGCACTGATCGTGACGACTTTCAGACCTGACTGAAGGACGTGGCGACTCCGGAAGTGTGTAAACAGTTCAAACAAAAACACAGAGCGGACGACAGGAAGAAGGATTGTGCTCGGAAGGTAGAAGAAATAATTCTAGAGTGAGTTTGAGAGAAATAAACCTCGATCCTGTGGTCTTCACACCGTAATACCTGAGTCACCCCTTTTTACAAATATTGCTTGTGAGTTCAATGATAACAGGCAGCTCCTTGTGAGGATGTAAAAAGGGGTGACTCAGGTATTACGGTGTGAAGACCACAGGATCGAGCTTTATTTCTCTCAAACTCACTCTAGAATTCTTTCTTCTACCTTCCGAGCACAATCCTTCTTCCTGTCGTCCGCACAGTATTTTTGTTTGAACCGTTTACACACTTCCGGAGTCGCCACGTCCTTCAGTCAGGTCTGAAAGTCGTCACGATCAGTGTCTAGCCAAGGCAAATTTCTTTGCACTCGACGGGGCTCGTACCTGCGGTCTTCGGATTGCTAAGCACAAGCTTAACCGCCTACACCACCCTGGCCACGCGGCTCAATCTCCCATAGGGTGTATATATAATGGCGACGAACGCCGTTGGGCGCTGTGGTGTCGGTGATATCTCGAGAACGGATGGAGTTATCGAGAAGCATCCAAGAGCAAAAATGATCAGAAAAATGTGCTCCGTTCATCTAAATACATATCATAAAGATTCAGAAGTCATTTGAGGATTCAGATTACACCGAAAAATAAAAATGACGAAAATATAACTTAATTTTTTTCCCCCTTCTTCGAATACGCAGGTACAATAACGTAAATGCGGACAGAGCGGGCAATCCAAAGACCGCAAGTTCGAGCCCCGCCGAATGCAAAGAAATTTGCCTTGTTTCGGCACTGATCGTGACGACTTTCAGACCTGACTGAAGGCGACTCCGGAAGTGTGTAAACGGTTCAAACAAAAACACAGAGCGGACGACAGGAAGAAGGATTGTGCTCGGAAGGTAGAAGAAATAATTCTAGAGTGAGTTTGAGAGAAATAAACCTCGATCCTGTGGTCTTCACACCGTAATACCTGAGTCACCCCTTTTTACAAATATTGCTTGTGTGTTCAATGATAACAGGCAGCTCCTTATGAGGACATACAATCTTCGTGTTTTTGTCATTTATTTGATATACATCAAGTCACATTTTGGACAATTTTTTTTCGGTGTCATCTGAATCCTCAAATGACTTCTGAATCTTTATGATATGTATTTAGATGAACGGAGCACATTTTTCTGATCATTTTTGCTCTTGGATGCTTCTCGATAACTCCATCCGTTCTCGAGATATCACCGACACCACAGCGCCCAACGGCGCCCGTCGCCATTATATATACACCCTATGGGCGATTGAGCCGCGTGGCCAGGGTGGTGTAAGCGGTTAAGCTTGTGCTTAGCAATCCGAAGACCGCAGGTTCGAGCCCCGCCGAGTGCAAAGAAATTTGCCTCGGTTAGACACTGATCGTGACGACTTTCAGACGTAACTGAAGGACGTGGCGACTCCGGAAGTGCACGAAATGGGTTAAAAATCAAAAGATGGTGGACGGACGACCGGGAGAAGGCAACTCATGGATGAAAGGCTGAAAATATAAGTAAGTCTGAACAAATGAATGCTCGATCCTGTGGTCTTCACACCGTAATACCTGAGTCACCCTTTTTTACAAGTTTTGCATCTATTTATAACTTAATGATGGAAATTTCACAAACAAAATTTTCGAGAAAAAAATAAATTTCGAAATTCTTCAAAAAAATCGAGAATGTTTAAAAGTATACGAAAACAACAAAAATAGCGATCAGAACCCTTTTAAAATTGGGAAAACGCACTTTTCTCAAGTTCGCGAACATTTTTCCATGCAAAAGTACTCCGAATTTCGTGAATTTCGGTCTAAAAACACCTTGATGTCAATCGGGATCGGGGTGAACTTTTTTTGCCGAAGCACAATAACGTCTAGATTCAGAATCAGCAATAAAATAATGGCTATGTAGTGTTAAAATTTTTTTAGGACGAGCAGAAAACTGAAAAATTTTCTGGAAAATGTCATAAAACAATATTTTTCTCCATGAAGGAGAGGTGCTGAATTTTTGGTGCAACATGAAAAATGCTTAAAAAGATGCGAGAAATCGAATGGCGTTAAGTCTGAGACGCTAGCATTTTCTTAAAATTAGTTACATCGGACTAGGGACCACGGAGCCGGACCAAAACTTGTCTGATGTATGTTATGTTCTGTTATTTTATGTTATGTAAGTTATGTAAGTACCCATTGGGTATAATATGGGACAAATTGAAACATTCTGAATTTTTTGTGACCTGCAGTTTTTGAACTTCTCAGACATTGCCTCTTAACTTGCAAAGAAATTAGTTCAAGCGAGAGTTGAGTGGTTTTTGAGCGTGCTCTCGGCACGTGCCGGACACCTGTCACTCTCGCTTCATCTCTTATTTTCCCTTTCTCAGAATGGAGGATTCATTTATTTCACATTTCAGTTGGAACATTCTACTACTATACTCCCTCACTCTAATGTGCTCAATCTGACGTTGAGCTGGGATCAGATTGTGCATGTGCTGTATCAGAAAGCATGCACATGCACATCTTGTCCCATCTCAGTTATCAGAGCATCTTTGGTTTTATTCACAGAAAACGAAGTTTGCGATGTTACAAAAAAGGGAATAAAAAACATAAGTTTCCAATTTTGCAAAAATCAGAGAGAAAAATACAATTGAAAATAGGCAACCCTCTTTGTGACGTACTCACAACTTCTCCAGAGGACCTCATGATATTCCTATTTCCTCCTCTAAATTACACCTCTAAAATCTAGAATTACACCTCTAAAATCTAGAAGAGAACGCTCACCACACTCTCGTCGGTTCGGATGGAGAGCTCTAGCGCCTCCTGAACTTGGCGGGTTTCCGGGCACGAGGATAACACCCCGCTCGGGAAAGCAGACGACGTACATCCCTCAGTTGCCATGTTGATCTTTGTCGGTCTGAAAAATGAACTAATCTGTGAGAGCAAAATTCCGAAAATCACGAAGGAAATACGTCGAAAGTGCAAGAAAGAAACATCGGGAAAGTTGAAATCGATAAGAAATAGGACACGTGTTTTTCCCTAAAAAATATGCGGGAACAGTGTTCACAACAGAGCGCACATGCACTAAAAACGCACTCCACGGGTTGTGTACTCTCTCGCCCTGGTCCGGGAGAAGCAGCTAGAAGAATGGGGAATATGTGTGGGGGGAGAGAAGGGCACCGGGGCTCAACGCAACTGATGAGGAGAGGGGAGTAAAAGAGAAAAGGGAGAGAGAGAGAGAGAAGGGCTCGCGTACGGAGAGGACATGAGAGGTACTTCTAGAGTTGGAGAGTATCGCTGTTACTATGGGAAACGTGAGTAAAGGTTTCGCAGCGAGGTTGGATGTTAGAGGGCAGATTCTCAACGAGAAAGGTTTGGAGCCTAAGCTCATGATTACATGGTTACGGGAAACTCTATGAAGGGAATAGGCGATGCCATTAGAATGGAAGCAACATGTGGATGAAATCGGATCAGAGCCGGAGAAAAAAAATTAGGAGCAATAGGCGACATTCAAAAACTGTATTGTTTACAATCAACCACTGCGCTCTGTCTATTGACGAAATGAGTAATATTGCGACATTCAATTCAGAAAGTTTACGGAAAATAAATAATGGTGCAAACGATAGAAGAGTGAAACTAATCATATTCCACCAAAATCACAATATTTGACTAATTAGGGGGAAAAGGAAGAGAAGAAGATGGTGCCAATCAAGAGCGAGAAAGAGAAAGAAAGGATGTTTTCCTATGCGCTATGCATACTTATTGTCAGAAAAATGCGTGTTTGATATATATCATACAGACATGCAGCATGCCGGGCCGAAATCTTGCAAGTCTAATATCATCAGTGTAATGCTCTTGAACAATTGCGACTGAAAATTGTCTTATTGGCAAATAAAGATCACCTTTGCTTTCACAACTAATTCCGATCTTGTATGAACAAACAACAACTTTTCAACATTTGGCTGAAGTAAAGTTCTTATCCATTAGTAGCATTTTAATAAACCCTAAATTATAGAGTATTCTCCTGACAAAAAGCTCGAAGCAGCATGGGTTCGTAAGAAGACAATTATTGAGAAAAGGGGTGTGAAATTTAAATTATTTTCTGTAGAACGAAATGTTCTAATTTGAATCCACAGAGATACGAATGTGCCGCTGGTATTGCGGTTTAAAAATTTGCTATAAAAAAAGTATACTACTCGAAAGACCACCAGAAATTTATTTGCACATACAAAGAGATGGAAATCGAACTTTTCTGTGTGGGCATTAGGGCTGGGCCAAAACGGCCGGTACGGTAGGCAATTCTGTGTCTTCGGACTAGCGATGGATCAGCCCCAAAAGTGTGGGACAAATTTTTCCACTCTTGATACAAGCTGCTCAATTCAGTCAAGAGTCTATATACGCTTATGTTAGCCGTGGCCGGCCCCGTCGGAGCCGACGTGATGAGCGAAATAGCTGCGGGAATAAAGTCTCGGAGCAATCGCATTGAAGTCAATGTTGCACGCCATCGCCAACATAAAGTTCTCCTGCTGCAAGTACTGTTACTTACCGGATTGGAATTCACTTAATTACTGATCATGATGACCTATAAAAAGACGCATTTTACCAGATCAGATAAAAGTCAGTTATTTTATAGAAAAATTGACGGGGACGTATCACTAAAACTATTTCTGTCAGCGAACATGAGAAAATCTATGAAGTACTAATGCCGTGGAATTAGTATTTTACCAGGAATATCATAAGAGTTTATATTGAAACAGAGTATAACCGATATCTAATTGTCAAATATTAACTCCACTACTAATGTTCACTATCATGTACCCGCTACAAAGGGCGCCCTTCTCTTTCGGGGATGGCTCCCTTCCTTTCCTATTCATCTGCAGCCATACCCCCTTCTGGTGTTCCCCTCTTTTACCGGTGTTTCTTTTTTTTTGCGATGAATAAACGAAAATTTGAACCGAGCGTTGAAAATGTTGAGTCGCCAACAGTACTTCCAGTATTTTCCTCTCGATTAAAAGCGCATAACAAATTTATTGCAATGATCGCGCAGCAATGTTAATTTATCCCTGGGCGATGAACGCAAACAGTCTCGAGTTGTTTCCTTTTATTGTCTTTTCTTAATAGGGAAAAAAAACCAAAACAACAGTTTTTAATCCTAAGATCTCTATGTATTTGTAATTTAAAGTTCTTCTGATACATTTTCTCACTAAAGTTCTCCAAAATTTCTGAAACAAATGTGGTAATACTGATGTTATTGTAATGTCGTCGTCCAGCTAATAATTGTTGTTTTAATGCCATAAGATATTCCCACTCCATGCGTGTTTCAAATTTCTCTGGATCCAAACAAATTGCCTTTTTCTCATCTTCATCGCCCGCTTCTCACCCTCTACCACGTCATTCCTCCACTTTCCCTTCAGTTTCACTATATCCACACCAATTTTAAATTTTTTGCCGTCTTACACACATTTAATAATACCCCGTCCCACCTCTAACCCTTCACAATTCGCGTGTCCATGCCTACTCTTTTTTGTCCCACACATTGGGCTCTGGACTACGGAGTCGGTTTTAATTTCCGCTCGCATGTATTCTTAACGGATTCGTTCATGTCCTGCGCTGGGAAAAACGTTTGTGATGCTCATATGCTACTCTAATTTTTTAAAAAGTTTTTATAGCTATTGTATATCTTTTATTTTCAGATTACGATGGGTAAGAGGTCGAAACAGGAGATGTTGATTGTGCGTCGCAACCTCTCGAAGACTGAGATACCTAGGAAGACCAACGACAACGTGGGAGCTGGAATAACGATCGAAACAGCAAAAAAGGTGAGAAGAAACGTTATTTATATTTCATCTCCAGTTTCGGTTTCAAAAAACCAAATGAAAAAGAAATCTGTAGCTTTAAATGTGCAGCAGTTTATCTTCAGAACTATGTTTTTCTTTTCGGTTTACATCGATGATAACAGAACTCTTTAGTGATATTCTCTCCCTTCTGATCTTTCCGAACTCTTTGTTTATTCCAGAGTGCGCAGTCCAAAACAACCAAAGAATCAGAGTCGATCCGAAAGAACTTGTCCCGTCAGGCGACCAAACGACATGGCGCAAAGAGAGTCCGTCCCGGCTTCAGACGTATGCTGACGCCCTTTTTTCTCTTTCAACTGGTCGGCGTTCTCATAATATTTGCCATTTTAATCTTCTACTTCCTCACCTTCAAAACCGTAATTTTCCCTAAAAAAATAACTTTAACCGTGTCTGGAACAGGCTCAGAAGAGCATGAACGCAAAGAATTGCCCCGGTCATCAATATTCTTTTGATTGTACTCTCAAAGTTTACTTGCCCTTTTCCATCAAAATCTTCTTCGCCGATACTATAGCATACATACTTGCTACTATTATCATCTTGATTGGAAAACGCTAGAGCTGATGAGCTTTTCTGCTCGTCGTGAATCACCAATCTGAATTGAGAATCATAATATTTGTGCTTATCACCAAATCTTGCCACACTCTAATTACTACACCAGGGATTCTAAAATTCCGCATAAAAGAGATGACAAACGTGATATTTCCAATTCTTTCTTCGAACTGATCGTGTGGAATGTCTGATACCGTGTGCCCAACAGAACTGCCTTACCGAAGGATAAATGTGCTCCAGGAAGAGTATCCAATGACGTAAGTAGGGTTAATGCGGAGCAGAAAGAAAACATGTCAAAATTCTGGAAACAACGTTACAAGTGTGTCGTGTGACGCTTGAGATTACAACCTTACAGCTTCCGCCGACGTTTTCGCCTATTATTCATTATTCTGGTTACGCTACTCTTGTTCTTAATCTTCACGATCCTGAATTTTTATAAGTACTTGAAAGGTCCTTTCTCAACGGAAGAAAAAACTCTATTGAAAGAAGATATCCTAACCTATCCACGTGCTAAACCGTTTGCTCGCATGTGAAAACATAATGCAAAAAGTTCATAACATTTAGAAAGTTTAATGTGCTTAATTTAAAGTGTCGAACGTTCTTAAGGTATCTTGAATTTTGCTATCAACCCACCATAAAATCATTGTCATTATTCAGTATTTGGAAGGTCACAGCTCCCAATAGTATACTCCCTAAAGACTTCAATATTATTCCTATACCCTCTCGAGACTGTCCAACCGATAACCAAAAACTAAACAATTGTTCAGTCTAGACCCACTTCTTCATTTTCCTTTTGTTTTTTGAAGCTGAATGCAATTATCAGAAATTTGGGTTGTCTTCCTCAAAACTACACAATATGTGGGCGCAAGTGCCTCCTTATTACTTAACACAATGCTCATGCTACTCATCATGCTCCGTTCACCGAAAAACTTGGGTGCATACAAGTATCTCATGATATATATTACTTTCTTCGAGGCCGTTTACTCTATTTTGAACGTTGTCGTCGAGCCGAACATCTATTCTTATGGCCCGGCATTTATAGTTTTTCGCAAATTCAAGCACTCAATATTTGGAAGAGAACTAAGCTTTCTCATGGTTATTGTGTTTTGCGGATGCTTTGGTTTTTCATTGGCGATTTTCGGAGTTCACTTCGTTTACAGATATGGCGCTATTAACAGCAGATTTCGTTATAAATTTCTATCTGGTAGAAAACTTTATCTGCTATTTATCATGCCAATTGTCTACGGAACTTGGTGGACTTTGCTAGCCGGTGTGCTCAACCACTCAACCAGTATTACGGACTTGTACATAAGGTGATTCCTCAAACATTTTTTTCAAAAAATCAGCTTTCTTGGGGGCCAGTTCGAGCAGGTCAATGAATAATCAGAATTTCCCGTGTCCGGACTGAAAAAACGTACTCCAGTCTTCAGAACTCCACTACTGTGCGCCTATGATATCCGTCTTGAAGATGTGTCTTACGGAATTGCTTATTTTTTCCCAAAAGATGTTCACAATGAAACGCATCCGGATTACAATATGTTTTTTGGAATTGGCTGCATGTGGTTCATGATCGTATTTCTTTAATTTTTTGATATCTAAAATTCTACATTAATTTCCTTCAGGCAACATCTCTATTCTGTGTGGTCTTTTTTGGAATCAAATGCTATTTGAGCCTTTCTCGGGCACTGGCAGCAACTCAAATGTCATCTAATTGGACCAAATCTCTTCAGCAACAACTATTCCAAGCGCTTGTAATTCAAGTCAGTCAAAAATATTGCCTAGATGATTACCAAAAGTAGTTTCAGACATTTATACCCGTAATTCTCATGTACATCCCTATAAGCGTCCTCTTTTTCTTTCCAATGATCAATGTGGATGTTGGGTTTGCAAGTAGTTTTGTGGCTGCTACAATAGCAGTTTACCCAGCAATTGATCCTTTGCCAACAATTTTCATCATCGAAAATTATCGAAAAGCTATCAAAAGTCAGTATAGTTTTGCAATTTTGTGAACTTTACAGCTTTTCAGAGATTTTGTGTTGTGAGAAAAAGAACCAACAGCCAATCTATCAATTATCGGATGTTGGCAAAACTGCACCCACATAATAATACTTTTCACTAGCTGTTTATGCCGTTACCAAGGTGATTTTCTCTCCCTTTCTCGCATATCGTTCTCAACTTCCATTTCCTCGTTCATTTCAGTAATTACTCCATTTGGTCTAGCAACAAAACTAATTTTCAGATGCCCGTGCTCACAAACTTCGAGGAGAAACGCAATAGACAAGTCGTCAAGAAATTCGGAGACGAACCAACTACTGTGGAACTTCTGCCCCGAAACGGAAAATTCTTCATGGTGAAAATGGACGAAGAACACAGCGATGAACTTTCGACATCCACCGAGATCATCTTTCAATGTTCTCTTCTTCTTGTCACGTTTCTTCTCATCGTCATTTTCTTGTGGGCCACCGAAACTATCCTCAATGTAAAATGGAACGATCAATAAACTTTCAATCTTTCAAACTTTTTCTAATTTGTGAAGCAGACATAGCAATTTTGGAATGAGAATCAAGAATTTTCATTGTTAACATTTCCCACTTGTTAAATTATAATGTCTCCTGTCGGTTCTGCTCTTCAATGTTTTTTTAACCGAAAAAAACGTGTTGTCGTCAAGTACTGTGTTCTTTCAATCATTCCATCTGTGTTCTGATAGATGGATGAGAGAAATGGCACAACACCGGAGTTCAACGATGTGAATATAGTAGAGGGGGCCAGCGGGGGTTGCGAGTTGATAGAGCGCGCTCTTTTGTTGGCGCGTCGCTTCTTTTATAGGAGCGATAGGCTCCACCTTCTTGTTTGTCCGTACCGGTTCCCCACTCGCTTTTCGCTTTTGAAATTTGTATGGTTCGATTTCGAAGATTCGCAAGAAAGGCCTTGAATCATAATTAGAGAATCGAAAGAGTGGAATCAGCTTCACACGCGATATCAATTATGAATGTCTACGAATACTGTCGAATATCAGTCAAGGAAAAACATCTGTGTCTGGTTGTTTTGATTTTGAATGTACATTCAAATTTTTGGGAACGATGATGGATCTATTTTCAGATTTTTAGGAGGAAGCCTGGGCCGGCCTTTTGCATGGTCCTTATTTTTTAACTATCCAAAAATCTGAAACACTGACTGGGATACGTTGCCAAAATTTTTTCAGAGATGTTAAAATTACAGCTACTCATACCAGCAATCTTTAGCTCAATTTCAGAAGGTAGGATATGTTTGTTGTGGAGCGGGGAGTTCAAAAAGAACTTTCGTATTTATGCAATACGTTGCAAACGGTGCCGCCACATTACCGTTCCTTTTTTAGTGTGCCGACATTAATTTCGAAAAGGGTACGCCGCCTTTGGCGGAAGAGGGAAAGTATGTACTTGGGTGTGGCGTAGAGAGGGTTCACAATCTTAACACACACGGCGTAGAGAGGGTTCACAATCTTAACACCTACGAAGATTTTTTGAATATATTCACTTTTGTGAATTGGGCAAGATTACAAAAGGTGATGCAATTGTTTTTGGAAAATAAGGGAAAGTGCAGGTAGTTTCCGTTATTGGTTTGTTTTTCCCACTTTTCGAAAAGGGAGAGATAAACAGAGCAAGGTGGTCATGAAGAATTGAAATGGTCTTTTTCGAAGTGTTTTTATGTGAGCCGGGAACAGATACGACTGAAGACAGCAGAGTACAACAGGATCTCCCGGATTTCAGAGTCAATATCTTGTCATGATCATTGCTCGTTTCCCTCTACAATTTCTCTCCATCTCCCGAACAGTCGTCCGCTGCCACGTTTAGAAACCCCGCTCTCCTCTTGGGCGACCAGTGTTTTTTCTCACGATTTGCATTTGTGTGCACATTTCGAGCCATCAGTGAATCTATAATCGGAGGGACAATGGAAAGAAGAGTATTGAATGGGACGAATAGAGCATTTGTCTGCTATTTGAAGAAGAAAGAGGAGATCTCACAGTTTATTTCAACACACTGGTTACATTCACTGTCCCTCGAGATGCTTGCAAACCAAATCATTTTATGCGAGGAAGTTATGTACAAGAGGTACGCAAAGAAATATGATGGCAGTCAAGAGTTGGCTTTGAATCCTTGACAACGCGCACTCTTTTATCTACTCTGAGACTCTTAACCCGGGTGCTATCTCATTGTGCCAAAACTTTCACACCCTATTGTTATGTATTTTCTCCGTAGACTCATTGCGTATCATCACGTTCCTATGTCATCTCGCCCATTTCTGTTCTTTTTTGTTGCTTTTCATGTCTTCTCCTCAAATTCTACTTGTTTTACCAATATCCTTTGTTTTTTCCCTATTTTTCCCGACTCGTATCCCAAAACAGTGTCCGCCAAGAGTCCAGCGGAGATAGGCAATACGTGTTGAATTCTACTGATACAACACGATATTGACGATCTCAGCTTGACCTCAGAAGGAAAAGGAAAATAGTAGTAATAGTAATCGCACAACCGTCCGGGAATAGAGAGAGGGGAAGAGAAAGAGGAGGGAAGGGGTTAGTTGAAGGGTGGAATTTTCCGTCGACCGCGGTATTTATAGGATCTGGAGTGGGCGGTGTTTCGATCGCGTGTTTACACTGTGCCTGTATTAAAACAACAATGCGAGGCACGTGAATGGGAGTAACACGTAAATGGAAAACTTCTATCAATAGGGAATAATGAGGGGTGCGGAAGACGTTTCAGAGTAATTGAGTGAAGTATATTTTCATCACTAATTATCTGAACTCACTCACAAAGTTGGTAGGATTTGTTGGCAGTCCCTTATTCACAATCAACCACGTTACTGAACCCGGGAAGATAAGAAGATATTTGGTTTGTGTGAGGAAAGACAGAGAAACAGACCTCTGACTCATGCGGAACCAGAGTCTGGTAAAACGTACATATTGGCCTACCCGGACCGGGCCGTGCCGAATTTTTAAGATTCCACAAGCCACAAGAAAATGGTATGTAGTTAAAGGACCAGGGAACCCAAAAATTTTTTGATTTTTTTGTGAAATTTTTTGTGACTGTTTGAATTGTCTCTTATTGCCTCATACACTGGTGAAATGCTGCCTCTCAAAAATGCCAATGAACGAAACGGCATGCAGTTGAAGTTGTGGCCGTGGCCTAGCGCCAGCGCCAATGTAGAAATATGCGCTTCTTGGCCATTTTATTTTTTTCGCTTTTTTTCGGTTTTTTTTCGATAAAATCGCCCTTGTTCCACGGAAACCACTCATCTGGCACTTCGTATCGACTGAATGAAAACAATTTTTTAGCAGTGAAAAATAAGTAAGTGCCGAACAAATGTCAATCAACTGAAAAATGGGAGAAACCGTGAATTTTTGGAAAAAAACCGGTAAAAAAGCAGAAAAAATAAAATGGCCGAGAAGCGCATATATTTTTTTATATTTTTCGGCCATTGGCGCTAGGCCACGGCCACAACTTCAACTGCATGCCGTTTCGTTCATTGGCATTTTTGAGAGGCAGCATTTCACCAGTGTATGAGGCAATAAGAGGCAATTCAAACAGTCACAAAAACATTTCACAAAAAAATCAAAAAATTTTTGGGTCCCCTGGTCCTTTAAAAATGGCTAATCTTCTCGATTTTTTCATTTCTTTCTTTTCATTTTGCTCTCGAGTTCATTCTTCCCATTTCTTCGTTCCCAATTTGCTCATTCTTCTAGAATTCACCTCATCTATACATGTTCTGACATGCCTCCTTCGCTACAATATTCTTCTTTTTCTTTTATACATTCAATCGTTTCTTCTTCTTCCCGTCGTTATTATTTCAATTTTTTTCTCAGAGCGATGCCTCGTGTTTCCAAGCTCCCACGCCCTGAGGAAGACCCTGTCGCATTTGAGAACGCCTTTCGCAGGCAGCTCAAAATTATCGACGACAAGAAAAATGAAGCTGACAGACTGAAGCGCTGCAAGGAGAATGGCGTTTCAAACATCGCTCCAACCTCGGAGATCTCCAGCGACGTTTCTCAATTTTCTACAGCTCCATCTACGGGAACGCTTCTGGTTACGTTCTCGCCGAATCCGTCGTTTGTGCCCTTTCAGTTCAATGGGCCGCAACCGGAAAGCGAATATTTTGCTTATCCGGATTTTATGACGTCATCGGTCGTCTCCACTTTCTCCTCTACTCCAACGTCGGCACCGACGTTGCAGTTGTCGTCGTTTATGCCGTGCCAGCTATATGAGACAACGGAGGAATACGTCCTGGAGCCACTGCTGACGACGCCACCGTTGTCTTCCACGTCATCCTTCTCTATCTCCTCTTATGAGACTGCGGAAACCTGCTTCAAAGCTGTGGAAACTCCAACGCCGACTATCTGCGATCCGACTGGAAGCTGCGGCAGAGGTGAGAAACACTTGTGTAATGAAAAAGCAGAAATTCGAGTGCAGATGCGAACATCCTTGGTGCTACTGACACAATGCCAAGCGGATTGATTCACAATGTTCCGCCGATATGGGACACAAACTATTTGTAAGTTTTCAGCGTCAATGCAAAGCATTGCAAAATTAGAACATTTTACAAACCGTAGCAGTCGTGAGATAGAAACGGGTAAAACACGGTAGCATTATGTATATTTGAATTCGTTCGTTAATCAAAGCATTTTCAAAGTAATTTTTGTAGGGGCTGTGCCAACGTCCAACCTGTTTGCGACTCGGGTCTCGAGAATAATGTGATCCGTCTGGAATACGAGGAGAATGAGCGTCTCCTTATGTGTCAGCTGACCGACAACGAAACTCCGATGATCGGCCCTCTCGAGGTGAGCAAAATTCAAAAAATCAAGTGATTTGTTTTAAAATGTAGTCATCGCACTTTACGGAACGTAGTTTCGCCAAATTTAAAAGGATAACTACACAGTTCTATAGGCTCTTGTTTACTGTCTCTGTCCTAACTAACTTCCAGATAATCCTTTTAAAACTTTCTGATTTTCAGATGGAGTACATGCAGCACCTATCCCCTTCCAACCCACTGGCCTTCGCTCTGGATCTTCCGGTTGTGAGAGAGTTGCTCCATGTTCCGTCTCCTCCGCCGCCGACTCCGGGACGCGTCCCGCTCTACAAGAGAACTTCAAAGTTGAACCACTAATTTTTTCTGTGATCTTCTACTCATTATTCATTCTTGTATGTAAGTTTGAGCTAACATTGATTACTGTGAAACTCAAATAAATTAACGGTCCTTTTAAAAATTATGAAAATTTATATATATACAGAAATGATGCGCTGCACCGTTTAATACAACGAGATAGTCTGGCATTTTTTGGTTAGGGTGAGGGAATGGAAACCATAATTGTATGGCCGCCGTCTGTTAGTACAATTAGATCGTTTCGAAGTGCGGGCGGGGTGTAAGTCTCATCAAATAAGAAATTGTACTTCAAATATGCCGTTTCTCGAAACATGAACCAGAATGTTCTCCATTCTTCTTGACTGATCCCCGGTGGAATGTCAAACTTGTGATTGTCGTCCCATTTTTCGAGTTGCTCCTGAAAATACAAAATATGAATCAGCCATTTTGGACTGCGGCCCGTTTTTCTCGAGAATTTTCAGTTTCTCGGTTTTCTATTATCTTCCCTATTGTATTTGTGGCTCCCAAAAATTTTGACAATTATCACTCACAATTTTGGCTTGATCTGTGTGACACTGATGCATTTTCAAGTCGAAGTAGAACTCCATGTAGTCCACTTTTTTTATTCTGAAACGTGTTTTTTTTTGAAGAAAGACTCTCGTGTTGTTGCACTGGGAAAAAGATGAAACTCACAAGTAGGCTCCAAGTACAACACAATGAATAGCGATCAGTACTTTGTCAGCAACTTTTTTGAACGATACCATTTCTATAACGGAAAATGTTTCAGTAATGGAGAAATGAGCAGTCTGAAGAGTATTAGAGGAAAGAGGCGGGTTTTTAAAACTTTCTAATCATCAAGTTCTGTTCCGCGTTTTGGTCGCAATCAGTTACCTCCACGGCGTCCTTATAATGATAATTATACATAGAACACAAGAACATTGTACCTTGGTACTCTATGTCGTTGAAAGAAATAATGACGATAACGGACGTCTGCTACATGATGAAGCTGGGGAGATTATCAACTGAAGTGAAAAGGAAAACCACAAAAACCAACACAATATGAACTAATAATCACGAAAATGTTCGATACATACTATAAAATAAGTATTTTCACTCCAAATGACTACGAAAAACTGCTGCCACATTTATAATGAGAATAAGGGAAAGAAAAATTGTGACCAGCTGTCCGCTGATAACGGCGAGAAATAAAACTGTTGACATTTGGTTCCATGTGACCGAAAACATGTTTTGGGCGACAGTCTGTAGTCAAAATGACCTAGTTCATGGCCAACTTGAAGTGCTATTTGATCAACTAGCCCAATAAGTTTTTAGTTTCTTCATAAGACATACAAAGTTGCCAAATGTTACTATTTTCTCTCAGATGAAATCAGGGTCTTTGTGCGGCTGGCAACCTAATAAAGGAGAACGATATCGGCTGCAATAAGCTTTTTCGCAGCACAATTTGGGCCCTTCGGAATAGTCTCACCGTCCAAGAGCACTCGAAAACACTTTGTCCTTCTGTGAAGTACTGTCTCGCATTTTGAAGCATAATCTCTATGTAGCATCGGGTAATTCGTACAAGGTCTTCCAAATAGGGTACAAGATAAATTTGGCATCCCGAGCGCTCAATGAAAATTTGGAAGCTTTTTCACGACGCGCTATTCCGGTCGGATTCGAGTAAAGACCGCAATTTTCGACCAAATCCAGAATGAAATCAGTGCAGTACGGATCCTTTCTTGAGACTTCGGCATCTTTGAGCTCACTCTCTGCTTCTTGCAGCAAATTGATTATCTTTATAATTCGTGGATCTTCCATTGGAATTACATCGATATTATTGTAAGCAACAGTTAGCTCATGAAACCTCTTTTTCTTCCAGCGGAAAAACTATGTAGTCGAACTGTTCCATAGATTGCATCATCCCCCGCAAACTGCATGAACAACTGCAATACATTAACCACAGGCTTCTTTAACGGATGAGAAGCGGTTACCTTAGAACAGAACTGATAAATCTTGCTATCCTGTATGCGATGAATAAGAGAAGTCCATTCAGATGTCGGAACTTCGTAGGTGTTAAGAAGTGTTCGCAGAGGAGTCGAGGACAACTGAAATAAAATGAATGCTATTGATTTGCAAACGAAAAAAGTCGAGCGGGGCGCACGGAGTCCGTTTTGACCTACCGCCGCCAAACCGCGCACTCTCTTCTTCTCTGCGTCTCTCGGATGTGGGTCCCCCTTGCCGATCTCGATTGAGTGTTCCAACGGAACAACCGCTAGGGGCTGCACTGGTTAAAGGACCGAAACAATCAAGAAAAGATAAAGTGAGTTCCACAATCAACGTGTGTTCTCATTTCAATAATTACTAGAGACATTTTTAGACGGAAACACCCTTTATTACAGAGAAGTATCGCGAAGAATTATTTTTACTCAAGGAGCTATTATCGGAAATATGTGGAATCTTGAGGGCTATGATCATTTTAATTATTAGGAGCAACCAAAGACATGAAGGTTAGTTTTATTATATAACCCGCAAAAAACGCCCCGGGCCGCGCAATCAATCCGTTCAAGGTCTATTTTTCAACATAGTTGAGAAACTATGATTTTTGTGAGGGACAATAAAACTAGCCGTGAAGAAGAAAAAATATGATACGAAAGATGAGAATTTCTCGTTGCTAGAAAAATGCAGCAGAAGATTTCAAGGTACGTTTCGCCTAATGTCTATCGCAACCAAAGACGGAATATACGGTTGGATGGAAGAACTATGCGCAAATATGAACTAATTCGTGTTCATATGCTTTTTCAACATATTCAGAAGGTTCCAAGGTACGTGTTGCGGCCCGCCTAAGCAGCGGAAGAACTCGATGGATATGGTTGAATGGAAGAAGGTTGGTTATTAATAGAGGAAAAAACAGAAAACATGAAGAAGCATCTCCGGTAAGTATGGCTACTGTTGTCAGTCATTGTTTCAGGCAGGATAAAAAATAATTCCGACATGACACACTTATAGATTTACTTGACTTGGAAGGCACTTGGCGGATGATTTTAGGAGATGTCGGTTGCTAAGATATTATTGAGGAGGGGGTGCCAGCTACCCCTTTTGATTTTACTTCTCTCGTGACCCTGCAAAAACCCCAGGGTCCGATAATCCTGCTTTTCATGTGAGAGTTTACTATTAAAGGTAAGTCATCACTTTTGTGTAATACTTTGAAGATGGGGAGAAGAGGACTGCTGATTAACGCCATTAATATTACTATCGCCAAGAATTGTTCCGACTATCAATGGAACGGATGTTAATGATTTCCGGATAAGACGATACTATGTATTAATAATTTGAAAATGCGAGTCAGAAGGTCCACAAAATCTTCAAAACTGAAATCGACAGTTCATATTGTTGTTCACACTCGCTAGCCCGTTTCTATCTGGATGAGACGTGCCGAGACAAAGATTATGCTGGCCTCGCCCGGCCCAGTCAGCCCGGGAGTTGCACCTCGGGGTGGAATCGTCAGCATTGTGTCAGAAGTCGAGGATGTTAAAATTCGCCATGTTAAAATTCGAGTGAGTTCTTGGTTACCAGCTACTTTGGGGCTGATCTATAAGATGCTTGTAAGCTGTCTTTCACTTCAGCGAACCCGGATGACTATTTGATTTCAGGCGGGAGCAGCAGAAGAGTTCAAAGACGCACAGAAAAATCATTAGAAAAGATGAACGATGAGCAGTTAGGCCAACGCTGGAAGCTTGTCTGACGGAAGCACAGTTCATTCAGAGTGGTTGCAATTAACTAATTCGCCTCGGGCGCGACGGACAATATCGAGGATTATTCATTTAATTTATTTTATTGTCTTTTGCTTAAATTTGTCGTATGACCCAGCAAAAAAAACCCGGAGTTCCGTCATCCTTTATTTCAGGGTAAGTTTTTAGGCGAATGGTTCTTGAGCAACTTAAATATTCGTGACGGACAAATAAGCTGGTTTAGGGTTGGCAGCGGGGCGCCCCCTCGCCCCCGACCGGTTTTCCCAAAAGCGAGCAGGATTTTTTTTGAAAATTTTTCTCAACGCACGTCGATAGTGAGTAAACGCATTAATCTACTAATTTTTTTTCAGAATTTTAATTACACTTTAAGGGCCTGGGGGCGGACGGGGGCGTGTGGGGCGAGGGGGCGCCCCCTTATCCATGTCATTTCTTGAAAATTCACTGGTGACGGTTACAGGTTTTTTGGGATATGGTCAGGGACGCGCAACGCATAACCAGGACCAAGAAAATTTTAGCCAGACAACAGACTTTGAATATGGCCGCTTGTACTTGTTGACTCTTCGAAACATTTAGCTCGGTTTTTCGTCCATTTTTTCCGTTCAGTTGTTCAGTTCTCCTGATGAAAAATTATTTGCCTCTTCGAAGTCAATACTGTTGTTGTTCGCTTAAGTTCAGCTACCGATTTGGGTGACTGGTTTTTTTTTTCATATTCACTGAAAGTGATACATATCTCCTACGTGATTTTCCAGATCACTCCAATCGTAGCAGAATACGTCTGGTGTTTTATTTCTGTTTCATTACAGCGTTTCTCTTCTCTTGAGTCTCTTTTTTTAATTGTTCTTCTTTATAACTAATTTTTTGTGACTAGTGCCTCATAGCGTTTTGATCCCGTTATTTTGTTCTTTAAAATACGTGTTCTTGTCCTCAATGTCAACTAGTAATGCCTGTACACAAGCCGATTTGAATATCAGATTTACATCATAGTCGAGAGGATAGTTTTTATGATATAATTTTTATTAATGATAATTTTATTATAATAACAATCAGCTAGGGAGAAGAAACGAAACGCACCTTTCCTATCCTTTTGTATTTGTGAGGAGCGGGGCCATGAATAACAGTTTAGTCACACCGTTCTTATTAATAAAAATCTCCCTGGGCATTTTTGTTTGTTTGTCTTTGATTGTCTTTGTTCTCATTTCTGATACGAAAAATAATTGTGACTGAAAAATAAAGGAATGAACATGCACGTGAACTTTCCATTGGTTACAGGAATCAAACAAGCAGCGAAGCGGCTTTCGAGTTAACACGTCTGACGATTTTAGATATACTGAATCCGATTTTTGAATTCCGCGAGCCCACTCCCAAATGTGATTTTCTAATCAGGTGTTCATGGGGTATACGCACGACATATTTTAGTCAGATCGGAAACCTAACAGCTTGCACGAAGAAGTGGCAATCTATCAGGCTTTTGCGATTTCTGAGGATCCCACAGCTTCCCAACGGGATCCAATGATGTCAATATATGTAGCTCTAAAACAGCTCTAGCACAAAACGAACAGTAAAAATTGTCCCATGATTTATTTGGATCAGCGACGACGAGAAATGCATCTGCGTAGCAGTTTGAAGCGTTGTGGCTCAGTTCGGGGACTTTCCGGAATAACTGGTTTGTCTGGTCCCTGTTCTTCGTTGAGCAGGAAACGATTAACAAATATACGTTCGACATATCGCAGTTCTCTCATCAATTCCTCAAACTTCTTGCGGCCAGTCTGAAAAAAGTGTATGATGCATATGTATAAAGCCAATTGAACTTTACTTACATATGAGAACGAAAAAGATCCTAGCTGATAAACTCTTTCATACTTGCGCTTCATATCCATTCCCAACACTTGGATACCCATACGGCGGTTGATCGGTGTAAGCTGAAAGAAACGACAGTTTGAAAGAAAGATGATTTCAATTGAACTCACATTTTTATCATATATTTCACAGAAAGTCACGTGATCATGTTCCAGAGTTAGCAGAAATATTAGAGATAATATTAGAGAAATTGAAAAGTTATATTATTGGGGCACTGGACAGAAAGGGCGCGCTGTTCGCAATCTGGCCGAATTTCTCGGCTGCGAAGTAATTTTTCACTGAAAACGTGGCTTAACTTTTCAAACTCGGCGCCGAGGTCGCTCAATTTGCACTGCAAAAAGAGTTTCTCAACAGAGCGCCATTTCTGTGCGGTGCCCCTATAATACATACCAGTTCAGTTGCCGAAGCGTTGAAAACAAAATCAGCAATAGTAAGAGGATGTCGACCAGACGATTTCATAGCTTTAGGTGCATAAAAGGAAAAAATACGCTAAAATAGGTATCTAATTTTAAACGTTTTTTGTGGTGTTTTGTGAGTACGTTGAAATCTCTCTGGAAAATTCACAAATCTCTGAAAATCAAATGCTGAAGGAAAGTAATAATGATTTCCAGTGTGCACATGCAACTTGACTCCATAAATTCCGCACTTTATTAATGGGGTCTTAAGTACCGATTGGGACAAATATTATGAAAATGAGTAGAAATACTGAGAAATTGTGATTTTATTGTTTGCAAGGATTTGAGAAATCACGTTCCAAAAAGATTATGTTCCAAAGATTTGCAGAGAACAAAAATTACCTATTCATGTGAATACAGATTGAGAAATCTCATTCGATTCACAAAAACGATTGAGTTGAGAGCATGTCATACTGTTAACTTGAATAATTTTTTTTGCGACCCGTATTTCCAAGCATTATTTCTGCATTTATCCTTCTGAAACACCACGAGCCAGTTATTTTTCTCGCTATTTGCCAAACTTCTCCCCTCACAGATCACGGAGCGTTCACTATCTATCATAAATACGATTAAATGCTTTTTAGTATTGATGTTTCGTCAGTTTTTCTTCCCGTTATTTCACATTCGGGGTTGGTTTCCCAACATCTGCGTAGTTTCCTGTCCGTCTGTGTAGCATACTGTCGATGTTTTTGTCGGAGTTCTTCTCACAACCCATGGAGAAGCAATTTATCTATAAAAAAGAGACGTATTACGATGTATCGAAGCTTTTTTTTCTCATTTCACCATTACATCGACTACCCGCTGCTTTGCTCCTGTTTTTTTCTATTACGAAACTATTAGTCATCTCGTTTGGAGAAGTTCTGAAAGAATCCGACACGCCGCTCAGACATCTGCGTCTTTTTTCTATATTGATCGGATTTCCATCTCGAATTTTGACTGTTACTTGCTCCTTCTTTCCTCTCTATCTCCCTCTCTTTCGTCAGAGTCTTCTCGGCTTTTCTACCGTTCAAAAAACCAATCAAAAGTGACTCCTCCCTCGAATTCTGCTTAGTCACCGCCACCCTGTACCGGGCGCCCGGCCCTATCTCTCTCTCTCTCTCTCTCCCCCACATGCCATTTCCTTGCGAGCTGAGAAAAAAGAGGGCGCCTCAGACTTCCTCATTTTCCTCTATCACACGCATATTTTCTACTTTTTGTCTTTCCACCTTATTGTTGACCATTTTCTCGATGTCCACGTGGTGTGTCTAGTGATTTCCCTATTCCTTCCCTTTATTTATGCTCCTGTTTGAGACTGTTTTACAGGAAATCTCAGACTTGACTTACAAAATTAAGTGACATAGCTCCCTTAACCCAACGTTATTGTAACTACAGCAATCCTTTGTAGCTCAGTTTTTCTCGGCGTTCTTAGATATGATTCCAACTTTTCCTCAGTTTTTGTAACTTCTTCTTTAATTTCACATTTCTACCAATAACGTGAATGAATTCATATCTGTTTTCAGAACATGGAAGAGCCAACAAAAACAGTATTGAAATGGCGACCGATTCACCCTAAAGATATTATGAATTTCTCTTTGTTGCGGAACAAGGAAAGATTGATGGATCAGTGGGACGATGTTAGTTTATTTGCTAACAAAAACTGTTTTACTAAAAATTTTTACAAATTTTTAAAGTACGTACGACGTGAGCAAGAAACGGATCCATCTGCGCCCACGAATTCTGGACCCGACAACTTTTTGACCACAGCGCAAAGATTGTGCCTACCTGAAGCGAAGGAAGAAGAAAAGGTACAAATCCAAGCCTGAAACCAGTCTACGCCGGGTTTCAGGCTCGGCTCGATCGCGTTTTACAAAGTCATAAATATGCTTATGCAGAATGAGAAAATAAAAATTCCGAAGCATTAAAAATGACTAATTGAAAAATATATCTAATTTTCCAGTTGGAAAACGAGCGCCAGCTTCAGAAAATCAGAAAAGAGATTTCCGACGATATGAATCTTTGGCAGCGACTGCAGTTTAAGGAGCTGAACCTCTCTACCAGCTATCCCATTGACGACAAAAAAGCAAGAGAGCGACTTGAAGAGGTGCACGCTAGATTCGAGTACTAAAAGTATAATTAAAAATGTAGGAGTGGAGGAGAAACGTAGCTGAGAACGGGAGACAAGAAGGAAGAACTGAGGAAGAAATTGAGATGATGATAAACGAGCTACTACCAGATTTGGAGAAAATTCAGGCCGAAAGAAAAAGAAAGGAAGAAAAAAAGGTAGAGTACATATGTATACATATTGATTTTGGGTTATTAGCTTTTGTGGACGGTTTTTGTTTAGAGCTGTCCGCAAAATGTCAGTTCTTAAACGGTAGACTATTTCCTAAGAATTTCTTGTGAACCGGCGTTTTGCCTATCCCTGGTTCAGAGAGAAAGTATGCAACGTAGGAAAGATTCCGATAATATATACATATTTAATAAATCTGAAAAATGTAATCTGGAGCAGCAAATACTTTTTCAATCAAACAATTTTTCAGTTTAACAACTTCTCTCCTCGTCAGGAATTGATTCCCTGCATTTTGTGTGCAAAAATGGCCCTCCAAGTAAGTCTCATTTATTCATTTTCTTTAAGCACTATAGCTAATTCAGAAAGTTCAGATAAAAGGTTTCGATTGAAATTCCAATGCCCTACCCAAACGACAAGTTTGTGAAATAGTGTGACGTGCCTTAGCTTTACCTCCTTCCCCCCAGAACACTTCTTTTTTAGTTAACCTTATTTGGACGCTTGTTTGGCTTCATCGCTTTTTTTAATTTAAAAATTTCGCGACTCTGAAAGATGAACCCTTTTCAGATTAGCAATCTCAGCAAAGCCTCACAGAGAAAATACGATGATCAACCTGTTTTTTGTCCGACTGTAAGGTGTCTTTCTTTTTTGTGATTTAAATCTTCACTAGATTTTTATTCCTTCAAAAAATATTTTTTCAGTGCAAACACGCCCCTGTCGAATATCAACTTTGCCCAGGCACTAAAGAAACTGATCTTGTAAGCAATTGTTTATCAAATTTCAAAATCAATCAAAATGTCTGTTACAGTGGCAAAAATGCAAAAGGAAAACTACTGGAGAACCCATTGTTGTGTATCATAACCATCCGCAAGCGCTCAAACTTCAGTTGCTTCAGGTATGTTATAAATACGTTCCTCAGAACGATACATATCTTCTGAAATGTGTTACAGCAAAAAAACAAACGTGAGGATCCGTTCCCCTGGATGGGAGCTGATCAGTCGGACGACAATTTTCCGGATTCTGGCAGCGAGGATGATGAGCTGGACGACGAAGATCTATGGGTGCCGTATGACTCGGGAGAGGAGATTGGAAACCCCTGGAACTTCAATGTGCTGGATGGCTACACGTTAGTTTTGTAATTGTCAATTTAGAGGTACATATGCAGAAACAGCTTTTTTGCTGAAAACAAATTCCTATAACGGTCATGTTATGACTTCTAGGCTACTGACACCTAATAATTTGATAATGTGATGTGCAACTAACCATGGGGTTTCAATCCTCACAGTACGTGTGCTAAGCATGCTTGCAATAGGCATAGTTGTCAGGGTGAACAAGTTTTAAGTTTGTTTTTGGCGGTTTTCATCTTGGTTCGTGATATTTAATGTTAAAAACGACACATATTGACCATTTTCTAGCTAGTAACTATAAAAATTGAGCCGGGCCGGGCCGAAGAATCACAAGTATGGCAGTAAGTTGCGAGGAGCCTTCTCCGACAAAACGGCCCCACATAATGCAAATTTCAACAGTGTTTTGTTACATATATAATTAAGGAAATAAGACAAAGTTTAAATTTTTGCAGTGATCTCAAGTACCCGTACGTCAAGGCCAACAAGATCAAAGTTCACAAACCGAAGTAATTAGGTCCAAGAGCTGAAATTCTAATTCTAATTTTGAATTTGTTTATTAATATTTACGGATATCTTTCATTCTAGTTTGTCTCAATTTTTCCCCAGTGATTGTCTCCTTTCCTCCATTGTGATTGAAATCTTAGATTTTTGCAATTTCCCTTTCAGATATATTTTTCTTGCCACTAACCCATCTTTTTATTTGCTCCCATTTTTTTAATGCTTATTTTCTTTTCGAATTCACTTTCAATGCCTTCAATAATCCTTCAATTGAAACCCAACATTCCCCTTTCTGATAATCGTTTTTCAAAAACGCAAAACTGTCACGAGTTTTATAAACTCTCTCGATTTTTAATGTTTGTCATACGTTTATCTCAAAATGTTTTGTTTCTTTAGAGGGAGATCTCTCCTTATACTTCGAATTGCCTAATGATTGTGCAATAGCATGTCTAGCGCGCTATGTCGGGATGCACCTGTTGACAGGTTGACCTGGGCAGCAAGAGCAAGGTGAAGAGCTCACGATTTGTATATACAACTTGTCACCCAGGGTGTCAAGGAAAGCACGGGTCAAATAACGGACCCCGTAGCACGAAAACAAAGTACGAAGGAGCGGAACTCTGACGTTAGCTAGAAATAATCAATGTAAACCTGAAAACTGCCAGTTTATCTTTTCACAATCTATTTCTCGAAGCACGACGAACATTTGTGAATTCTGATGCGATTTTATCGCTCCGTATCAAAAATCTTACTCCTTGAACCCGCTCAAAGTATCGACCCGACCGACATTGATTTTAATTTTTCAATTGTATCAAACTGCTCTTAAACGATTCTGCAAAGTCTTCCGAATAGATTATAAGTCACATTTCCCCCTTTTTTTTGGCACCCTGTTGCGTGACGATACGGTATGTATAACATAAACAATTGCTGTTTCCCCCTCCTCCTCACACGTCTTAGTCAGAAAAACAGGTGTCATGGGATATTGGGTTACAGAGGTCAGCAAATCAAGAACAGACATGAATATTATAAACACATTGATACACTAAGGCATTCTTGTTCAACTTCTTATTATCTCTATTGCTATTTTTCATTTTACATTTGATTACACTTACGCGCTTTTCAGTAATTTCCAGTTTCTAATTTTCTTTGCGCAATTTCTAAATTTGTAATTTTAGAATGTGCGGGTGCGACAAAAATCCTAGGAAATTGCTGATCGGAGACCTGAAATTTGTGGATGAACCTGCAAAATTCAAAAAGGAATGTGAAAAGGAGAGAGCTCGAGTTGTCAATAGTGCGATCGAGAACTTGGAGATCGGTTTCCCAGAGCCCGCATTTGGAGGTATGCAATTCACAGATTACTCATTTTCCTTGTAAAAAATGCAATTTTTCTTTGCATCAAGACTCAGCTGAACCGGACTGTGAGAGTTGCTCTCCGGACTCAAAAGAATTCAAAAACAGGACCTTGTCGGAAAAAATCTGATTATCTGATTCGGCAGGCAAAATACTGGTTTCTTTCCATTTGTTTCCTGTTTTGAAACTGGTTTTCGCGGGAAAAAGCAGGTTTCTTCCCGACTGAACAAGTCCATTAAACATAAATATTTTCACTAAATCAGCGAACTCTTGCAGAATTTCGCATTCGATATTGGTCCGATGTATTCATGCCGACTATGTGTGTAATCTGCGGTGACATTCAAATTTCTTTTTTTTCGTCGATCCACCACTGTGAGCATTTAAATTTTGATTTTAGTATCTACTCCTCAATTTTATTCATTTTCAGTCTTACATTGCCACAACGGAAAGATACAAGGCGTGCGAATTTTCGGCTATTATGGATATTATCCGGTCACAAAAATGAAGGTGGCTCCTCTTTCTGCATGTTCATTTTGCGAAAAGGCGTTTGATTCTGAATATCTGTGAGTGTTAGGATATAGTGAAAAATGCACATACAAATTTTTAGGTTCTTCACTCATTTCTTAATCAGCCATCTTCCCACGGTGCATGAATACTACAAGAAGACGTGTGTAAACATTTATTCGCATTTTGTTTTGCTTTGAGTTGTGCATTGTATACATGCGATCACATCTTCCTAGACGATCTCATCTATTGGCAAACTGGCCGTAATCCCGTTATATTTCAGATTTCCTTACATTGACAACTACGACAGCGAAATCACTTTTGAGTGCCGACAAGGGACAATTGTGGTCCACAATTTTTTTGAAATCAAGGAACGATACCCAATAACTTGTTATCGTTGGACTTGCAATTTTGTTTGTAACAGCATTTGTATTAACGGAAACAGCAATGGCTTTTTTGATGCTCGCAAATCGACGAACCGAAAAGATGAAGAAAACAAAAGCACTAGAAAACCATAGGCGGTTACCGACTTATCTTCCCAACCTCTAAAAGTTTTCTCTAGAAATTTCATTTTGTACTTCAAATCGTTCTCTTTTTTAAATTCAGAGCATTGCATATTCTTTTCCTGTTGCCACAAAACTTGTAATTCATTTGCTACGTTTGCAAATCATTAAATTCCACATCACAACTTGGTCGTGGGCCGCATTTTCAAAGTTAATAAAATCCCGTCCTTTTTTTGTTAATCTATTTTGGTTGCACATGCTCCTCCCCTTGCCGATCTCGTCAACTAGGTAGCTCCCCCCTACTGCCCTCACACTCATTCTGCCTGTTGCGTAACCTACCTCAAGCGACTTGTCTTCCTCTTTCTTCCGACCAGACGACATGCTGTTGCGAGGCTGCTTTCAACCGAACAGTAAGCCGTTTTACGTTTGGAAAAAGTTATCACGGTAGCGGATGCTATGCCACTCTATCAAGATACAGTGTTTAGTGGTGTATCTATAGAACAAGATTATCTAGGCTATTCTAGGAGCACAAACCAGTATTAGAACCAAATTATTTTAGCCAACAATTCTACCATGCCCTATCACTCTGCCAGCGTTCCTCCCTCTTCCACCGATTACAAAGAAACCGCTGGCAGCCGTCACCTTTGTGAAAAAAAGGAGTACGGCCAAAATATGAAGATGCCAGTGGCTTCGTTAGCCATCGAGGAGGCGGCTCAATTCATAAAGCGTCGCCTCCACTTACTAAACCTGGACCCTGAATTCGAAAAGAGCATTAAACAAATGTACTCGACCATCTTCAAGTGTCTGGACATCCGCATTGCAAGACACGTTTTGGCTATTGCGACATTTGAAATGAAACCGGAAACGATGTTCAAAATGGAGCGTCTGCTCGAGGAGAACTACATTGAACTGCTTCGCCAACCGGAGTGGAGTGTGACTTGGTCCAAACGTGAATTTTCCTAAATTTTAGACGTTAAAATCAACGTTTTTGTGCTTACAGATCCGGAAACTGTCGATCACCCGAACTTTGCCGTATTTCTGCAAATCAAACTGAAGTCGGATATGGTGTACAAGAAGAAGTCACATGGTTTGAATTGTAACTTTGGCCGCAAAAAAAATAGGATAAATGTTTCAGAAATGTTCATGAAAGCGTACGACTTTCTGAAGAAGCGCATCAAGCAGCTGAAACAGCAAAATCTGAAGAAAGACCAAGACATCCGTGAATTGTTCTATGCGATGCGGATAGAGTTCAACGAGCATGTGGCCCGAGATGTTAGCGTTCTATACTACTGTCGCTCCATGCCCATTGCTACAAACCACATACACACCTATCTTCTCGCTAAATACGGCTTCAAAAACCAGCCAGCACAGCCAATTAACGTCAATACCACCTGGAAGCTCTTTGAAGGTACGGATCACAATGAATTCCTTTTAATTGAAGTATATTTCAGATAAAGAAGTCAGCAATCATCCTTTCTACACCGAATACCTCATCGCTAAGCACGACACCAGCTCTCGCTATTCATTCAATCTTCGTGAGTCGTTTTTAAAAAAAAACTTGTCAAATGAATCATTTTTTTAGCTTACAAATCCGCTGCCTTCAAATGGATTGACTTCCGCCGCACATTCAAGGAAAACAACACGGCGCTGCCACCAATTATCCAAGACATGTACGAGATGTTGGAGATGGAAATGACCGCGAGACGCTCTTACGATCTGTTCATTCTCTCTCAATTCCGAATGGATATGGCGAAAGTGAAGCGAATGGAGATGTACCTCAGTGAGAAGTACAGAGACTACTTGCCAGATGTCAACCAGGATGGACTTCCTGCGTACTATGCGAAAAAGCCTCAGTACTCCCAGAAGTGTGCTTTGTTGTATGAGATCATCAACATTTCCAACATCCTTAACCCGGTGTACACAAAAAGTAAGGATTTCTGCTCATGAGTCTGCATGCTCGATTCTCTGCACCTTCAACTAATTCTAGTTCATGAATGTCATAATGTTTCTCAAACACGTTTTTGATGTTTTAGAAATGGTCGACGAAATTGGGAAAATTCTGACTGATCGCAAGCAATCATCGGACAAGCATAGCCGCAGAGTCTGCCAATTCATCTTCGATGAACCGACAGAGGAACGCGTCCGTGCCGTCTATGCGCTGAAACACGTCGGTGGCTGGGAGGAGGTTCTGTACGAGTTCTACGGCGAGGAAATCGACATCTTCAGAAGCAGTCGCAAATTCCACGGCTACCAAATTGTTACCAACCTGTAATTAACTTGTTTTCTTATGATAATTGTTAAATTTGCAATCTTTCATAATTTTTTCTTCTCAAAATAGAGCCTATATTTGTTTATCAAACGTTTACCTTTTTGTTGTTGCATTTATTTCTTGTTTTACTTGTTGCTTCCCTTTTTTTCCTTGTTCAATTGTTTTTCTCTCATTTTAAACTCTTTTCCTGTTTGTTTTTAGAAGTAATCAAATGAATCTTCCAATGTTCACCTTTTCCTTGATTTTTTGTTGCATGAGCACAGTTGTATAGTCTTTGGGAGTTTTTGTAGGCTCGAAATATGAGATCATTTTTTCAGGTAGCTTGAGCAGTTTTCAGAAACACGCACAACACTGTGAAGCACCTCATTTTGATTCCCAGATATTCGCATCCCTTGTTGGCCCGAATTTTTTTTCAAATTGTTGAATCCCTTCTTCCCTATGCGACGAGATTTTAGCTCCTCCTCTGACGATTCTCAAAGCCCCGCCTTCTTCTTTTCGGGAGGCTCCGTCGAAAATCATCGCATTCATTCTTTGTGCCCATTTTTTGTGTGCTCATTCTTTGGCACAAAATGGTTCAGAAATCCATTCTCATCACAATCATTCTGGCTTTCTGTCTTGTCCAAACTGTGCTCACTTTGGGAACACTCACACCTTCTGCGGCTTTCAGGTATGTATGTATGATAATCGTGAAAACTTTTAATGAAACTTGTGAAACAAGGAAGAATGTCATCAGACATGTGCGTGAGATTTTCTAATTAGAGAAGCGACAGGAATGGGAGGAAAAAAAAGGAAGAACTCATCAATATTGGAACACAAACACATTTATCTTGTTTTCGAATCTTCTTCTAACAATTAGTGCAATGCAAAATCAGTCTTGGCAATCTAAAGGAAAGGAGAAAAGGAACAGAACCATTAGCTATTCAATTCTTCTTTTCCATTAACACAACACATCTTCTTAAAAATCTCATCAAGAATGCGTTAATGCATAATTTAACCCAATCAGTTTCCATCTAAATTGATTTTAGCAAGATAGTAGTTGTAGTATGCCTAGAATGTATGAAGAGTGGGCGAGGTTCGAAAATCAAAACGGATATCGAATAAGTATTTTTTTTCTCCACTTTTCTTGTCAACTTCAATACAATTTCCCTCAGTTGAGCAGAGCTTTTCATTGCCGACTTGACTTGATTTTCGGGAAGAGAGGAATAAATACCGAGTTAGGCCCCAACATCCTGAAAATATGTTGTGAAATTTTCAGAGCTAACATGCAACAACGCGAGCGTCTGCCGAACAACTTGTTCTACATGGACGAGGCGCCGCTTCGCCAGTACGTCGATGAGATCAAGGATCCGATCATCAAGCGCTTCAAACCGTGTTACTACTCGCCCATTCAATGCCTCATCAAGAAATAGAGCGATTTTCTGTTTTGACTCGAAAAGATGCGTTAATTTATGATATGAGACATTGTATTACTTTATGCTGATGATGTTCCGCCCCAATAAAGTGATGGTCTGTTATCAATTGTATTTAGCTCAATGAAAACCTGCAGAACAATTTATAGGAAAAGTAAAAATTCAAATCACATGTCGTAAAGTGTTGACCACGCAAATCACCGAGTATTGAACAATGGATATTTGATTAATAATCTCACGCAGCCTCTTTTTCGATGGGCTCACTTGGTAAGCGTCAATCTGAATTTTTCATAATTTCTTTGTAATTCAGTAAATATCTTCATACCGCGTTCTGAATACCAGCCATTAAAGAATTGGAATAGGAATCCGAGTCACTGACGGAGAAGAGGACATGTCTGGCAGACGGGTTGTGTTGAGAAACTCCTCTTGGATTGATGAAACATCTTTCCGTACTGGAACACACTCACTATTATGAATATTCGTATTTTATTATTCTACCTGATGAGTCTCTCGTTTACAGCGTTCACATGTTTTGGATCATACGGGTTTTGAGAGAAACTATGCTTTGTGAAATGAATGGTTTCCTCAAACTTCTTCGACATTGCCAGAAGATCCTGAGCGCTTTTGGAAAGCAGAGCGTATTGAGTGCGAATATTCTCGAAATCAGTTCTGGACACATTAATTCCAGAAATTGAAGCTTTGAGTTGTGGAAGGTAGCTTTTGAGCATAACGGAAGCCAGATGAGTAGTGTTCATTGGAAGAACTACTTCATCGGCGAATATTCTGAAAATAAACAATGTTATGCTTTTCATTTCTTGCAAACCTACTTTGCCAACTCTGCCCAGTATTGTCCAATTGCTCTGTGAATAGCCAAGTCGTCGGTATCCATCAAGTGAATGTTTGCAAATGGCGTTTCATACATTGTATGATAAAGTGGGTACGTGTCAAACGTTGAATAGTTCTTGTAGTTGAAGTTAATGACAGGAACTCCCGCAAAGTTCAAAAATGGCGCATGATCGGAGCCTCCTCCAGGAACTCGCATCCTTGGGACTCCTCCTTTTTTGTCGGGAAACACTTTCATCCAAGTGTCGTACACAGTGTTTCTTCCACGGGCCTTTTCCCGTTTCGACGGATTTTCAACTTGTTTTGCTGCCTCAATTGCGACATGCTCGAGAATCGGAACTGTGTCGACGTGCCTAAAGAAAAATTGAATTTGTCCCGCATCACATCACATACTAGAGCAAATCAGGATGATTATGTAACGGGATGGGAAAAGGAAAAGAAAAAGTGAGTAAGAAACCAACTAACAAGCTCGCATTTCCCTGTATGCAGTCCATGTTGATGTAGACAACGGCTCTTTTCTGAAGGATGTCGACGAATTCTTCAACAAATTCAGTTGAGCCAATCAGGCCAAACTCTTCAGCGTCCCATGCATTGAAAACGATTGTGCGAGCTGAAAATCTGCTCGATTTTGTTACAAAATTTATTAAGACGTGTGTATGTTCCAGTAGAATCAATTTGATGAATAATAACCCCCTTATTATTGTCTTGGCCTTTCGTGTAGGTTCAGATTATTATCACACAATTTCTAACCTGGTCTCCAACTGGTCTCATTTATCGTTTGCATCATGGCTCTGGCCACTTCTGCAAGAACCGCTGTTCCGGAATTCGGGTCAATTGAGCCGTAAACCCATGCATCAAAGTGATTTCCAAGCATTACGTATCGGTCGGGCTCCTCCGATCCCCGGATGTAGCCAATCACATTCCGAATGCGCCTGCAATTAGCCTCAAGCATTGCTGAGAAGTGTGAATTTTAGCCAGTGAGTACAAAGATTACCAATTGTGAAAAAGTCAACACTAAGTGATGACATCATTTCGAGTTACGCACCCCTCAACTGATTCGATTTCTTAACTCACTTGGTCTTCAGCTCACTATGCACGTTGATGGTCAATTTCTCGCTATTCACAAATCCGGGACCAAGTTTGTATGTCAAGTTTCCACCAACGAATCCTAAAATAAACACATGTGGTTCACCAAAAAGTGGTCAGATTTAGAAACCTTGCCAGTCAGAGGGAACGGGGCGTCCGGTCATTCTTTTCAGAATTTGAAGAGCTGTCGAGTAAGAAACAGGAAGAACCGGGATTGAAGGCAGTGTGTGGTCTTCTTTGGCCTAATTTATTCTTATGCTAATAAACGTTTCAAAACTTCGAAAAAAAACTCACCTCATCAATCGTTCTGCCCTTGAACAGTTCTTTCTTTGATGGGTAGTAGGGAGACAATGGATCACCGTCGCCATGCATTAGAGATCCTCGCTGGACTCCTTCGTTTGGCATCCAGATGGTTTTCGGGTAAACATGTTCTAAAATAATTACGTACCACATTACCACGCATTGTTAATTTTGTGCATCAGGTATCTCACCAGCTTCAACTCCGTCTTGAGCAACATCCGAAGTGTCCGAAAAGAGAATGGCTCCAATTGCTCCTGCCAGCTGAGCTTTGTACACTTTATCGCCTCGGAAACCATGTCCGTATCGCATCAATGCAATTTTGCCTTTCACATCCACACCCATTAGTTTCAAGTTTTTGAAGTCGTTCGCATTTCCTCTATTTACATAAACAACATCAGCGGAGGCAGTCCCATTTCCAGCGTATGCAAGCCATTGATGTCCGGCGACTGGAAATAAAGCTATTCATGTAATAATAAAAACGCTTCCAGGTTCTGGAATACAGCCCTGCAGTTGAAATTACTCACATTTTCCAGATTGCTCGTCAGGTATGATAACAGGACTGACTCCTTTGCTCCGGAAAACTTCTTTCCCAAAAGAACTCTGGATCACGACAGAATTGGGATTTTCAAAATCCGGATAAGAAAGAAGAACTTCATATGGCAGAGTGTGAACATCTTCCAGACCGGCTTCTGACCAGGCACTTGCAATCGCGTATGCTACTTTCTTGTTAGCATCGGTTCCGGCGATATGCGGATCTTTCGTGAATGTCCGTAAGTACTGCTTGATGTTTTCTGATTTTATGTTCTCTTGTATAGTTTTTGCATCGGTTTTGTGGATATCTAAAAAAAAAGCTGTGATTAATATTAAGGGGAACGTTTCAATTATTGCTCACCATCAATTGATACTTTGTTGTATTTATTGAACCGGCGCTCCGAATGATGAAGACCAACAGCCGTTATACAGAATACAAAGAGAAGAGATACTGCGATGGCGATGTACGCCTTTACCATCGCAGCTCCGGTCAAGCTTGTAGAAGCTAAAACGGTTGAAGTTTCCATTGCTTTGGTCACTAGTGTGGTTGAACTTTACAAGTGTGAATTTAAAATAAAATTCGGCCTTCATTTCATTTTGTCTAGTTCGAGATCGGATTAACTCCAAATTTGCGCGTTATGTGAAACATCACATGTTAACTGAACCATTTTTCGTTTTGCAATGTGTATTTCCTAACTAACAATTTCTTAAAAACTATTGCATCTAATCATACTTTGCTTGAGAAACGGGCCGGGCTGGCCAAAATGTTGCAAGTGTGCATTTGATTAGTGGACAATCGCTGAGAACATTAGTCTCCCAGCGAACTCTAATCTTCGAATGTTGTTTCAAACTATTAGAAATCACAAGCAAAATGAAGGTAACAATTTTGAGGAGAACTCGCGTCAAAAATAAAAACTTGAGCAAGGTGAGTGGTGTGAGCAGGCCCCCGCCCAAACTGAGCAGCAGCTGTTGAGGTCATTGCAAAGGTGAGAGTTCAAACAACGAAAAATAAGTGTTCACCTTTCTGTGCTCCTACTCCAACGTACGGCATTTACATTCGGACGTAGTTCTCTTGAACCCTGAAAGTAATCAGAATTATACAGGAATCAAAACAAGCAGATTGGTCTCGACGAGGTAAGATGTAATGAAGTGTCAAATGTTCTTTCCTACCAATAAAATGTGTTGTCTCAATTGAGTGTTTGATCCTTGAAAACGAAAGAAGATAAGAGAAAAGAGAAAGGAAAAGAGAAAGAGACTTTGAAATGAATGAAATTTCGATAACGTGTGTTATCGAATGAGGACAGTTGTCTGATACACTCCATCATCTGGTGTGCAAGAATATGCTACTCGCCGCCATTGTTGTGTGTCTATTGGCATGTTCAAACGGCCACTTGGTCGAGTCGTTAGATAAGAGGGGACAGCTGGAGCTGGAGGAATTCTGTGGGGGGATAACAACATCAAGAGATTTGAATGATACCTGTTGACATGTGCTCACAGAAACAATAAAGTTTCCTGTAAAATTTCAGCGGAGATTCTGCAGTTTTCCAACTTTGCCACGTGAAAGCTTTGAACTATTGTATGTTGTTGCAGACGGTAGAAAAATGATGACAGACACAACATAAAACTGCAACTTATTGCAATGACCCTTATCACTCAACCGAATTTGCAAAGTTTTACCATACACTCTTCTTGTTTTGCTATCATTCATTATGTGTTCTTTATTATCATTATGAGAGTATTTAGACAAAAGATGAAATCACATTTCCCGTATTCCGGCATGATGGCAATACATAATAACATTCCAGTTGTACAAACAGGTAACATCTTCTTTGGTTATCCTATCGATGGATGTTCCCGATGGATCACACATTCGGAGGCAACGAGATCCGACCTGAAGCAACGTTTTTCTTATTACTCCCATCCAACATTTCGTACCTGAAGTTGTGGAGCATTGAGATCAAGGTCCAGGCAGCATTTTCTGTTGTCTCTGTTCTGACTGGCACAATACAAAATAGAGGAAAGGTGCTTGATACGGCATTGGCTGTCTTTCCTCATGTTGGTCAGCTGTAAGATGTCCGGAAGATGTCATGTTCTATCAAGATTGATGAATACACAGTTGGTGACACAGGGATCATAAACAACATGTCAAGGTGTGTAATAATGGTGCTTCAACTTCTATCATCTTGTTTTTTAAATTAACTCACCATGTTACGGGTCACCGTTTGGTCGGTTTCATACACACACATATGATGGCATTCCTCTGGAACGTAGAGTTGGCAACACGCCAAGAAAAGTTTGTTGGCGATTCCTTTGGAAGTACATGGCTGGTAATTGACATCAGCTGTTCCACATTTTCCCTAAAATTAAATTAAATTTGATATCAATCTTACTTACAGTCATACTCTCTTTCTAATTGCTCGGAAGTATGTTTTATTACCACATTGAAGAGAAAGTGAATTTTAATTTTAATTCGCTTTCTCTTCTGAAAAATTGTAATACGATCCTATACAAAGCACTTACTAATGGTTTCCGTGGCGCCGATCGTCGATCATTTCCGACCTTTCTCGAGAAAACGGCAATTTTGCGGTCAGGACAATTAGCCATGATATATTTGTAGCACTGTCGCGGAAGTCGACAACCAGGTGTGATGGGCGCCGTGCAGCAAGCACCTGAAAAGTTGTAAGGGTCTTGGGATGATGAGAGATAGTTTTTTCTTCAATACTATTGAGGAAACACAAGTTTTCTCGCATAAACTTTCGCGTTTCGAGTAAAAACACTTTACACTGATCAAAATAAGTTTTGTACAATTTTCATGAATAGTAATTCAATTTTTCAGCCGTAACCGTGTTTGTACAAACAATGGGAAAGATTTTCTAGGTCTGAAAGTGCCAACAAACAAGAATTGTCTACCTTTCTTCACCGGAGGGCATTTCTTCTCTGTTGCGAACGAGGAGAAAACTGACAGGCAAAATACGGTGATTGAAAGCAGGAGCATTGTGTTTTCTGTCTGAAAAACTGGACTATTAGGGCAAGCTGAAGTTAACAGTAACATGTCAGAAACGCGAAAAAGAAACAATCGAAAAACGAATACATTGTTCAGTAATGTAGAAGAGAAAAGGTAGGAAAGGATATGGAAATGTGTAGTCCAATTGGGGACAAGCGCATTATCACGCCTTTTGATAAATATTGCGCAGTGGATGAAAAAGTAGGTGAAAGCGTACGGAAGATAAAATTAAGGAAAAGAAGAAGGAGAAAGATAATTAAAAAGTGAGAGGGGGATACGAAAGGATAGAAGATTTGTTGATTGAGTAACACTAGGTGAATGAAATTAGGCCAAACGCCGATCAAATGGCCGCACTAGATTGATCGCAGTCTCTCCAGATACAGACGAGGTTTCCGTCCGTGTTCCAAAAGAAAGGGGCGGGAATGAAACGGTGAAGAAGATGAACGGGCGGCGGAGGTCCTTCCGTTTATTGTGGTGTGGTCTGGAGAAGCAATTCGAGATTCGAGATTCGAGATTCGCTAGAGACAATTACATGGCTTAATTGGCATGGAACAAGAACAATCAGAAGCGCGTTTCACTGGAGGAATGAGACTTTCTGAAGACTTCCGAATTTTCCGTGGTGTCTGCCATTTCCGTCTGCTTTCTCGTCGTTCGCAAACCTCGTCGTAACTATACAAAAAACCAATGAGAAGATATTTCGGATGACATTTCAATTCTAACCGATTCTTCTTGAGAAGTGTCGCTTGATCTGAACCGGGTCCAATTCGACTCGCTCTCCATTTTATCGATGACCGTCACTGGCCCTTCCGCTCTTCCGCTGCTCGTCTGCTCTGCCACAATTCCTTGTTGAGTGCTCGAACTGAAAATTCAAAGTAAAACTACAAATGTACAGTACTAAAACTGACCGGCCGTCGGCGACCTCTTGATTGACGTCTGCAACCCCTGTTTGCAGAGCTGCTGGACCAACTCGCTACATTTGACGACTTTTTAAATTTTCTTGAATTCTTTTTCCGTTTTTGAGCGAAAAAAACTAGCGAACCTGCGATTCGCTGTAAGATACATTTCCTTCAAGTTAAACGGTCAAAATCGAATCACTACGAGCCGAGATATGTTAATCAACAGAAAACGCGTATTTAAAATTATGCTTCTACCTAACGAATATACCGTGAATATTGATAAATGAAGTTCCGTGAATATACTGTGAGTATTGATAAATGAAGCTCCCCTGAAAAACAAGAGATAATTTCATGAGAATTCTGATCACAGCTTTCGAGATCTCTTCGTTTTGCAACGTGATGTTCCACAACCGTTATGGTTCGCCACGGAAACAATTTTGGCAACTCTAACGTTTTACAACTATGCGTTTCGCAACTGTAACACAATGCAACCGAATGTTTCGCAACCGTTATATTTCGCAACTAGGGGAGTCTCAAAGCAGTTTCTGGGTGCTCTTCGATTGTATTTTTTGACAAATGTGATCACCCTATTCACCAGATTCGTCGCGTAGAGCACCGGAAAAATTTTTGGAAATTTTTTTTCCAAAAGATGTGTTGCTGGGAGCCCCAAAACAGTGCCTTCAAAATCATAGAAAACCGCACAAAAACGACATTCAGCTTCGAACTGTGCTTTTCAGAGACTTGAACAGTGGGGTTGTGGTCTCAAAGACAGTTTTTGCACTCGAAGTCTGAAGTTCCTGAAGGATTCAATGTTTGTATAAACATTTTTTCTACAAGTTTACTCAGTTTATTCCCTTTGGATATCATCTACACTTTGTTTTCGGGTTTTCAAAATAGGTAAACATTACCAGCTTCCATGAGACTTTGCTACTTTCTTTTTGTTTAGAGTTGGCGAAAGCGGCGTCAATTTTTCCTTCTTATCAGCACATTTTGCATTTTGCCGGTTTAATGTTCTTGAATGTTACGTTTGCATTGATAAATTTCCATTTCTAGATACGATAATGCACACTCCGCACAATTCTACGCATATGCCTTCCCTTTTCGCCCTCAAAAATATTCGCGAATGGAAATTCTAAGCCTGGGTTTTTTAAACAAAACTGCTTTTTCAAAGTAGTTTTGTTCGATTTCTCAGTTCAATTCGAAACGTTTGATACCACACACGTGATTTTTCAATTTCAAGGTTTCATGGCAAACACGCTCGAATGTTTTCGCAAGTTTTAGTGTAATCTTCATGTCGCCGTCTCTCTGATGTCTCCAGGCGGCCAGAAAAATATAATAGACGAGAGAAATTGCAAACGCGCTCAACGGGTGTATGGCGTTTTTAGGCTAAACGATTCAGAATATAACTCGTTTCCTTTCCGATTTGTCTCTCGATTTGTCGATTTTTTCTTGCTTGTTCATAAAAAATTAAAAAATAGGATAATATTGATTATTTTCAGCCGGTTTTTAGCCGTTGGTTTGTGGAATGGTCCGGGCACCAGATGAGTGGGTATTTACGTTTAAATTTGCAATTTTAAACGTTTTCAGTGCAAGTTATAAGTCAATTTTTCCAGACCTCCGAAGAAGCCCGACGACGATCCGCAACCGCCGCTCAATCTGGGTCCCAACGGGGAAGAGATTTCTGCCCCCAACTACAGTTACCGGAATGAGAATTGTCTCTTCCTGGATCACCCGAATTTGGCTCCACGAGAGCGGAGACTGCTCGAAATTCTTCAGGAGCGCGTTGCCGACGCAATGCTCTACAATTTCGATACCCACGCGCAAGCAATGGAGATCTCCAAGGTCACTTTCAATGCTCTGGAGGAATTGCTGAGAAGAGGGGAAAAGATCCATGCTCTGTTTGATGAGGATCCAATCGAATCAAACATTTTCCGCAGTGTGATGTCTGGAGAGGAGTTTGTCCGAGAGATGAACAAGTTTCGCTCGGAGGTAAGCGACATTCAGGCAATGATAATGATGGAATGACGTTTTTTTAGTGGGATGTGGTCTTCGCAAACCAGCTTCATGATGACACCATTACTGGAGTTGTGGCCTGCACAGACTGTGATAACATGATCAAGTTCGGCATGATTGTGAGTACAGAAATGTTTACATATTATCTGTTTGCAACGAAAACCCTCGGAGTACATTTTTCAAAACAATTAAGTAATTTTCAGTGGGACGACTACAAGGGATTCTACGCCATCTCGATCCTCAACCGCGTTCCACACGAGATGCGTCTCAACTGCTGAACCTAGATGACAATTTCTCCATATGAGCCGCTGCTTTTCAACTTTCAACCCTCCGAATTTCGATCATTTTCCCATTCTTCTGTTCGTGTCAAAACTTTGCTCCTTGGGGGTTTTGATCTCTTCATTCTCCCAGTCTATTCTTTCCAAACCCGTTGAAAATGGCTCCAGATCTAAAATAAATGTGTTATTCTTGTCCTCATTAGTCGTTCGTCTTGTTGCGCCCATTATTAGTTCTTTCTGCTTCTTTTCCTCTTCGAAATTGGCACTAATGAATATGTGAGTTTGATAGTATGCATGTCTGCCGCTGTGTGTGCTCTCAAACATATATTACTCCGGTCCTCCTTATTCTCTTGTTGTAGAACACAGCCACGCTCTCCGTCCGCGCTGAATCGATAGACAGCAGCCTTTTCGCTCTTCGCGAAAGACTCTGTCTCTCCTCAATTGCTGTACACTTTCTTGCAGCGTGTTTGGAGGTTCTGGCGAGTGTTGTCCCTGCCCCGTCTTCTCTTCCATCCCATCTCCTTGTATGCCCTCTCCTGCCTCCGTCGCCGTCTGTTGATAGCAGGTTCAGCTCGACTCAGCGACAGAATTTGAGAAGGAAATGTCAGGGTACAACGATGTCGATCTTTACATAACCATGCACGCGACATTTAACGGAGCTTACCTTCACGGAGCCTTACAACAGCTCGTTGACGTGCCGCCGGACCCAGGACCGCCGAGATCCAACACGGCTATTCTTCCAGTGGAGACGACGTTTGGAGGGACACGGATTAAGATCAATCAGAACACCTACTTGCAGATTACCACTGTTGGTGACGTGGATTTGAATCGGGTTAGTTTTTGTTGCCAGTAATATTTAAATTATCAGTCTTTTTCATGAAAAACGATTGAAGAGAAAGAATAAGCCAAATCTGTTTTACCAATTGCTTTTGGAATTCTACCGATCACTTCTCAGTACTTTCTAAAAGCCGAGATTCTGATTTGCTACAAATAAAATCTTCTAAAATCCAAAACTGTTGCAGGTAGACAACCACATCACTCTCCGTCCGCCAGTTCTGGATCGACCGAATGTGTTCTTCAACCGCATGGAGGATCGTGTTCAACAATGGCAAGAGCCTTGGATTCGTCGGATGAGAGAGCACATCAACGAACGGGAACGAAGAGTAGCAGCTGCCGCCAGAGATGTGAGTTTTTACCATCCTTTTCTTAAAACATTTTATTCGGGAAAGCCAATCACGATAATTCGGGGTTAACTGTGAATATTGCTAAACTATAATCACGTGGTGATGGTTTTCGAACCGATGCAACCAGAAAACACCAGATTAGGACCTATTGCATCGGCAGTTTCATCCTAAAACAACTGCTCCTATGTAGAATCAAGCCACTCTTGTTTCCGTTTCCCAGACTTGCAACGGGCTGGGCCGTGTCAGTTTGAAATATCAAGTGACCACAAAAACTGAATTTGTTAATGAGTTCACAAAGAGTTGCACAGCTACATGCTCACAACATTTAAACGGGGAAAATTTGAATAAGAGAATATTGGAAATCATCCTCTCATCTCTAAAAACCCCCCAAAATTTGCAGAACAACGTTATGGTGCAAGAATTGCAAGCGGTCGGAGTCAACTATGTGCCACAGCTTGGAGTGCATCACAACTTCCCAGCTATTCAGAATCCGTATGCAATTTTCCATCCTCCAGTCGTCGAAATGCGCAACATGAACATCAATCGACGGCAGAATGAACACGATCGACGGGACGAAGACGGGGAAAGCGAGCAGGACGATTAGGCACAATCTCCAGAACATATTCAACGGCTCAAGACTTAATGTATATGTAGTTGATACTTCAAAAATGTTAGTTTCGTCTCATATCCCACGCCATAATCCTTCGAAAATCGCACAAATCCGGTCATCCGTTCACTCGCTAATATTTCATTTCATATCTTTTTGATCAAGAAATAGTATACATGTAATTTTATGAATTCTATGAAACTTGAATAAATATGTAATTTGGAGTGATGTTGAAGGGGTGTTTATAGAATTTAAAAACATAACTATGTTTGGCAAGAATACTTCGAAAAATTGGGGTATTCTTCTTCTCCGGCCGCACTGATAATACATTTTCTTTTGAAAAACGGATTTGCAAGTTTATTGCGATTTCCTAAACTTAATAAATTTGCAAAACGAATTCGAGAAAAAGATAAAGAACGGAGAAAAAATAGAAAAAACGGGAAATTAAAATTCAAAATAACACGGTATAATCAAATTTCTAATTCGAGGATCGGTGAAGTACTGAAATAATATAAACAGACTGAGAAGAACAAAAAAGGCGTCGTCAAGGAAACAGTGTACAAACATGAGTTAAAATCTTTCTGAGAAGACAGATTCTGGTTGTTAGTTTTAGAGCTCCGAAGTTGAGGGGTGAACGCAATCAGCATCTTCGTCGTAGGTCGGCTTATCACCCATTTCCAGGACCATGTATTCCGCGATCGCTTCTACGCTCATGTCCTTGATGCGGTCCGCAATTGCAAAGCCCATAACTTTGAGAAACGTCTTGGAATTGATAAAGTTTGCAAGCTGTAAAATTCACAATTAATTCAAACTGATCAAAAATGGTATTGAAGCGCTCAACGTAGTATTTACAGAAACCGAAATGTCTTCAAGGACCACAACCCTGCCCAGAAAAAACTAGGAATTGAGGGCCTCCACTACGAATAACATTGTTGGCGGTCCAACATAATAGAACTGGGCAGAATAGAACTGGGCAGAATAGAACTGGGCAGAATAGAACCGGGCAGAATAGAACCGGCGACAAAATAACTGTTTGGAGCGCCTTTTAAAGGACCAGGGAACCCAAAAATTTTTTGATTTTTTTGTGAAATGTTTTTGTGACTGTTTGAATTGTCTCTTATTGCCTCATACTCTGGTGAAATGCTGCCTCTCAAAAATGCCAATGAACGAAACGGCATGCAGTTGAAGTTGTGGCCGTGGCCTAGCGCCAATGGCCGAAAAATACAGTGCGGTGCAAGTTTATAAGGCCACCCCCGTTTGGCACTGCCACGTGGCGCTCGAAAATTTTTACGACCCGGCGACTTCAAAATCGGATTCAGGGCACAAAGTTACGTATGTTTGATGATTTTCGTGATGATACCTTGAAAACTGTCCGAACTACCTCGAAAAAACTGAAAATCGGCTTTTTGCAACCGTTGCAAGTTTATAAGGCCACCCCAGGGGATAGGGGTTTTCGCTAATCTGGTAAACTCCTATGAGCACAAATGAAGTTAAGCACCTCTAAAAAGACGTTTTAAAGCTGTTTTTGTCATTCAGACGCTTTAGGTTTTTTCGTAAGAAATGCCACATGGAACTTTCCCCAGGATTCCGAAAAACTCTTAACACAGCCATTCAAAACGGCTGGATGGTCGAACCAAGAGACCAGTTGTCATCTAAAGTGCTTCAAATACATTTTGTGATCAGTCCAGCCTAAAAGAACATCTTAGAAAAGCCGGAAACGGGTTTCTCATGCCAAAAGGTTCCTCATCCGTGCCGTTTCAACTGCGAAGAAGTCCTGAAACGGCATGGAACAGGAGCTGGACCATGGATTTAGAAAGTGTATGGTTTGGGAAACTGTTGAGGAGTGCCCTAACAATGTTTCTGAGACCATGTGGCCCTCTCCGTGCATTCCGTGCATTGCCACAAGTCACATCGCATCGAATGCGTCCGTGGCAACATGTCGGCCAATGAGGGATCGGCGGTTATGATCGATTTTGTTTGTCCAGAAACATGTTTTCCGGTGAAATCATGCCTTCTGCTGAAAATATGGTCAATTTGAACGGTCTGGAGGAATGGAAGTGATACTGGCACGACATCCGCACTGACCGCTTCGTCTTCTCAAAGAGAACCTTTGGACAACGAAGCCTTATGGTTTTGAACGCTTTCTCCTCGATTGGATATTTACAAAATGCATTCAGATAAACTTGTTGCACTGATCTGAAGTCCTCTAGAATCATCTGAGACCCTCCCGTAGTTTATTTGGTCTCAATCAATGCCGTTATTTGAGTTTGACGACAGGGATGGCGAACATTTTGGCACAAACATTCAGTTTCAATGTCTGCCCGGTCTTCCAAAAATTCTTTTTTGAGTTTCGACTAGTCACGAAATGGATTTGAATCACTTTAGACAACAACTGAACCCTCGGTTAGGCCATCCAACCGTTTTGAATGGCTGTGTTAAGACTTTTTTGGAATCCGTAGGGAAAGTGCCCCCTGGCATGTCCTACGAAAAAACCTAAACCGTCTGAATGACAAAAACAGTTTTAAAACGTCTTTTTAGAGGTGCTTAACTTCATTTGTGCTCATAGGAGTTTACCAGATTAGCGAAAACCCCTATCCCCTGGGGTGGCCTTATAAACTTGCAACGGTTGCAAAAAGCCGATTTTTAGTTTTATCGAGGTAGTTCGGACAGTTTTCAAGGTATCATCGCGAAAATCACCAAACATACGTAACTTTGTGCCCTGAATCCGATTTTGAAGTCGCCGGGTCGGAAATATTTTCGAGCGCCACGTTGCAGCGACTAATGGGGGTGGCCTTATAAACTTGCAACGCACTATATATAAAAATAAATGCGCTTCTCGGCCATTTTATTTTTTCCGGTTTTTTACCGGTTTTTTTCCAAAAATTAACGGTTTCTCCCATTTTTCAGCTGATTGACATTTGTTCGGCACTTACTTATTTTTTCACTGCTAAAAAATTGTTTTCATTCAGTCGATATGAAGTGCCAAAATGGGAGAAACCGTGAATTTTTGGAAAAAAACCGGTAAAAAACCGGAAAAAATAAAATGGCCGAGAAGCGCATTTATTTTTATATATTTTTCGGCCATTGGCGCTAGGCCACGGCCACAACTTCAACTGCATGCCGTTTCGTTCATTGGCATTTTTGAGAGGCAGCATTTCACCAGTGTATGAGGCAATAAGAGACAATTCAAACAGTCACAAAAACATTTCACAAAAAAATCAAAAAATTTTTGGGTTCCCTGGTCCTTTAAATCTTTTGCTAAATCTTTTGCTAAATTGTTCGAGAGAAAATTTTGCGAAAGTTCATATAAATCACAAAAGCAGTTCTATTATGTCGCAGTTCTATTGTGTCGCGGTTTTATTCTGCGCAGTGCTATTATGTTGCGGTTCTATTCTGCCCAGTTCTATTCTGCGCAGTTCTATTTTGTCGCGGTTCTATTCTGCCCAATTCTATTATGTTGGACCGCCGTTTCCGATTATTGTAGAAATGCATGAAAATGTTGTGAATGACTAAGCCTACGGTTCGCTGAGCTCAGCTATGTGTGATACATTTTTAATGGATGTACTATAGTACCAAAGTACATCTGCCTTATTTGAAATTTTTGCGGTCCCGCCTCCTCCATCTTTTTGATTGTCACCTAAAGGGGCGTGGTGGCGGTGAAGCACAGCTTAGGGCCTGGCCGAGGGGGCGTGATTTCACTGTCACAATATAAACCGAGTACAACGTTAGTTATGTCTATCTCGAAACTTTTTTCGCTTAAGTGTCTCTCTCTTCCTCTCTCCGACATTATTGCTATGCAAGAAGTCGAACTCTCTCTCTTCCTCTCTCCGACGTTAATGCTATGCGTTGAACTCTCTCTCTTCCTCTCTCCGACATTATTGCTATGCAAGAAGTCGAACTCTCTCTCTTCCTCTCTCCGACGTTAATGCTATGCGTTGAACTCTCTCTCTTCCTCTATCCGACATTATTGCTATGCAAGAAGTCGAACTCTCTCTCTCTCATTATGTCGCGGTTCTATTCTGCGCAGTTCTATTATGTCGCGGTTCTATTCTGCCCAGTTCTATTATGTTGGACCGCCACATTTTTTCTTATTCTTCGAAAAGTTCTCACAGTGTCCCGAATTTAACCAGTATTGTATAAACGGCAAAACGTACCTCGATTATGTCTTTGAGTTGAGCCAATGACAGCGCGTCAGCCCCTGCGAAGTCACTCATTTTTGCTTTTCGATGTCCAGGAAGTTTGTACTTGAGGATGTGGCCAAAGAGAAAATCTCCAGCTTCCTTTGGAAACGGGATCTCGAACGGTGTGGTATTGATCACGTCCTGATATTTCCATTTTCAGTTCTGAAAACAGTTGTTCGAGCTTCTAAAAGTGTTCAAAGTAGCCACACACCGCCTTTTTGAAGATGCGAACAAGTGGCGGCAGTTTCTTTATCACGTTCTTGTTCCTTAGCACACTAGAGCCGCCGCACATGTAATGCAAAGTTATTTGAAGTCCTCCGGAAGATTCTGATGCAGACATTGCCTTTCACACAAATAACCTGTCAAAACCAAGCTTTAAATTTTTTATATCTCCACGAGTTGGTGATAAAATTATATTGATAATGCGCAGAGCAACTTCCACTGAATACCCAGAGACGCGCTGCGGTCGCGCGCGCGTGCCGGCCGTGTCTGGGTCTCTATTAAACACCGCGTACTCTCGTCGCATGTGACAGAGAATACGAAGTCGGCCAGCATTAACATAAAATCTCGGATCAGACTAATAATGGTGTTATAAGAACACTTTTTGTCAGTTTCACTTTCCTCAAGTTTTCTCAAGATAATTCCATACCTTTCCTCGTTCTCTCAAGCTTTTCTTTGAAAATTACCCGCCCATTGTGATGATCTGTGTCAAAAATCTCAGTTTTCAGCATTTTCTATAGTGATCTATTCATTTTATTGTAGTGAAAAGCTTGAAGGATGTACGAAGTGAACTCCAAACCGATGAAATGCTCTCAATGATATTTTTCAGTTGCCTCACTGATTTAACAGGGCTCCTTTTTTTGTCTCGCGTTTCCATGGTCACACTTTCTGTCCGTTCTCTACCCTTTCCTCTTTGAAACCACGACCTACTCTTAACGTTTTCACATTATAGATCGATCAAACATGGGAAACAAGAAGAAGAAGCAGAATAGCAAGGGAGCGAAAGCGGCTCGTGCTGCTGTTCGGAATGCGCTTGCAGCGGCTGCCGAAGAAGCCAAATCTCGCGAAGTCAAGTTCCAACTGCGATCGTCGGACAAGGAGATCTACGAGATGACCCAGGAGGGTATGATGCAGTCGAAGACCTTAGCAGCTGCGCTGGAGAATTTACGTATGAAAGATCTACTTGCCGCTCCATTTCCTGTGAACAACGTCCCTGGCTCATGTCTCAGGAAGATCGTGGAGTGGTGCGAGCATCACAAAGACGACGGATCGTACAAGATGAGAAGGAATGGCCGGCACATGATCATTCCACCGTGGGACGAAAACTTCTTACAACGTCTCAACAACCAGGAGCTCTTCGACATCATTTGCGCAGCCAACTACCTGGACATCCCGAAGCTCATGGACTTCTCGTGCAAGACGGTGGCGAATATGGCCAAGGGCAAATCGCCGGAGGAGATGCGGATCATTTTCGGTATTCCAACCGATGAAGAGGACGCCGAGGCACTTCTGAATCTGCCGGGACCGTCGAGCTCAAGTAATTGAATTAAGGTCGCCAATCTGACCAACTTTTCACTCGTCTTTATTTTCCACATTCTATTTACGTCCCTCTCAATCTTTTCTCTTTCTTTCTTCTTCTATTTCTCCTGTCTGATTCTCTCTCTCTTTATTTTTTCCCGTGTTTTTTCTCTCTATGTCTCTCTGTGAAAACATTACTTGCCCGTGTTTTGACCGTTTTCTAATAAACATTGCCCTGTCAGCATTAAAATTCGTTTGATGTGATACATGCCTCAAACTCAGTGGCTCTACATATCTTCACTATTACACATTTTAGATTTTCAAGACTAGCATTATCCGGTTCCGGCGAACTATTCTTCCTATTCTTCTAATTTATCCTTCTACTTCTGATTCATTCTCTAGAGGGAAACAATGTTGGATGCAAGTGCGCTCCATTACACCTGCCTCCTGCCCTCACATTTGCGTTCGATTCGTGAACGCGCTCTGCCACCTTAATTTCTCGTTGGCTCGTCTTCACGTGCGATCGTCCTTACCATTCATGTCTTCCTCTCTTACCCCTTGTTTTTTCGATGTATAAAGATTTTTGCAGGTTAGCCATGGAATCTACTGCGGAGTCTGACACTCTGGAGTCGGAGGACTTTTTCATCGACAAGAAATGCTCTGAAATCACTGATAAAACCCTCCTAGAGGAGTTGAGCAACGCGCCAGCGCAGCCGAGTCAGTGGGCATTGAATATGATGAAGCGTCACTGCCTGGAAACTGTAAGTCTCTGGATATTTTGAAATAGTACCGAAAGTTACTGTGTCTGTTGTATTAGACGATTAAAGTCAGACTTGCCAGATTTCGGGCCGGCCATGCGGGCCGGCCCGGGTCGGCCCGGGCCGGGCCGGGCCGGGCCGGTAAAGTGCCGGCCCGGGCCGGGCCAGGGTCGGTGAAGTGCCGGCCCGGCCCGGCCCGGTCGGCCCGGTTCAAAAGGCGGGAATTCAAATTTTCGCGGAAATTTTTTTTTCGTTATTACAAAAAAAATTTTCGAACTAAAGTTTTAGTGTTTCTTCTTTGTTTTTTTGCTATTATGAATTTTTTATGAGAAATACATTTGTTTTTCAATGTTCGATGCTTGCAAAAAACCCCTAATTCTACAAAAAATGGCTTCATGCGATCAATAATTCAAATTTTGAATTCCCGCTTTTTGAACCGGGCCGACCGGGCCGGGCCGGGTCGGGCCGGGCCGGGCCGGGCCGGGCCGACGGGCCGGGCCGGGCCGGAGTTTTGAAATTTCGGCCCGGCCCGGCCCGGCCCTGGCCCGGCCCGGCCCGGCCCGGCCCGGCCCGGCCCGGCCCGTGGCAACTATGATTAAAGTGATCCGGGCCGCCGGCGCGTCCTATCAAGTTCGACATTTGGCCCGGGAGTATTGTAGTCGATCATCACTAGAGTCAAACAGCTAATTTGTCAACTCACTCATGAAACTATTCCTGTTAAATTTCACAACAAAGCGCTGTTCCATTATTGTACAGCAATAATTAAGCAATCAGAATGTGCGAAATTATGTGAAAATTAGAATTTTCTCTGTTTTACCATGCTAATGCTTCTTCTAATTTTAGGACACATCCAAAGAAACGCCAGCCAAGAAACCTCGTCGTCGCTCGTGCTTCAACTGTCTTGGTGATCACACGATTGCTCAATGCAGCGAGCCTAGAAATTTTGCTCGAATTCGGAAAAATAAAAATGAGTTCCTCAGCGCCCAATCTCATGCTAACAGTGCGAGGTCAGTAATGTTGCCACTATTGACTTCTTGTAATCATTAGTAATTTTTAGAATCTCCCATACGCCACAGAACACCGCATCGAAGTACAAACCAGGACGCATCGGCACCCGTCTCCGAGAGATGTTGAACCTTGGTGCGGACGACATCCCCGAATATGTTTATCGCATGAGAAGAATGGGACTGCACGCGGGATACCCACCGGCGTATTTGCAGAAAGCGCTCATAAAAAACCATATTGGTGATACGCTCAAATTCATAACTTCCGACAAACAGGAGGATGAAGACGAAGATGAGGAGGACGAGAAGACGAGACCGCCGCCAACTGTCGACGCCAACAAAATTCATTTCTACATGGGTTTCAACAAAACGTACGGGGCTCTGAAAGACCGCGAGCAGGGAAGATACAATGTCCCTCCGTTTGATGCCTACGTGAACATTCTTCAAGAAGTGAGTATTTGTGATCATAGCTTGAGGCATTAATTTATTTCTGCTAGTTGCAATGCAAGAAGCGCGTGCAGGTGCCCCTCTTCGTACGTGCATTGTACACTTGCTCAAATTTTCTTTTAGTGAGAACTAGAAAAAAATCGAGTGAATGAAGATCTGCAAATTAAAACTCAAGCCAGCTTTCAATGAGGGAAACGCATAAGAAATCCCCATACCACTAATTTTTGCTTGTTGTAGAAAGCGAGAAAAAACGGCCCAGTCGTTTTTGCCACTCACGTTTTACCACCGTAACAATGGGTACGAGTGGCAACAGTAGTCAAACGTTTGATTTGCCATACATTAAAAAAAAATTAAACAGGCTTGCAATAAACCGGCCTTGCCGAAAAGTGAAATTCTTCGGTTCGGCCCGGCCCCGCTTGGTTAGTAAGACAACTTTCCGCTTTCCGTCTTTATAAAATAGTTTTTCCGCTCAACGCTGATCGAGAGTTTCCCAATTATGCTTTCAGGAAGTGAACAAGCAACATGAAATCGACGAGAAAGTCAGAATCAGAGAGGTTCGCGAGAACAAGGTGCGCCGTAAGATGGAGAAGGCAGCTCGCGCAGCCAAGCAGCTCCTGGAGGACGCAGACAAAGAAATCGTCGCCGAGTCTGAAACTTCTGAGGTCGAGAAGATTGCGGCACAGAAAAAGGAGTTAGCTGCTTTCGAGCACATCCCCATGGTATGTGTTTTTCGATTTTCTTTTCAAATTTTATCAGAACTATGTGGTTGAAATGGTGAATGAGTGTCGTTCCTGATTTCCTTCTCATAGATAAGCACATTCATACATGTCAAGATTGTGGTAGTTTGAGGGTGCAGAACATCAGCGTGACTTTTTGCCTTTTTTTTTTGCTGGCCAAGGCTTTGTCAGGGTTTCCCGAGGCCTGGCTTGTTGAATTCGGATCGAAGTACACTGCGCCCAATAAGTATAGGACCCCCCTCAGTTTTGGGTGTTCCGAGAAAACTAGAAGAGATATCAAAAATCTGTATGTATATTGTGTCCATGTTTCAGACCGATCGGATTAACTGGTCACGAGATATAACGATCAGAGGCCGAAAAGGTCGCACTTTTCACAAAAAACTCGGGCTTTTCGGAGTCAAACCAGTATATCTCGAGACCGGATACTCCGATGGGTCTTAAACTTGGACCCAATACACTTCTATCCAAGTTCAAGAAGTCTGAAAAACGTATCGACCGATATTGCAAGTGGACCAAAATCCGGGCCTCAAAAAACCTTCGAAAGGCCCAGGCCAAAATTTGCCCAGCCATGGATGACACGCAATTGAACGTTTTCTTATTTTGCAGGGAGAATCGATGCTTCAATACGTGGGAACGCCAGTTTTTGAGCAGAAGATGGTGGTGCCGGACCTAGCGGCCTTTGCTGTTGGAATCCTGCCGTTCGAAGCGAGAGAGGAGGAAACTGGAGAGCGCGGAACTTTCAAGAAGCTTTTGGGAATTATCCGCACGAAGAAAGCCGAAGTGGAGAAGTAATCTGTATTATTAATTATGTATCTTGTCACTTAGCCCTTCTGTCTTCCCTTTTGTGTTCTCCGCATTTTCGCTACAAATCACTTATCACTTCTTTATCTTTTTCTCCTGCTTCCCCATCTCTCTCTCTCTCTCTCTCCCTCCCATTCTTTGTTAATCTCACGTTATCTTGTGTTTTTGCCCTTTTCAAACCTCATCATTCAATTTTCTAATCTAATAAGCATATTTATTCGGAATCAAACGTGAAGTCAACATCCGAAATAATTTGTGTTTTCAGGACAGGCCTGACAACAAAATGCGACGCAAGCAAAAAAAAACAACTCTTTCGTGGAAAGAAAGAAGACATCAAACTCATGAAATTCAAGACAAAATAACTTTTGCAGGCATTCCATTTTGACGAATTGAGAGGAGCGGGCCCGGATGATGGAACTAGACGTACAAATTTTATTTAAACAAGGAATGAAAAAGCAGAAAAAGAATGGGAAATAAAGCATTTCAAGCGCGAGAAGTAACAAGGGAACCATTTTCAGACACAGACCAGGAGCTGTCCTTAGAAATTGGGAGGGATATTCAGTTTTCATTGCTTGCAACAGCCAAGTCCAAAAATGGCGCCAAGGGAGTAGCCCGAGAAATGTGTGAGAAAGAAAACAGTGCACAATTCAAGGGCTACACATGGGTTCCTCTCTCGGTGAGGTCCAAGTTGAAGTAGAGCGAAATGTTCCTGTAAATATGATAATCTTGCACATTGACAATTTTAAACAACTTCTTACTGTTTTTTCTATCGGGAAGCAAGCACGTTAGTTGTCGTTTTATCAGTATGTTTATAGGGTATTGAAGTGTCAACACAGCAACGGATATCATTCTCCTGTTCCCGAGGAGTGAGATATGCCGAACGTTTCTACCATTACCACTTGGTTTCATCGATTCGAAAAAGGAGAATTTTCGATGGATGATCATCCACGTTCAGGAAGACTGATATCTTTAGACTTGGAAGCATTGAAAAGCGAGATTGAGAGGGATCCTTTTCAATCCGTCCGTGAACTATCAAGGACACTTGGGACGAGCCTATCATCAATTAGTCATGGACTCGAAGCAATTGGCAAAGTCAAAACACTCGGAAGATATGTTCCGCATGTTTTGACTCAACACAACTTGGATACACGTGTGGATACCTGCTTGAATCTTCTCACCCCGCATCGCACACATGGATGGTCTGATCAAATCATTATGGGAGACGAGAAATGGGTTATGTATGATAGCAGTGAGCGACGTGCCGAGTGGGTTGACGAAGACGCTCAGCCAACTGACGGGCCAAAACATGAAATACACGAAAAAAAGGCAATGTTGTCAATATGATGGTCTGTCCGTGCAGTTGAGTATTGGAAGCTGCTTGATGACGGCGTCACTATTACGACCGATGTCTACACTGGTCAGCTGAGAAAACTCGACTCCATGTGGATCTCCATTGGGGGAAAAATGAGAAAGTTTACTTTCAGCATGATAACGCGCATCCCCATGTCGACAGAAAGACCAAAGCTGAACTCGCTGGATAAGGCTGGCCAATCTTGTCTCACCCACCGTACAGCCCAGATCTGGCCCCCTCTGAATATCATCTCTTCAGTCACCTCCAACGCCATCTCAGTGGAAAAAAGTTCAACTCAAGACAAAAGATCAAAATCGAGTTGGCTTCATTTTTCGACTCCCAGCCGCAGGAGTTCTGGAAGGAAGGTAAGTGGTGACACGTTGGCAGACAGTCATCGAAAAACGTGGGCAATATGTCTAACTAATCGGATAACTCTTTGACTTGTTTCACAATAAATTTTTCTGAACCCAAAAATGACTGGAACTTTCCGGACAACCTAATAGAAGTAATAGACCTGATAACTTGTTACAGTCGCGGTAAAGTCGAAAATTTCAGCGGCCGGCTTTATGAACCGCTGAAGCGTGGTCCATTAAACCATGACGATCTCTGTGCAGAGTATCCTGTTCGTCTGGCACATTGAAAAATCGAGGCATCGGTTCAAATGACTACCCTCAAGGATTGCTTAGCGCCATCCCCTGTGCCAGGAGGCGCACAAAATCGTTTTTTGCTTCTCGCTAGGAAAAATGAGGTTATTCGTCACTTCTTGGAACGAGCCTCCAGCAGATTTTGAGTGATGGACTGAATGGGTTGAATGGGCAAAGAAAAATGGAAAAACGAGGGGAATGGGTTTTCGGCAGCTGTTCTTTCGTGCATGGGTCGTTTCGTTAACTGTCTGGGATGCATTAAGAAGCTCCGCCCAGTTTACACATCTTGTGGAGCATCTTGAAGAAGTTCATTTGTTCCATTCCTTTCAGCAGAAAGGATCACTCGCTTGCTAAGATGGTTCGATGCATCGCTCTTTTTCTACTGCTGACTGGACTCACGATCGGAGCCCTATTCCCCACTCCGGTCACCAAATTCAAAATTGACGGAGTGCTCAAATGCAGAATCCCTGGACTGTGGTGCCACTATGTGACTCTCTACGAGATCGATGACGTCACGTATGTTTCAAGAGAACTCGATACCCTTTTTGAAGATTTTTCGTTTTCAGAAAAAACGACTTGATCGATTTCCATGGTGTACGCTGCACACGACAAGCTACCTTCGGCTACAAGCTAGAAGGAGTCCAATACGGTGACGAGCTGGGGGATGTACGTATATAGTCTAAATGTATAAATGATTTTACATATGCACTTTTACAGGATTTCTACGAAATCACGATGTACGCAAGACATAACTGTTCCGAGAGATCGCAAATAAAGGAGATCACCTACATCCCGGAAGCCGTTCCCCTCAATACCACGTAAGTTTAAAAGAAAAGAGCGCGGAATGTGGCTAGAGTGAATTCTATACATTTGAGAGATGCTGAATTCCACTGGAACGTCGATGTTTCTGGAACCGGAACAACAGTCGATACTTATTATTTCTTCTAAATCATAGTTTGATATATTTTTTGCTTCTATCGGTTTGCTTGCTTTCTGCTTTGTGCTCTCTGATTTCTGATTTTTTTCCACCAAAGTTCTGACGTTCATTGTTTTTATGAGCTTTTTCCGCTTTGCTTTTCTTCCTAAATAAACGAACTAGATGATGCCGCAAAAACTGGTACACAATTTAGAGTTAACAAGTTCATATTCAGAAAATAAAATGGCGGTTAAACCGAATCAAATATATGAAAATGAACGGAAAGAGGATGAAAAGCGGAACTATTTGGTCGAGCGTTTCTTCGACTTATTAGTCTTCTTCGCCACGGAGCTCTTGCTAATGCTCTTCTTATTGTTCTCGGCCTGGACGGTCACACCAGAATCCTCCGCCTTCCTGGTCTTTTTCGCCGTGGAGCTCTTGTCAATTCTCTTCTTGCTCTTCTCGGCCTGGACGGTCACACCAGAATCCTCCGACTTCTTGGTCTTCTTTTTCGCGGAGTTCTTGCCAATGCTCTTCTTGCTCTTCTCGGCGTGGACGGTCACAGCAGAATCCTCTGACTTCTTGGTCTTCTTTGCCGGGGAGCTCTTATCAGTGTTCTTTTTGCTCTTCTTGGCCGGGATAGTCTTGTCAGACTGCTGAGTGCTTTCCATTGAAGTCGGTGTTGCCTTACGCTTCTTCGCTGTCTTACTTCTGGGCTCCTGACTAGCCGTGTTGTTCTCAGCAATTCCCTCGCGAACCAAATAGCGGCTGAAATTGTAGATTGTTTAAAATGTTTAAAAACGGTTCCTTGGTAGTAATACAAACTTTTCTCAAAAAAACACGACTCAAACGAACAAGACATTGGTCGCAAAAAGTTGGTTTTGATGGTCAACAGGACAGGAAGTGGTAGAGAAACTTTGTTTAGTCACTTCCCAAAGTGGGGGCTTATAGGATTTCTCAATAGCTCAAGTTTTGAGTAGAAAAAAAATCATGTTTAGCTAAATTGATACAAATTCAATGTTGTTTCCGAGCATCTACACTATAAATTTCTTTTCAAGCTTAAAAACCAGTAGAACCGCTCAAAAAATTTATTTAAAAGAGGAATTCGTAGTTGTGAGCGGCTATTTCATCGCACTGAATCACGTTATCTTCATTTTTGAGTTATTAATACCCTTCTCGGTCGGTTTTTGTCCCGTTTGGTCCCGTTTTGTGAGTTTTATTGAATTAAACAACTCACAGCATATCAAGAGTGCGGGGAAGAAACTCTTCAATTGCTTGGTATCCATTTTCGACGTTCTCCTGCACTTGCTCCTGAGACAGCTCCTTTTCTATTCCGTCCATAATTGCACGTCTTCTGAAGGATGCTTGCATGAGTCCTTTGTAGTAATCGTATCTAACGTCGCTGGGCTCGACGAGCATCAGACTTCCGGTCTCGATTTCATTTTTGGTGGAGACCATGAGAAAGAATTCATCCAAAGTCAGAGACATTACTGAAATAAAAATATTAACCTGTGGGAATATAGGCGGAAAATGATTTAGAGGAAAGGCAGCTCCGTTTGAAGTTCAAAAGAAACTGTTAACAGAAAAAAAGTGTTTAATAAATGTGATATTTTAAACTACAAATTTCTGCATTTCAGTGACTGAAAAATGCGTTTATGTCTGGCAATGATGCTCTACCGCGGTCTAGCGTGAAAATCCGGCCGCGGCCGTATGCGGTTTTCGACGTGAGAAATCGCAATCATAAAATTCTTTTTTTTTTTCGAAACTCAAAGAGCAGAGCGCCAAGAAAGAGGGGGACGACCAGCTAAAAATTTGAAATTTGGTGGAAAGTGTGAGCGGTCGGCTTTCCTTTCCAATTCCACGTTGACTCGTTGCACTTTTTGGCGACATTGTCAATGATGGCCATAAATGGGACTGCACAAAATCTATTTGAATATCATTGGGGACAACTGTACGGATAGTTAGAAAATTGGAGAGTGACGATGGGTGGAAGGACATGAAATGTTTTGCATAAATACCATATTCTTACAATGTGACTAATTGAAAAGGGCACCAGGTGCCGGGCAGCGAATGTTGTGAGATGAGGAAGCGCGAAGGCAAACAAAAAGTGTATTTCCGTCTGCATTTGAGAGAGTGGTTCAAAAATATGATTGCAACAGACATAGTGAGAAGAGAGGAGAGTTTAAGTAAATTATTTTTCTCGAAAATGTTTTTCTGTGCGCAGATTGCTACTGTATTTTTTTTTTAATTGTTCAAATTTTTAAGAGTTGCAATTACAAGACATGTGCAGAGAGGCTGGTACTGATCAATCGATAAAGCCAAAACGCTCAAGAAAGCGGAAGAAGAGGAAACAAGCGAACGCATTGTGGAACCCGGCAAAAAGAGCGCGCAGCACTGACTGACACGAGACACGAGGCCTCCCAGCCGCTCCCTCCTCTTTTTCGTCATCATACAATAACATTCTGCCGTCGACACCATTTTCATCATTGCGCAGAACTCAGAAAAGCAGCTCTACTTCGACATCCAAAAAAGAGAAATGAGCGTAAAGAGAGGCGCATTTTATTGTCACAAGCACATCGTAAATTGTACCGCCAAAAGGTAAAAGTGCATAGAAAGAGAACGTTTTGGCAGTGGATATTCAGACACAATTTTAATCGATTCACAATTTCGAAAGACACAGGGCAAAATTGCATAATTTGGTGTGGTGGCAGTGATGATCGCAAAGACAGAAGAGGGAAGATTGAGCGGTCCAAATGTTCGTTTCTGTAGATGTGAAGCCGATGACGTTATCGTTCTAGTCCAGAACCCTGCCGGGCGGATAGCGGTACACAGGACCGCATACAGATAGCGCGAAGATAACAGAAAGAGTCTGAAGAATACTAAACATGTTTTTGAATTAATGAGAATAGTCATTAATGAATCTTCAATTTTGAAGGGGTTCGAAATAGCGATCGAATAATTGAAAATTATTTTGCCTATAATATTTTCGTTAGTGCAAGTTTGCTATATAGTTCTCAGAACCCTATGAAGATTATAAACTCACAAGAATTTCCTTCATAAATGTCGCCCAACTCGCCAAACAGAAAATGGGAGTCAATAAGAGCGAGGGCCCCGAAGGTGTGGGCCCATTCCCCCACAAAAAATTATTTTATCACTGTTGACGCACATTCTCCCAACTTTGGAGAGCAGTGATTGTGGTCATTGGGCAATGAATAAAAAAAAGAAAGTTGTTTCTCAGTCAAGTTTATCGATATTGATCCAATATCGCAAACAGAATAATCGAGTGAATATGAGGAAGAAGAAGTGACAATGGTAAAATAGATCAAGGAAAAGGGACAATCAAAAAAGGGATGTGCAAGAACGATAGTCAAATGAGTTTGTGTAGAATGAACTGTACTACATTTCGAGGCATTTCAAAGTAAATGCGCTTTGTTGAGAAACCCTTCTTTTTGTGATCTTCGCGGCCTTATTTTTCAGCCGGGAAACGAGTTTCAGTTGTTTTTCATTTGAATCCTGAAATAATTGTTTCTTTTTTAATTGACGCCGGGCTGGAGATCACAATTGCAACAGAGCGCATTCACTTTGAAATGCCCCAATAGTAAAAAGGAGATTATGCAGTTTTTTCCGGCTCAGAGTTTTGCCATGCGCTCACAAATGAACGTATCCGTCGAAATCCTCGAACAGTTCGAGAAACTCGTTGTCTTCGATGACAGAAAACCCGTCTTCTTCCAAGTCCGCAGATTCTGAAATAGACGTATATGAACTGGCTAATAATTGCTCGATCATTTTGAAACTAACCCGATGTTAGGTGCCGAATGACTGCCTTGACCCCCTCATTGAAACACTCGTGTTCAACGAGCCCATCGTGCGTGAGCAGTTCTCCAAGGCAGCGACGGAGAGCCTCGAGGTGCTGGGTGTGGGTCAATTCCACATCCGGGACCCTTCCTTCCGAAGTGCCAAACGATTTTAGGTATTCCTGGAAGTTGAGGGTCGCCATGTAAGCAACATGGCACTGACGCTGAACGTCCAATTCGTCGACCACGTAGCTCATCTTCTTCAAAAACTGTTTCACGTTGCTCTTCTCCAAAGGAGGCATATCCGTGAAGAGGCGGAGCACGGCCAGAACAATCGCGCTGTAGGAACGGAGCTGCTTCGGAGCTTTGACGGCCACCACCAGCTTCTTCAACTCGTCGATGACTTCCTGATGATGACAGCGATAGCCACTCAGGGCAAAGAGTCCGATGAGAGTGACGAACTCGGCGGTCTTTTTCTCATCGCCGGGAAACATCATCATGATCTGAGTAACGAAGCGTCGGTTGTGGTCGATGAACGCTTCGTTGTGATAATTTTTAATTTCATTTATCAGTGTCCCGATCGCCTTCTTCTTGGTAGCCGGACTGAAAGAAAAATCTGCTTATTGACTGCTAAAACTGAAAATTTAGCAATGCCAATCATCTAGAGCTCACGCGGTTTCAATTTTTAATAGAAGCTTACTGGAGAATCTTCTTGATGATGTCGGCGAAGACTTTTCCAGCCGGATGAGTGGAAAGCGTAGACGGTGCACTAGTTGAGAGCATTTCGAGACGGTTTACTGAAATTTGCATCCGTAAGATCAATTAGAATCTCCTATGTCAATGGACTCGATAAGAAAAAACGAAGTATATGTCAAATTTGTGCGATGGTGAAATATATGGGTCGAAACAGAAATGCACGAGCTCTCAGACACAATTACGCGCCCACTCGTCCTCATGCATCTGTTCGCTGTCCAAAAAAAGTGAAAATGTGAGGTCGAGAAAAGGAGCGTACAGAAGTGAATTTTTCAATTTGAAAACTATCTTCTGGCTGTACCGTTTTGGCAATGAGCAAACTCGATGTTTAAAAAGTTTCGCGGGAAAACACTACTATCATGCCTCTCAAAAAAGTGATTACACGCGACATAATTGTGTGAGTATTATTAGGAGGTCAGATGGGTGAGAAGTGACCGGACGGGAGACGATGGAGGGGGTATTGGATTTCTTTTGCAATAAACACAGAAAAGTGACTGTCGGAAGACGTGGATGTTTTGTGCCACTCTCTCTCTCTCTCTCTTACATCGCCTCTCCGATTTTCACGCTCTTTTGCTCCGCTTTGGTTGGAAAGTCCGTTCCGTCGGACTGTGTGTATGTAAATTGATGATAGAAAAGGCGGAAAAGAAGCAAGAGGAGGGCACATACTGTGAGCAAGCGGCTAATAGAAGAACGTCCGAATAAGAAAAAATTGGGAAAAGGCGAGACGGCACGTGATAGAACGATTTGCGAGAGTGCATACGAGGGCGACGACGAACCGAATTGGAAAAATACATTTTTATGAATTCGGGAATCAGAATGGGGGAGGAGACAAAGAAGAAATGCTCGGAAAAAATTGAGGAAAATGTGACGGTAGAGTTCTCACGAAAATAAGTCAGAAGAACTAATTAGAAAACTGGAAATTATGTATAAATATTGACTCCCGGACGTCTCGAAACCGCAACATTTTAAATCCATCGGACATTTTGAAACTAGACCTTTCGAATCCGGACATTTTTAATCCACGACGTTTAGAAACTAAAAAAAGTTTCGAAATGTCCGGGAGTCAAAATATTGAGGGGGAGTAGCTTCGCAGATATCACAGTTTTCGTGGCGAGACCCGCTGGATGACGCATGCGTCATCAATCGAACCGATTTCTTTCAACGAGAAGCGCGTGCTTACAATCAAGGCTTTTTTCCGGAACATATTTCTGTTTTGTAGCAATCTTTATCCATCTCGGATCGGTCTATTTAACAAAAGCCCGGCCTTGTATAACTTTTGCCGGTCTGGTAGTTCTAGCTTTCTTAATTTCCTTTCACGAAAATAGACACGGTCAGTCAAAAAAATTTTTGAAATAAGCTCTCTGCAACTGAGCAACTGAGAAGGTGAAGGAATACTATCATTATCAGAACGCGCAGAAAAAACGTGAAAAAAATAGTTTTCAGCACGGACAGTGGTAGTTATCTTTTTTAATGATTAATTTTCTGGTTTGTTGTAGGCTCGCTTCCTATTTTTAGAGTTTTCCTTGCAAAAACCATCGGTTTGTCATCAGCTCGTCGTTCCATCTTTTTTCTACTCCATTGTTTTGCCTTTGAATAGTTGATTTACGTGAGTCATTACTCATATTTCGTTGGTATTTTCTAAAAAGAGAAATGATGAATAATCATTCTTTTCAGAATGAACAATCTGGCGGGTAGTAAAATATCTGATAAACTGAAGCTCCTGAGTCACCTTGGATCGGGCTCGTACGGCTCCGTCTACTTGGCAGTCACCGACAAAGGAACGCATGTTGCTGCAAAACTTGTGAGATTGAACCGAAACGGAAACAAGGATCAGACGGCAGAAAAAGAGCTTCAATTTCTGGAGAGCATGTCTGGAGTTCAAGGAATTCCCACACTGCACGGGCACGGTTTCTGGAATTCGTTCAGATTTTTTAGTCAGTTTTCCCTTTCGATTCGAAACTTATGAAAAGCTTTCAGCAATGACACGCGGTACGGTGAATCTGAATCAGCTGATGACGATCGATAAGATAGAACCTGCTCTCCACCGCTTCTCTGTCGTCAGAATTGCTTTCGAGCTTATTGGTGTCATCCAAGCAGTTCATCGTCGCGGATGGCTCCATCGAGACTTGAAGGCGGAAAATGTGATGGTTACGTCTGATAACGTAAGAATCAATTTTTCTGAATAATGCCTTTCTCGAACAAAAAAACGTCTCCAAACTTTATACAAACAATTATTTCAGTACTACCTTCTTTTTACTTTCCAGAACTCGCGTCTCCACATCATGCTCGTAGATTTCGGACTTGCGGAACGCTTTCGCAATTCTAATGGCGAGCGCCTGCCATTCGTGGCACCGGAGAACCAATTCCACGCGGTGATCTATTGCAGTGTGAACAATCACCTGAAAAAACCGTCTACGGAGCACGATGACCTCGTGATGTTCACCTATCTGCTGGCATTTATTTGCAGAGAAACCTCGTTCTTCTACGGAACAGAGAAGGATCGCCTCAAAGCCAAACGAAAGCTGGTCAGTTTGTCGTTTGAATTACTGAAATTCTCTTTTTGTCAGACGTGCCGCGGACCGGAATACGGTTTCCGGTTTGTATTAGCTAACTTCAATAAGAAATAGCAGTTTTCCGAGTGAAAAATCTTCTAAAAAGTCAATAATTCTTCCTTACCTTTATTCTAACTTTAAATCCGCGCAAGACCGGGCCGATTTACGACAACTCTGATTTTTCTACTTCAGAATAAGAGCATTTGAATTTCCATTTCAATGTATTGTTTCAGGCAAGAGCTCCAGCGAAGATTTTGAGAGCTGAGAACAGTTTTCTGTTTCCAATCATCACTGCGATCAACAGGATGAGATATGGAGAAGAGCCGGACTACGGCAAAATTCAGCTGAAGATCAAGAATTGTGTTCAGGGCTTCAATCCGGAAGCAGCTTTTTTCCATGTGAACAGAGAGCAGAAGATTCGGCTTTCCTATGAGAATAATGATTTCCTGTAATGTGTTGCTTTTATCTGTCTCTCGATTCAGTTCTCCTTGTTCAAAAATCGGTGCCAATCATCATAACAGTATCTGCAGAAGTCCCAGTTTATCATATCAACCACAGGGTCATGCATTTTTCGTCTCTATCTTCTTCTTTTCTCTTGTTGTTCTCTCTTCCAACCCCACTTCCCTTTCTTAACCCAACTGAATTCCGACCCTTCTCTGATGATTTATCATCTCATTCATGTTCTAACCCTCCATTTTCTTCATCTTCTTCTTCTTCTTTTGCGTCTTCTACGTAAACGAAGCGATATGGAAAAAGTCGGCCGTAGTTTATTCTCTTTTTCATTCCTTTTTTCTTCTCTTCATCATATCCAACAATTTTCGTTCACATCTCCCTTCCTCCCCTATAATTTTCTTCTCCATTACCTGACGCTTGTCAATTTCTCTCCAGCTTTTTTGTGCATGAACCCATTTATCTCGTGCTGCCAGCTTTCTTCGTCTTCTCTCCAAAATCTGTTATTTTCAAGAGAAGAGTGATGTGAGTGGGCTCTTGACGGTGACTGATTTTAGCGTAATTTATACCTCCCGAGCGCTTCTTTGACAAATTGGCCTGTCAGTTGTGCCTTCCATTTTACCAATCAACTGGCGTCATCCATATTTGGCTGGAGATAAATCGAGGCTGCTGAAATTTGGAGCACGAGCACTACCGTAAGACGTCCAATAGGCGCACAGCACAATTTGTTTCGAACTCTGAAAAATATCTGTACCGCTGAAAATTGAACGGTTTTTGAACTTTCAGAAATTCCAAAGCAAAAAATTTGGCAAATTAGTACAATATTGAAGCATTAACCCCTCTAGGTTCAATACAAAACTGAGAGCAGTATCTTCTAAAAATGTGGCAAGTCCCATTTCCAATTTTCTAATTTCCAGTTTCCTAATTATTCAGTTGCAAAAGTGTCCGAAACTTGCGATAGTCCGTGGTTCCGTTCTAGTTTTTTAAAAAGTCATGCATAAATGACACTTTTGTAAGAGACTTGTGGGTGGCTAGAAAACTTTTCCCGTTACTTTTCAAAGAAGACGTTTCCGAAAATTGGCAAAGAAGTTCCGAAAAGTTTGGTGCATCCATTCTAAACGGCCCTCAATTCCCAAAGGTCCACTGTCCCCACGTAATCTTTGGTGCTAGGCCTTCATTTTCTATCGAGAGAAAATGGAACAATATCTGTTTGTTCTGAAGTTCAATTCTATCAAATTTGGAAATAACGTAATTGGGGAAAAAGGAGAGAAGGGGAAAAGTGGTAAACTGACTTCAAGAACGCACAACTTCCGATCGGTAATAGGTTTGCGTTGTAATTGAAAAGATGGCAACGAACACGAGACGCCCAACCCTTTTTTTCCTCTTCGGTTGCGTGATCAGAAACAAAGACTCCCTCTTTTTCTCGCTCTTCCCGAAGTGGTAATTCTTATATCATCCAAACCCCTTTTCCAACTAATTTCGCCGTTGTGTGAGAGTGAATTTTGCTCGCGAATGCTGTGCCGTATTCCGGAAAAAAAGAGTGAAGATTGGAGCATTCATCGCAGCTGATAACGTCTGCTTAACCCTTTTCGAATAGGAATGAATGTGCATTTGATTGGCAGGTGAACAAAAAACTGCTCTTAAAGGAGAGAAAAGTGGAGAAGAAAACGCGAGAAAGTAAGAGAGCGCGAGAGAAAGCGTGTGCGTGTGTAGTGATGTGATGCGTTGGAAATTCGCGTTATCAGTCGGTTGGCTTATTTTGCTCTTCTTTCACAACACCCCACTCGCATGATTTGTGCACAACATTTTCATTTGTGAGTTCTGAAGTGACTATCGGCGGGGCTTTTCCCCGAAAAAAATTACTTTTACCGTACGCTTTTCTAGTCGTCGCTTAGTGGTGGTACCCGGAACTTTAAGGAACTAAAACACCGAAAAATTTGCTAAGGTCCGAGATAACTCGTGATAAACTCCGGGTTTATAAAAAACATGACGTAAGCATTCTGAGAAACTAAAGAAAACTGACCTTGGCGAGACCTAGGCACTGAAAAGTGCGGTCAATGTCAGATTTTCGCTACGAAAACCGCCAGTCCCCTAAGTGACCCTTTCTCTCTAATGCTGTTTCTCAGCTCTTGAGAAACTACGATTCCACACGCTGCCTTCTTATTTTCCAGAAGCATTACAGAATTCGTAATGTCCATTCTTCCACTTTAGTCGGTCATTACAAAATGAGCAAAAAAGTCGTGTCCTTTTTTTCTTTTCCATCGAAATCCGTAAGTGCTCAACTGCTCACAGCTGGCCGTCGGTCCCCTGCAAACGTATCGTTTGTGCGGCAAAAAGAGAAGAGAAAGTTATACTAATTTCCGTTTCTGCTCAGTGGTGCGCGCGAATTGGTGACAGGCTCGACTGGTTCGGCAATCTGTATCAGTCACATAAATAACAGGTGCATCCTCTGAGACCACGAGGAAGAGGCTCGTCACTTCCCTGTGAACCAGAGCACTCACGGCCTGTCCCTCTTCCTTCAAATCGTACAAAAAACTCTATTGTTTCGTTCCCTTCCGTTGTGGTTCCGAAAGATTTTGCCGCAATAAAGTGAGAATGTGAAACAATCAGAAAACATCTTCTGTTTAGAATAGAGAGGATGAATCATTCGTCTCTGATTCATCCATATTCGTCATTTTTTGTTTTGATAAAGTTTTCGGGCGGCTACTAGTAAGCTTGTAGCCGTAAAGTTGTAGCCAGCTGAAAGCTGAGAAAAGGTGGCTCGTAAACTGATGAACTAATTGGGTTCACCGAGTGCACTCAGTCGACAGAGCCGTTGAAACCTGCTGTTGCGAGCCTAGAATAGATAAATGACGCACTAACCAAGCTGATATTAGTCAACATTCTCCGGTCCAGTGGGTCCATCCTAATTTTTGTGCTATATATATGTATATATATATATATATATATATTCTTCACGAAAATTCTTTTATTTTTGTAGCTGATCTCTGATTGAGCTCTCATTCAGGTCACAACACAAAAGTTACCAAAAAGCCGTCGCGTGATGCATCCCAAACAGTCTATCCCATGCATTTCCATATTTGCATTTGAAATGCAAGTGTTCTGTTTGGCACATCAAAGATCACAACAAAATCTGGCTATTGGAAGAGAGGATTCCTCTCAGATTACGGTAGCAGTCACCCAACGATGTGTCCTCCGCGGCCAAGAAGAAGAAAGGAGGCAAAGAAGGAAAGGGCCTCTTGTGTGGGCTGCTCGTTATTTTTATTTGCGCCAATTCAGTTTTAGTGTCTGTTCCAGAGCACCTTTCTCGACTATAAAATCTGCCAATTCTTCGATTCGTACAAAAATGTTTCCTGCTCCCACCCAAGACTGGCTGTGCTAGCCTAGGCCTTGGCCGTTGCTGTGGCCTAGTTTTTTCTCGAACTCCGCTCGATGGCCAATTTTCTCTAAAAATCTTAAACACCGCAAAAGAAAAATTTGCAACGGGCCGGGCAGGGCCAAAACTCGAAAAAATCCTCCAACTCGGCTCGACGCTTGGCTCAAAAATTTTTGTAAATTTTAGGAAAAGTTACGAAAAACGAAAAAAATTTGTTCATGATGTAATTGGCCGGCTTGTTAAACGGATGAAGCTCGTAAAGTATCGGAGCATTGTATGGAAATCAGAGCGGGCGAGCCGATTACGGTAACTTTAATCGCTTCTCCATTGGCATCATCGGGCAAATTTCACAGACATCTTTGCTCTTTCCCCTTTTTTCTTTTCTTTCCCGTCCATTTCCATATCAATATAGTGATAAGAAAACATCTGCGCGTCACTTGACGTCGTGTTATTTCACTCTCCTCCGAAAAGATGTTGTGCATTTTCTGAAAAGAATATGGTATTGCCTCTCTCACTTTTCCGTGCTATTTTGAACAAAAAACTGTGACTATAGATAAACTTGTGACTTTCGCACGCCCAACTATTGAAAGCGCCGAGGTTTTATATCATCGTGTGTCGTCGCCAGAAACAAACGAAAACGCGCTCGTTTCTTTTTCATTCCCATTTTTCGTCTTGTTGGAACCGGCGGTTTCGGAGGATTACGGTAGGCTACATATTCCCATCGGAATTATTCGCGTTGTCAGTCCATCCGTGTGTTTCCCATAAGTGGGAGGTATAAAAACAGTAGAGGCCGCGTGCATTTTGACAGAAAACGGGGGGGGAGGGGGCGGCTAAATTGTTCCCAATTTTCCGGCTTACTGTAGTCATTCGATTTCGCAATTGTGTTGTGCAACCGCATTTTTGGCACGTTAAGGGCGAGCCTAATTTATGCACATTTTGACAAGAAGCAAGCGCGCCTATTTCACCCGCACCCGTCTTTCTCGCCTTTTTTTCGTAGCAGTACTACTAATAAATGACTCACCCACGTCACACACACGCGCGCACACAGAAGCTTCTCCTTCGCCTTCCCTTCTGCCTTCGCTCGCTGAGTATCCCTCCCTTTCTCGTCGCCTCGTCCGTCGCCCCGCAGGCCGCGAAAAATGGCAAATTTCGCGGCGAAGAAGACGTCGACGTTGTGTTGTTTTTGCTCCAGAGAAGAAGGAGAGCGCCCTCCCCTTCCACGGCTCGAGGAGAAGGGGGCCGCGTGGTGCCTTCTTTCTCTTTTCAGTGCTCTTTCGCGGCTCGGCGCGCCTCACGCGCGTTGTCTCGGCCCTCTCCACATCTCCATTTTCGTGCTGCTCGGCTCCCCTGCTCTCAGTTCTCAGATTCGTCCGCCGTCCTTCGTGCCTCATGCTATTTTCTTTTCCACACCCTTCGATTTTCAGCTAACCGTCGTGCGTTATCATCTCGAAGCTTGGAAACCGCCAACTGATCTGATCGGATCTGTAGATCAAATTAATTTGAAGCAAAAAGCGAACAAAACAGTCGCGAAAATCAGCGAGTGAAGGGTGCTGCTCAGTAAGGAACGAAGGAAGAACCCCGGGACAATCCACGTGATCTTCCACGTGAACGGCCACATCGAAAGGACGGAAAGCAAGGTGGGTTCTATTCCTGTCTGTGTCTTCCTACGTCTACTTCTACAAAAATGAAAGACCAATTTTTTTTCTCTCTCTTTCTCTCAATCTCTTGGTTTGTCACATGTCACAAAATCGCCGTTCTCGCGCCACATCAGGTTTTCTCTCTTCATTCTTCTCTCCTTTTCTCTCTTTGTCTGCAACGTGGCTTAGCGTGGACATTCAAAATTTAAAATTCAGCAATTTAATTATTGCCAATTTGTCTTTTTTCACCCATCATTCACTCAACACGCAATGTTTCTCGATCCTATCATTCCATAACCAATTCATTAAAAAAGGGTATTGGTTACTGTATCCCCAAAATGTAGTACACGTCATCGTTACAATTCAGCCGGGTTGAACTCGATTAGACGGTTTCTCTTCTGATCCTACTAATCCCGTTCGCTTTTAAGAGGAATGCCTTCCGTTTGTGACTCTGACCGTCGCCAGAACACGACGGCACAGCCAGAAAAAGAGCAAGAAAAAAAACGAGCGGTCTTATTTTTTCCATGCGCCTTTCATGCCCAGAGACGCCGTAGCGAAATAGCGGTGATTCGGACGGAGACGCCGAGTAATTGATGAATGTGTGCTGCCGCCCTCGTGTGTCCGTCTTCTCTCGTTTTCGTTCTATCTTCACAACGACAACGTCGCCGTGGCCGCCAGCCCCTGCTTTCCCTCCAAAAATGTCGAATGCCCTTGTGAGGCAGCGTGAGGGCTGTGGAGAGCGTCGGAGAAAAGCGAGAAAAGACGGGGAGTGAAGCCAATTTCAGCGAGATTCGCGCCTTCGTCTGCGTTTTTGCCTTCCCCTTCGCCTTCCCCTTCCCCTTCCCCTTCCTGTGCTGCGCCAGAGCTGCTGGAATGAAAGAGCACGCGTACCCCTTCCCCTTTCCCTCAGAAAAGACGTGGCTTCATTTCCTTTTTCCATTTGCATACGGTGTCTCAACCCTGGCCAATTATTCTTCTCCGGCTCAGAAGCTCCGCCTAGTTTTGTCTCTTTTCCGCTGTTTTCCATCCTTCTTTTCATCCACTCGTCCAATTTTTTTCTCACAAAAAAGGATGCGTGCCTGGGTGGTGAACAAGTTTTTTCCTGCCCGATGACGGCAGCGATGAACTTTACAATACATGCCTCCCAAAGTGTTCAGCATCGTGGGTAGCCCTTTTTTTCGAAATGTTGGGTTAATTCTTGAAATTTGCAGTGCCGTTTCGTCATTAGAATTTTCTGACTTTCCAGCCGCGAAATTCCCATCTCGACCCTTGGGATCACTGAAAAACAATGTTTACGTGCGAAAACTGATACAAAATTTTTTTGATAAACGATATTTTCCCAAGGATGACGAAAGCTGTACACTTTTTCGGTCTGGATATTTTCCCCTTCGTCTGTTCCTCTCGCTTCTCTCGGATCCCACTCACTCCTATCGGTATATCCTTCTTCCCTTCATGTTTTTTGATTGAAAACGCAATTGTTTTTTGATCGGTCAACCTTCTTTTGCTTCTAAAAAATCTTCTTTCCAAACGCTGTATATGTAGTAGTCGTTTCTCAATAATTGGGCTTAGTTTTTCTTCCTATCACGCGCTTGTCCTTTTTTACTAATAATGAGCTACAATTTTCGAGACTAGGTCATTCAAGGCGTCAATTTCAGCTCGAAATAAAGTTTCACATAGTATTGTAAGTGACATATCGGCTCCGGTAGAACAACAACTTGCCTCCAAGCTGCCAAGAACCGTATTTTTTCATATAATCCTATACCACATGCATTAGAGACCACGCAAGTTGGCTCCGTCTCCGCGCACCTCTCAATTTCCTCTCCCGTGCCAAATATCGTTGAGATTACTGGTTGCAAAAGTTCAACTTTTTCCTTTCAAAGGGAATATATAACCGGAAACGGAAGCGGTGGTGGATGGAAATTGCTAAATTTCCGACCAATCACGTTGGATTCCAAAATCTGATTCACGTTTCTCAGAAATTTCGTCTTCATCCCTGCAGCATTTGTTCCTCCCCCGCTTTTTCTATTTCTTCGCTTTTTTATCACAAGGCTCGCTTCCCCAATTTTTTTTCGGGAATACAATAAAACATACAAACAATCGGGAAGACGAGGCGCGGCAACGGGAGGTAGCTGATTCATATTTTATTGTTTCTTCTCCATCGTCATTTCGATTGTGCTTCCCTGGTTGAAACGATCGCTACAGTACGCCTTCTTTCGCTAGCTGTTCCAAACATTTAATAGATTTCCATTTTATTTTATTATCTCAATAAAAGCGCAATGAATTTTGCATAAAAGCACCAAAAACCCTCTCGAAAAATCGCTGCGCGTTGTCCGTCCTCTCTTTTGTGTGCAAACACCACGACGCACAATTGCGGAGCGCACCTCCTCTCTCTAGCTTTTCCACACACATACGTTGATTGATTTGACTACCAAATTCGTTTTTTTTTCTACATTCACCGCTCGCCACGTATACCCAGCCGGATATGGTCTTTGCCGGTTTACTGGTTACGACGCACGCCCCCGGTGCCTGCTTTTTTGGGTTTAATCCTTACTCGGTTTTGTCCGTTTTACTTCTCTTTTAGGCTCACTGCGCGGAAATCCAAAAAGACGTTTTTATACATAATTTTTAGAAAGAAAAGCGATTCTCTACCAAAAATTGTCAATATACTTCTATTTCTATCGAATTTCGTATCTCTGTTTTCCGTAATTTTTTTATCACAAATAGTAAATTACAGATTTCAGATGGCTAAGAAGAAGAAGACCGCTAAGGAAGTGCCTGCGGAAGTGCAGGCAGTCCGAAACCGCTACATCGTGTGGATGTCGGGCACAATGGAAGAAGGTGAGTTGTAACATGCGATTGCGAAATACAGCCAATTGTTCATCATTTCAGAAGTGCTCTCTTACAGTCGACTGAAGATGCACCAAAGCAAGCTGATGGTGGAGAACTCGAGAAGATACGTGGTCATTCACGCAATTTTCAACCAGAGCAACAATCTGAAACTGGAAGTGAATGAGGAAAACGAGAGCCGTCTGTTTATTCTCTGGGACATTGTCAAGACGTGAGTTCAGACTAAGTTTCAAGTGTTTATTTTTCATTCCAGAGTTTACGCTGCGTACCTCATCTTCCCTGATGACATGGAACGTCATCCGAATGACCCCAGATGGATTGAATGCAAACTCTTTGAGTTCTTCAAGCAGATGGAGGCCTGGAGAACTTCTGTCAGTTCTACCTACTTCCTCTAAACTGGATGATTTTCAAATTTTCAGGGCCAAATACTAAATGATCACAGTTATGCAGGCGATTGGGCCTATCAGCACGCCACTCCGGAAGTTGCAGTGGAGATCATCAAGCACGCGCGGAAGTGGGCGAACATTGGAGCAGACGTTCCATTTCCGAATTTCCAAACGTTGGAGAGAATGCTGCACAACAGCACGTTGCTGGCACACGAAGGAAACTGCAGTTCAACGGAATCGGACTGTCCCACCAAGAACATCATATTCATCGATTCTGGCGACGGTCAAGCTGCGTGTTACATGGCCCTTCGAGCCGTTTCCAACGTCATCATGTTTGAGAAAAACCGGGAAAAAAAGGAGCAATGCGAGAATCTATTTGAAGGAGCTCAGATGTGAGTCCATATTGCTCTTGTTGAAAGTGAAATTCTATTCCTAACACATTTCAGACTTTCCAATCATTTTGGCAAACATATCGGGCAAGGACTGTTTCTCACAAAAAAAGATCTTACTACCCATGAATCCATTGTCAAGAAGCTCACTTGCCAGAACATCTCACTATTGTTCTCAGTCGACAAGCGTCGTATAATGCCAGTGGTTCGACGGTTGCGCTTTCATTTCGTGGATAGGGCTGTAATTTGGACACGTCGCAAGAAGCTTGTTCATATTGGGCGTCCGAAGAGTGTGGCATTCTTTTTTCTCGGAGACCAATGTTTTATTTTTTAGAACGATTGCTAAGAAGCGCTCAAATCAAGACGATAACCGGTAAAATTGCTCGTAGACAACGGCAGATTCTGCTTTCAAAGTATATTCTCCGTAAAAACGCTACAAAGAAGAGGATTCTTGGATTCGTTACAAAGACGAGAAGACTCATCTGGAGATTCAAGAAGGTCCGTCCTGTTGCTCTCTGACTAAATGTACTAAAATTAGTTGTTTGTAGGACAGCACAGACGTCGTCAAGATTCCGAGATACATCAAGGAAATGGCGATGGAGATGAGCATGAGAAGACGCACAATAAGAAAACAGATGAAAATGGAACTACCGGCCGGGTGGATGAGAAAACCGCGGCGACATTCCAGAATAGCTGATGCGGCAGCGGTTCAAGGTGATTTTTTCGTTTCTGTGGGTGGATCTGACTGTGCCAGATTAATTTTTTCGCAAATAAATTTTCATTTTTCAGAACTTGCTTCAACGTCAATGTTGCCTCTCAAAGTCGACATTGTGGATGGACAGAGGACGACGACCATCAACAACATGCACTACAACATCCACCGAAGCTCACAGATTGATAAGATCATGGAGGCGAGCCCAAGTGCGTCCAACGATGTTATCCAGGAAACCGAGACAACCGATGTTCAACCTTCGTGTTCTGGAAGTGCTGATGAAGTGGTTGAGAATATTCAAGAGCAGGCATCACTTGCCTCAACTCAGACTTCAACTGAGCGAATCAAGACCCCTGTTAAAACGACGAAAACTACACAGGAGCCGAGCAGTGTGTCGACTATTTCTGAGCAGGGTTGTCAGACCGGCATGGTCCCCAATCACTCGCCTCTCTCCGCAACATTTGACAGATCCTCGACGGAGCCATCCCCATCCAGCACCGCCATTCCGACTCCATCCACTTCCCCAAATCATTTGGATGCCAATCGGGAGTGGAAGAGCAAAGTGAATACAGCTGACAGTCAAACCAAGAGTAATGGACTACTTGCAATTGAATCTCCAAAAGTGCCTGTTCCGGTGAAAGTGAAGAAATCAATTCTCATTTCTCCACCGCCCGTGAGGGTCCACGTTGAAAGAATGGAAATTGATGACGCTCCCCGCTCTAATCTGACTGATGGCAAGAAGCCGGTCGTGTTTGATGATAATGAGGTGATAGAAAAACATATTATTTTTAAATAATTTTTTTCTTAATTTGCAGCTAGGGCCGGATTACCCTGACCACTTGCAAGCTCCATCAAGCCGCCAAGTCAAATCATCTGCTTCTGGTTCTAACCTTCAAGAATCCCATGAAAACGGTGTCGGAAATGTCACTGCAACCAGCACTTCCGCACCAGAATCAATGTTCACATCTTCTAGAAGTAGATACACTCCGAAGACTAATACCGGATTGAACATTCTGGAGTCCAGTTCAAATGGACAAACCGGCCGCCCTGATCCTTACAACTTCTCGGATGAACACAATTCAGTGCCGAAAAGATGCAAGCATATTGATGCTGTTTCATCCGACATCGCTGGACCTTCGACATCTTCTGCATCCGTTGGTTATCAACCGCTGCAAGATCCCTGCGTGCCTGCTGATACAAGACTTGGAGACTATGTCAGAGCTCGACATGCTTCTTCTGGTTCTAGGAAAAACCAGAAAAGAAAAATTCCCTGGCAGCCAGAGCCAAACATCTTGGGCTTTGCCGGCCCGTCTCAACAACAAGTTCCTCGCCCTCCACTTCCAAGTGGTTCTCAGAATCCTACATCGTCGCGTGGTGTGCCGTTGCCACGAGAAGCTAGTTTTGTTCCCACACCGAGTGCCGGTGTCCGCTACCCTTCGGCAAGAAGAACGTTCAACTTTAACTTATCGGACTTTCCTTCTCGAGGTCTCGACCTTACACCCCTTCGAGAGCCGCATGAACACGAGAAGAACATGCTCGTCTCAGAATACGTCTTATTAGAAGTAAACAAGCAGCGAAATACCGTGCGGGACAATCAATCGAGATACATACAGGAACACGGAATTGTTCGCCCAGCTTCTCCTGTTCTAGTTGTGAGAGCGCAGGCAGCAGCAGGCAGGAGTCAATCTGCAAGCAGGAATGTCAGGAGACCACATGGCCAGTCTACAAGCGCCAATGTCAGGAGACCGCGCACTCAGTCTACAAACACCAATGTCAGAAGATCACCCGGTCCGTCTACAATCAGCGATGTCAGCATAGCACCCGGTTCGTCTACAATCACCGATGTCAGCATACCACCCGGTTCGTCTACAATCCGCGATGTCAGAAGATCACCCGGTCCGTCTACAATCACCGATGTCAGCATACCACCCGGTCAGACTACAATCAGCGATGTCAGCATACCGCCCGGTCCGTCTACAATTAGCGATATCAGCATACCACCCGGTCCGTCTACAATCAGCGATGTCAGCACACCGCCCGGTCAGACTTCAATCAGCGATGTCAGCATACCGCCCGGTCAGACTTCAATCAGCGATGTCAGCATACCGCCCGGTCAGACTACAATCAGCGATGTCAGCATACCACTCGGTCCGTCTGCAATCAGCGATATCAGCATACCACCCTTTCAAAACTATCTGGCAGAAGAAATGGAGGCTTTTCGGTCATTGCCACTTCGGTACTTATTGGAGAAAGTCGTTCTTCAACTGGGACGGGCATTGGAAGAGGGCGAAATTGGAATTGTTCTACGTTGGCAGTTAAATTGGAATTGTCGTGTTAACTTCCTCGAACTTGTGCAGTATCTTCAACTAGAACACGCGAGAAAAAACGCTGAACAAGCAGCACAAGCAGAAGAGCTTCAAAAATCCAGTGGGAAATCCCTGAAAGAAAGAAGTGATGAACCCGGAACGTCTGCTGTTGCTGCTGCAATGTCTGAAGTCGAGCGTCTGAACAATGGTATCGAGGAGCAATCAGCACGCCATACTATCGCGCAGGAGAGAGCTGAATCTGAACGTCAGGAAAGGCAAAATATCGAACATGCCCGTCGAGCCGCCGAAGCACATGATCGTCATGCCCGGGAAGCTGCTCATCGGCTCTCCGAAGCAGAAGCAGCTGAGCGTCAAACATCCGAAGAAGCTGCGCGTCGAGCAGCAGAAGAAAGCGATCGTCTTGTAAAAGAAGAAGAAACGGAACATGAACATAGCGCCAAAGAGAAAACCACGCGCACCGTGGACGAAGCAGTTGCTGAACATCTTGCGAGGTCGATGCAAGTAGCGGCACAGCAGCAACAATCTCAAGGTGCTCTTGCTCAACACAATGCTCGACATGTCCCGGTTTCAGTCATTGTTCCTCCTACTTATGTTGCTAACGCCGTTTCACATGCTTCAACGGCTCAAGAAGTACAACTACCTTTCTTTGGATTGGATCCCAAGCTGTTGCAAGACTGGATTGAGCAACAACGCAAAATCAATGAGAAAGAAGAATATGAAAGAGAACAGAAGAAAATCCTGGAGGAAATTCAGAGGAAGTTGTTGCTCGAATCGCTCCTACGTCCACATATGCCTTCATCATCTCGACCCGCGACTGCTGCTCCACCCGGTTTGGCTACCATGGGAAGAGCTGAACGCCCAACAAGACATCAGGATTTTATCAATCAGTATGCTGCCTCTCCAATTGTTCAAGTGGACAATACACCACGAATGAATTCACCACGCATGGACCCACCCGTCATGAATCATTTTGCCGCCAACTTGCACAATCAGCACTTGATGGCTTCTCCGTCCCCGCAAAACTTCCAGAATTCGGGACCATCCGGTTCAATGAACAACTTCACGATGGGAATGGGATTGGCCAGACCTTTGACTGCAGCTCCACCACCATTTGTCAAGCCGAAACGGTCGTACAAACGCAAGAACCAGCAAGATGGTAACGAACAGAAAACTCAGCCAAAGGAAAAGAAGCCAAGAAGTTCGAAGAAGAAGAATGGGGCAGACGCTCAAGTGTTTGCTGCACCTGCTCCGCCTCGAACACCGTCTCAAATTCAACCATCTTCATTCGCAATGCACCTACTCAATCAAAGGCAGGTTCCTCCACTGAACGCTCTTGAGGAATTTTCTCGGACTTTCCCGAATTATCGCAACTTCATGGACACGCAGGCAGCTCCCACTCCACAAGTTGTGCCAATTCTGCAAAATGTCCAAGCTTATCAATTCAACCCGTTGATGGCTGCTCTGATTGCATCACAAACTATGCAATTCAACAACACAATACCCGTGAGTTTAGAATTTCACAATAGCGGAATTAATGTGGGTAACAGTCAAGCAACTGAATTCAGTCTCATTCAGTTTCATTTAACCATTTCTGATCAAACTTACCATTTTTTTCAGCTCGTGCCTCAAGTTGCCCATCTTCACCGTCCAACTCCAGTTGCAACACCCGTCCCCGCCTATACGCCGGTTCCAGTCGTTAACAACGCCTTCACCGCACCGATGCCGCCGTTGCAAGTTCCCATTATACCGGCTGCGCCGCAACTGCAACTGACGGATGCTCAGACTATTCAGTATATTTTAAATACAATGACTTTGTATCAAAATTTTCAAACCGGTAATCAATAATTGTTCATCTTTTTAAAATCTTTTTCCCCCGACGCCCATACAACTCGAACCCGTTGACAAACTAAACTTTCTAGTCGGTGTTTGTTCCTTTGCCATTCATTTTCTCCCCCGTTGCACACACTTTCCCCCATATTTTTCTCCATTTTTCTGGGTTTCGATCTCACCTATCAAATTATTAATTGTATAATCAGAAGTCTCAATAAAGTTTTGTGCATTGAAATAAAACTAGAACCAAGATCTGTGCCTGACACATAGAATTAATGTTCTTTGTATTCTGATAATAAATCTGAGAAAGCTTTTTTGTTAATTTTCAGGTGTCGAAGTTTGTCTAGAATACAAAATCAGCTCGGTCTGAGTGTCAGAAACATTACATCCCTCGCTGTCCCTTCAAATCGTAAATGTTATTTTCTCAACAGGTCGTTTTTCTTACACAGTCAGTGAACGTACTTTCTCACACTCCGTCTAACAAGTGCACGTTAAGATGAACGAGTCTTCTCAAGGCGCATATCCAACGTCACTTCGAGCAGTGGACTCTGGCGAGTAGTGAAGGCAGGCAGAGAAAAACAATTTCCACTATAGTATTAGGATCAAAAGAATAGTTTGACACTTCGTTTTGACCAATAAACACAAAAAGAATGGGCGACATTAAAAAAAAGAGTTGATGAAATGTGGACATGTCACAGTAGTTTGAGAGAAAGAGTTGACTCTCTGGTCCCACCTAATCCCCCGTTTCCTTATAAATAACTATGAAACAACTAGATTTGTCATTATTTTCCGTGTTCTACCTACTTTTCTATCATTCTTCTTTAATTTTACTTGAACTATGACAAAAATCGATTGCCTTTCTACTCCTTTTTAACTAATTTTTTTTCAGTAAGCTTTCAGTTTTATTCTGTGGACGTGTGACCAAGCAAAACGCTGAAAATATGAACAATCTGGAAGGAAAAAGAAATGTAAGTGAATTGGAAAATCTTAAATTGTTGGAAAGTGTTCATCTCGTTTCTTATATTAATCCCGCGAACTTACCAAATTTCAGATCGGATGTTACGAGTGTAAAACGCCGACTTCTTCTAAAATCTCAAAGAAACTGACAAGGTGAGCAACGATGTTCAGGCTTTATCAAAATAAAATCTGCAGACAAAACGGAACGAGCAATCTGCGTACTCCGGAGCTCCTCGTGTCGCCTGTGACAGTTTCTCCGAGCGATGCTGCTTTGAAATTGTCTCATGCGCCAAGAAAAAGCGTGGAGAGTGGGTACAGCTCTGATCACGCTGCCAATCAAAGCCCACTTCCGTCTCAAATAACTACAACTCTGTTGATCACCAAGAAAAGTAGCTCAACTTCGATGCTCGAAAAGAAAACAAATTTGAAAACTCCTCATTTGGAAATTGATTATCATCTTGAAACCATCGGAGCGGTTTGCTCGACTATTTATCGAAGAATCACCACCGAAACACTTGTAGCTGTCATGACAAAGATGTCGGAATGGGAATTTACTGAAAAGTACGTTCTGATTGATTGTCGGTACACTTTTGAGTACGCCGGAGGACATGTAAAGGTAAATCACTCTTATATTTTTGCTTCTGCCCACTCCAATGCGTTTTTCAGCACGCTGTTAATTTTTACGATTCGGACAAGGCCAAATCCTTCTTTTTTGACAGTGAGGGTAAGCGGAAGTTCCATCAAGTACCAATTTTCTACTGTGAATACAGTCAGAAAAGAGGTCCGACCATGGCTTCTGCGCTCAGAGCTGCTGATCGTGGGCTTAATGAGAATATTTATCCGCGATGCGCTTATGAGGAAATGTATGTATTGGATGGTGGATTCAAAAAATTTTTCAATTTCACAAGAGACTCGACGTCTACGGTTAATCAAAATGTATCTACGTGCATCAGTTCACATCCTCGTTTTAGGTTCTATGCGAGCCCGATAATTATGTTCAAATGCTTGATCCACGCTACTCGGAAGAACTGAAAACGTTCCAATTCCACAAGAAAATGTCCCAAAAACTGCTCGTGAGAACTTCTAGGTAGGAAAAGTGAATTCACAAAAATGTATTCCGTAGCAGAACAGTTTTCAGGTCAGCAAGTTCCATCACGCTTGAAAAGTCTACTGCTGCTACCCCAGTCTCCACCTTGCAAAGGTCTTCTAGCAGTGTGACTTCAATTTTGGAGAGAAAACGTTTGTGACAGTTTCGTTTCAAGCAAAAAAATCCCGGTTTCTTTTATTATCGGTACTGAAGATTATTGCATGTTTGTGAAATGCTTCCAATAGTATTCCAGCATGTTATTTGAATCTTTGCTAATAAACTTTTCTTCTCAATATCCATATTTGCATTTTTTCATTCCCTTAATACCCTGCAAGTAACCAATTTTTAAAAAAAATCTACAAATCAGTGGTTTCTTCCACAGTCCATTATAACTTCGGCATATCAAATTCAATGACATATTTATTAGATTCCAATGCAAATTACTTTTTGAAAAATCGAACTGGGAGTGCTTGTAAGATTTGGATAAATCGGGAGGAAAATAAAAAATCGATAGAATCTATGTACACGGGGTTTACCAATACAATAAATTAATCATGTAATGGTGCGAATAATGCGAACTTTACCCGATAGAATATTCCTTTCATGTTTGAAATTATTTATTTCCAGCGAAATATTTCTTCGTTTGTTTGCAATCGCGTGGAGTTGATCATTAAGTCGTCTTTTCTGATTTAAGGAGGCTTTCCTCCACGCTTCGTTTACTTTATTGTACTTTGCAGTGAGCTCTTCAAGACTGGCAGTCAAGTGGAAAATTTGACGTGTTTTGCGCAAAATCTCTGGTTTGTTGTTTTGCAACCAGTCTGGCAATCCGCGACATGCAGCCATAACTGAAAAATTCTCATCTGAATTATCATCCATTAATTTCCTTTTTTTTAATGTTGTGTACGTCGTTCGAGGAATGATGAAAAATTTAACTCACGTTCTCTTTCTAGGTCATCTTCATCAATAACTCTGAGTTGCTGTTCTGCGCGAACATTTCGAGCTGTACCAGGTTCTTGGACAATTCGAGGAGCTGACATCTGAATTCCGTAGGCAACTTCTTCTGGAACTGAAATCGGATCTGCGTTCGACTCCATAGCTTCGATTTCCTCTTGTTCATGTAGAAAAACTGCAGGAGCACGAATGTCCTCGATTACCTCCATAGTTTCCTTTGCTCTAGCAAGTTCAGATTGATCAAGTTCGTCGCAGAACACGATATGCTCCCCGTCAGGAAGACGTCCGTCTTGATTATTGATCGGAACGTCTTCTATCTTGCTGTTAACTTGTTTGGCCACTTTCATAGCACATCCCTTTTGCGGTTCGCCAGTTAAAACCTGAAAATTGAATTTATTAGAGTGGTACTCGAAAAAATGAACTAAGCAGAAATCATGATCAAGTGTTTGACGTTTTCTCACTTACGTCATATTCATGTTGTAGTGGGCGGAAAATGTGCGTGGGTGGGTTGAGGTTGAATACAAGACTAAAACAAGAACGAGGATTATCATAGTTATCAACACAGTTAAACCATACTTTTCGGATTGATCGTACTCTAAATAGGACGATGTACAAGAGAAGATTATATTGGATCGTGAAACCAGAAGCCAGAAAGGAAGAAGCCCGTTTAATAGCATGCGGACCCAAACAAAGTTGTTGTGCTTGCAGTAATCCCAGAAAGTCTCGTCAGTCAGGAAATCTGGAATTTTTAAAATTGACAATAGACTACAAATATTGGGTCGGGTTTACCAAACGTTATTTTCAGATGACAAGTTTTTGGATGTACCAGCAAGCTGGCTTCGTACTGAAAACAATTGATATCAATGCAATTGTAATGTTTTTGACGTACATGAGTGTTAATAAGATCAAATCCTGCATCAAAAGAAGCGTAGAAGTGTTTAGTTTCCGCTTCTTGTTTATCGACTTTGACCTTGCACCAAGTGTTTTGATGTCTTGGGTTTTTGCGAAGGACAAAGACAAAAACGCTGAAAAAATAAATTTTAATGATTGTTTAAGAGGCGATTCCTGAAAAACTAGAAAAGCGGATGGCACAAAAAATTCAGATTGATCCTACTTGTCCCATCTTATAACCATGAGGTTCTCTCATGACACTGACACCCAAGAATAATATTTGGTCCGGCTCTGCGAGCCCTGGTCGGAGCACTGACTCTAAGTACCTCTAAACTGTAACTTTTTTCAAAAAAATCCTATCGACTCAGGCTTAACGCCATTCGATTTCTCGCATCTTTATGAGCATATTTTATGTCGAGACCAAAAATTTAGCACCCCTCATTCATAGAGAAAAAATTGATTTGTGGTCGTTTTCAAAATTTTTTTTGAAAAAACTCGATTTTCTGGAAAAAATGTGCACTTTTTTCCAAAAAGAGAACGTTGAATTCGGATTCTACAGACAATTTTACACCCGCATGACTAGTTTCCAAACAAAAAAAGGGTTGACTCCGGAGTGTTTCAGCCCAAAATACGTGAAAATCGGAGTAATTTGCATAGTCTTTTTTTCCAAATTCTGAAAAATCTGGGTTTTCTTGATTATAAGACCGTTTTGAGACATCTAAATGTTGTTTTCACGCATTTCCGATTTTAGGATCAATCTGAATTTTTCGTGCCATGACCAGTAGTGGCTATGTCGATTTTCTGGGAGAGCGCCTCTTAATAGCTGTATAACTAACTCTGGATAATTAAGATCTTGTGATTGTTGTTCGTCGTTTTCCTTAAAGTCTCGGAAATTTTCCGAGAATTGCATCATTTCAGCGTCGAAGTTTTTAGTTTTGAGGAATAGACACGGCTCAAATTCTATCTGCAGTGGAGGAACCATCTGTAACAGACATTCTTCAATTTTAGAATTCAGTATGTGATTCTGAAACTCACATGAACACTCTCAATGTTCTGAAGTGGAATAGTGCAGTAAGTACTACTAGAGGAACTAAATTCAACTCTTGGAAAGTCGACATCCATCACAAAGCAGAGTTGTGCGAATTGAGAAGTTTCAAGTTCCACTCCGCAGTAGTAAACCTGCTCGCAGAAGAACTGCAAAAATTCAAAAAATGATTAGCAATGAGAAAATGTCTTACGTTTATCCCGATAGTTTTATACTCTTGTTGAAAACACGAACCAATAATGTTAATCACTTCAGACGGGGCCACACTGATAAGTTTCTGCCTCTTCTGGAAGTCGCAAGTTGCTTGCGAACCCGCGATTTTGATTTCTGCTGCTGCCTCTTCCTCCGCTTTCACTTCCGTTTTGGGAGATCGAACTGGAGTGTCGATACCTACGACGTCGATATACTCGTCACTTTCGTAATACTCTTCTTCTTCGGAGAAATCATCAGGTTCACAGGCCGATGAGGTGCACGGCTGCTTTTCTTCAAATGAATCGGAGGTCTCCACAATTTCTTCGTGATGTGGTGGTAAAGTCAAATCAACAAAATCTTGATGTCCACAGTCTTCTGCTGTCGCATTGACGATTTTCTCTATTAAGAAACGTAACCCACTTGAAGCCTCAGGTTCAGGTCGCTTGATCGGTTCACGTTCCATTTGTAGCATACCTGGATCTTCTTGCTTAACCCGCTGTGGATTTCTATTCTTTCTACGGCGACTCCCTTGCACATCTCCATTATTCTTGCCTTGGTTTTGATGACTTGCCAATGCTTCCTGAGTTGACATCCAACTGCCACATTGCAGTTGAGATTTCTCTTCATCATCGCTGGATTTGAAGCATCCGTTTTCCGAGGTGCTCGCAATCATCTCCGCATCTTGACGACTATTTCTAATATTATTCGAAAGTGGGTCCAAATAACCAAACGGCTTCAATCTCTTGGCCGAGTCTTGTGGTTGAATCAGTTCTTCGGAAGCTGTTTCCGACAGAGGCAATAATCCCACGAGTTTGAGCAGTAATTCATTTGAAGAGGTGGCGTAATCTGCTGGACTTTCTTCGTAAACACTGTATTCTTCTTCCACGGGAATTTGAGGCTCGGCAGGAGGTTTTCGGCGTCTGTAGACTCGTTTTTGTGGCGGATTTAGATTGTAGGCGGCAGCTACACTAGCAGCTTCCATCGTCTGCTGATCTTCGAGCTGTTGCTCCAATCGACATTTTTCGAGCAATTCTCTCACAGTGTTCTCCAATAACGCAGGGTCCTGAGGTTGACTTCCTTCACCTGGATGCTCTTTGAAGCTGAATCTTTCGAGTCTTTTCAGTGCCGCGGCTTGCTTCTCCTCTGCTTTCACTTGCTTCTTCTGTTGTCGCTTGAGCATCCTTTCAGCGGCTCTCCTGGCTTTCGCGTTCTCCTTTTCCTTCTGCTTTTGCAATTTTGCTTGCTCCTTCTGAATCCTATTCCGCTCCTTCTGATCTATTGTTGAGCCAACCGAGCTTCCTCCTTGTGCAACTTCATCGACAATTTGCTGTGTGGCTCGTGATGCAGCTTCAATATCCCTCTCCTCTTGTTGACGCGTTTCAGATTTTGCTGTCTCTGATTGTCTCATGAACTCCTCCACGTGATGTCGTTCTTCCGCTTTCTCCTTGGCCTGCTCGCTGAGTGATTGATATTCTGCATCCAGGGTTGCCAGTTTTCTTGTGCATTCTTCTATAATCTCGAGAGCTTTCGGTTCTTTCTGGATATTTTTCGTTTCGTATTCAATAACTCGGTTTAGATTCTCGATTTCTTGCTCTTTCGCTCTCATAGCTTCCATGATTCGATGTTCAGCGCATAGGAGTGTACTCCATAGAGAGTCTAAATGTTCAAAATATTACGAAGCTGCTAAATTATTTTTCTACTTGCCATAATCTTGCGGAATTTCTGGTTCCGTTGTTTGTTGGACAGAAAATTGAGACGTTTGCGGTGGCCCGAAATAAGACAAAGAATTGCTCTGGATGGCTGGTACTTGCTGTGGTCTGATTCGTCCGCCGGCTAGATCTGGATATTGATCCATCTGGAGTTCATGGGTGATTCCGGAAGATGAGGAGGGTTCCGCCAAATCAGAAAGTACCTACAAGCAATAATGTTATTTCGGAGCGTACAGTGAGCATAAGCGCATATTTGAGACTATTGTTTGAGAAAAAACATGTGGATATGCTCTAGAAATGATCACGTTAGCAGAAAAAAAACAACGGCGGATTCAAATATCGTCAGCGACATCCACTTACATTTCCGATTCCATTCATTTGATCCGGCTGTCCTGGTGCTGAGTTTCCTCTCCCAAGACTGACGTATCTGATTTGCTGAGCGCCTCCTCGACCTATTCCCAATCCAGTTGCTGTGCCTGCTCCATATTCCCTCATAATTCCTGGTCCCATAGCTGGAATTGATCCTGGACCCAATCCAGGAAACATTTGTCCGAGTTGAGCCGGATGTCCTGTGAAACCAGGTGGTATCGTAACTGTGTGGATCGGCTTCGGTAGAGATGTGATCGAATGAACCGAGAACATCATGTTTGTGTGATGTTGGGGAACCGCGTTATGTTGATGCGGCATGGAAATTGGAAAGCCGTTAAAGAAAATTGGATATGCACGGTTCGCAGGTTGAGGAGCAGGTTCGGTGTTTGTCTGATATAGTGCAGGAACATTCAGTTGGTAAGTTGGATTCACTTCACTTTGCTGAGTGACTCTCACAGCTTCATTGTTCGGTGGTATCTCTGAAAATCAACGCAATAATCACACAAACTTAACGTATTCCACATACCATGTCCTGGTAATGACTCGCTTCTTCCGTTTCCTCTCCCGATTCCTCTTTCAATTCCTTTTCCATCTCCTCTTCCAATTCCTCTGCCGATTCCTCTTCCAATTCCTCTTCCAATTCCTCTTCCGATGCCTCTGACCATTCCTCTGCCGATTCCTCTGCTGATTCCTCTTCCAATTCCTCTTCCGATGCCTCTGACCATTCCTCTGCCGATTCCTCTTCCAGAGCCTCTTCCGATTCCTCTCCCAACGCCAATGCCTAGTCCTGGATCAACCGAAGTGCTGAGCACTCCCTCCTGTCTGTCCACAACTTCTCGTCCGTACTCCATGAGATCCTCCGCAGTGAGCCGTTGTCCGTCTGAATGGTTTTGCGAGATTCGCTGCACGACTTCACGTAGTGACACGTTGTTTGCCACTATTTCTTCAGCTGACACCAGTGGAAACAGAATAGGGCGACCGTCGCCGGCGCCGTTCATCGTCCACAAGATTGAATCGCTATGAATGCGCTTGAACTTGAGTTCAGTTGATGACTTTTTAATTACCTGAAATTAGAAAGCTAACGGAGCGGATGACAAAAACTGAGGAAGAGTAATAAGGAGGAGAAGCTGACAGACAAGCAAAAACCGAATATCCTATACCTATTTTACGTTGCAAAGCTAGATACTGTCACTATTTGTGAAATTACAGTAGCCACACGACGGAAATCTCTCTTAGACGGCCGCATGGAGAAAGTTAGGCCACGGAAAAGGAAACCTCGGCCAGCAATGACTTAGCGGAGAATAAACAGAACTATTCAGCTATAATCGAGTTTTTGGACTAAAGAGGAAGCTTGTCATCTAGCGAAAGTGTGAGGTAAGGTGTTGCATAATTAATAAGTTATAATCATCAGTAAATTTTTTTAAATGCGTAAATAACTTGAGAAGATAGGCGATAAGCTGTTGGCAGTTTCGGTAGCGCTTTCTGTTTCGATGACCTTTTATTGTAACAATACAAAGATGATAGAAGCGTTGGTATCGATATCAAATGAAGGGGAAAGCAGCGGGCTGGCGCGAGTTAGAACAGAAATAGGACACGCACAACCGTCCCCATGATGTCTCTGCGCATCTTATCCCTACAGCATGCCTCATGTCTCTCTCTCTTTGCCCCATCCATTTTTTGTTGCCCTCTTCTCTGCCCAGTATATTTCGTCGATATATCGATTGCCGAGTTCATGTCGTCGTCGTCGCCACCGCGCTTCGCTCGCTTACACTCACACACCGCTCACCACGCTCACGAGAAGGACCGTGCGTTAGGAAGAGACAACGGACGGCAGTGCCAGTGACGGCATTGTAACGGGGCAATCGATGCGGCGCAATGAAAAAGTAGGCGACAGATAAGAGAGCAGGCAGGCTTGCAGACACCAATGAAATAGCACCTGTTATCAAGAGATTTTTTCTTTAAAAAAGTAGCCGCGCGGGCAGCGGACATGGACACTTTTGAGAAGCGTTCAGAGGTTCGCCATTTGACGAAGGGAAATTGAAAGAATGAAAATAAGAGAAGAGAATTGTGCACGAGAAATTAATTGATGAATAAAGGAAGGAAAGCTTAGGCCATTTCAGGCGAGCACTGATAGCAAAACTCAAAAGGGTTGCTTTCGAATTCTGCTTATGATTACAAAGGAGAAACATTTGAATGCGGAGAATAGACCGTTGAATAGTTCTCTGAAGATAGAGCTGTGGCAATATAATGCGTTGCAAATTTTTACGGCCACTCTCGTTGTGCTCTTCCACGTGGCGCTCAACAAATTTTCGACTCGGAGACTTCAAAAGATTATATTTAGGACACGTTACGTTACGTATTGGTTATCTCGGTAGCGATACCCGCATAATGCAACAAAACGCGCAACCTTTCGTTTCTATAGTGATCCCGTCTCATCATTGACTCCACACGCACTCTATTTCTATCTCTCTTCTCCATAACTTCATGCAGCAAAGAATGAAACCAACGAACAATTTATCAATGATACTTGTGCCTAAGAGTAATGAACAGAAGGAATGGGTTTATCGTCTAGGCGATCGAAATGTGATAGCGTCCTGTGAGATAAAACTGAAAGATACTACTTGCACATGAGAAAATTGAGAGTGACTGCTTTCGTAGTTATAGAAATAAATTGGAACCAATAAAAAGAGACAAGGATAGGATGCATAGGATAAAGAGAAGAAAGGGATCAAAAACCACCCGAATGGTCCCACATTGTATTTGGCCATTTGCAAAAAAGGTCTTCTGGGCGATGTACTGAACCAGCGTCTCTCATGCATCAGCCGCCAATCCAACCCCCAAAACCACAGAGGACACAACGTCTTCTCGCACTAATCATAGTGATAAGTGGACAACGTCTCCGATCCGATCTTCACTTTCCAAAGCAAAATGTTGCGGGCGGATTCATAATGATAAACATAGTCAGAACGATGCCGAAAAAGGATTTGAGAAAGATTAGTAATATAAAGAAGAAGTACATCATGAACTTGTAAAGTGCACTGCTATGCTTGTCTAATCCAGGCATGGTATATCAGTAAGATCCTTTGATATATCAGTATGATCACCTTCAAATTCAAATTTCATTTATTCATCGCAAAAAAAAGAAACACCGGTAAAAGAGGGGAACACTAGAAGGGGGTATGGCTGCAAGATGAATAGGAAAAGAAGGGAACCATCCCCGCAAGAGGAGGGCGCCCTTGGTAGCGGGTACAGGATAGTAAGCATTAGCAGTGGAGTTAATATTTGACAATTGAGATATCTACGAGTGACTGAAATTGGGAGGGGGAAAGGAAGGAATTGCAGTTTTTGACGATAGCATTCCAGAAGGGGACACGTTGATTTATTCACATAGCAGTTAAAGTTTGGAAAAACGTTGAAACTTTTTGAAAAGCGTTTGCTCACCAAAAGATATCGGCTCGAAAATTGACTAAAAATTAAATTTCCCTGTTTTACAGTCCCTAAACGATTATTCAAAAGTCTGACCACAAAATCCTCTTCTCAGTCTATCAAAATGATTTCTTCATCTTCCACTAGTAGAAACATTGTGAGTTTTTAAAGGACCAGGGAACCCAAAAATTTTTTGATTAATTTGTGAAATTTTTTTGTGACTGTTTGAATTGTCTCTTATTGCCTCATACATTGGTGAAATGCTGCCTCTCAAAAATGCCAATGAACGAAACGGCATGCAGTTGAAGTTGTGGCCGTGGCCTAGCGCCAATGGCCGAAAAATATATAAAAATATATGCGCTTCTCGGCGATTTTATTTTTTCCGCTTTTTTACCGGTTTTTTTCCAAAAATTCACGGTTTCTCCCATTTTGGCACTTCATATCGACTGAATGAAAACAATTTTTTAGCAGTGAAAAAATAAGTAAGTGCCGAACAGATGTCAATCAACTGAAAAATGGGAGAAACCGTGAATTTTTGGAAAAAAACCGGTAAAAAAGCGGAAAAAATAAAATGGCCGAGAAGCGCATATATTTTTATATATTTTTCGGCCATTGGCGCTAGGCCACGGCCACAACTTCAACTGCATGCCGTTTCGTTCATTGGCATTTTTGAGAGGCAGCATTTCACCAGTGTATGAGGCAATAAGAGACAATTCAAACAGTCACAAAAACATTTCACAAAAACATCATAAAATTTTTGGGTTCCCTGGTCCTTTAAATAATGCAGTTTAAAACCAATTTTCAAACAAAACTTACAGACTTCCCCGGACTCCGAAGACCACGTCGTTTTGGCGAGAAACATTAAATCGCGCAATGATAACTGGATCAATTTTGTCAATGTTAGTCGAGTTTATTTAAAAAATGCACGTCCTTTATTTATTATAGAAGAGTAACAATTACCAAGAGCAAAACGGGCGATTCATCTCAACGCACCATGTGACGGCGGGCACCTTGTGCAAATTTTTCATTTTGAAAAAGAACATAATTGTAATAGTCAAAACGAAAACTGGCGCAATGCCAGTCAAGCTGGAAGTTAGTGAAAAATGACGTTCGTTTTAAAAAACGAGTGAAATCTTTGAAGGTTGTCGGCCCCGAACTGCTGCAAGCACGTGAAATGGACAACACAAAAGAAGTGAATTCACTCACAACAATCAATTTCGACGACATCATCAAGGATCCATTTCAAGTGGAGAGAGAACTGAAGTTAGTTTAGTTAATAGTAGTACTTTCTGAAATAAAAAAACGTTTTTGATTAGTCTGCTGCATTTTGCAACATTGTCGCTCAAAACTGATCCTTGAGCAAATGAGGAGAATTTTTATGTGAATCTACTAGCTAGTTGGCATCCGCGGGAGTGACTGTCAAGAACAGAACCTGTGAATTTAACAAAACAATAATTCGTTTTCCAGGCATCTTCCAAATAAATATAGAATTAATTTCCTTTCTCCGGACTTCTACAAAGTCCGTGACCTGCACGAAGCGGCGAAATTCTTGGACATGGAAGTTTGGAGTGTGATCAAGGAAGGCGACATCTTCGAGTATCAACTGCCGGAGTTCCCTCAGTCGGTCAGCCTTGCAAAAGTGCTCAAAAATCATCGCGGACTGCTGTTGATTCAGTTTGGAAACGTGAGTATTATTCATAACAATTCGTAGGAATTTTCGTTAACTAAAATTTAGGAGCAAAGATGGGTACACATGTTTGATCCGCTCAATCACAGCGTCGGATGGGTCCAGAAGCAAGCCACGCACGATCACTGGAAACCTTTCGCACAAGACGTGAGTTGTGTTTTAAATGTCTACAAAATTATGAAAAAAAAAGAATATTTTTCAGGTTCAGTATGTGGAGGGCTATTCTGCAGATTACGTGGCTTCAATCGCAGACAAGATTGTTCCATCATTTGTATTCCGGAACAATACAATGCACAAACACCGATTGCCAGTAAGTTTTTAAGTATTATATGCTTGTTAGATTCTCAGAACCGTGTTAAAGTTTTCGTGTTTCTTGCTAACAACTACATTTTCGTTTTAGAAATTTAAGTAGGGTCGAACAAACAGAGAAATAAAGAAACGTACCCGGGAAGACTTTTAATAATAAGAATGATGTTTAAAGGTGAACACAATGCTCTGCGTTGCCGACGAGAAGTTCAATTCATTTTGGTACGCGCACGTGGTTGAGGCATCGGTAAACAAGGAGTTTTTCTTCTTCCTGAAACTTGGAAAAAAGTACATCAAAGACACACGAACTGGCGTAAGATATCATCCACGTCCACTGCTTTTTTTACCGACAATATCTCAGAACCCAGTTTTTTTCCACATCTACGACCCCCGCATTTTTTCGCCGTCTATACTATTGGAAGCTGGGATTCAAATTCAACTCGACGAAAGCATTCCTTGTGGACGGAACGAGAGCAAAATCTTAGCGTATGCCAAAATGCTCATGAAACAGGGAGTGAGTTTTGTTTATCAAAATTTTTAAGAGTTAGTAGTGATAGTCACAAAAACGTTACAACGATCAACATAGTTATCCTAGCTCACGCTTGAGATAAAAAAATATTTTGTGACTAGAAAAATGCAAACTCAAAAAATCGAATCTACATGGAATGGCAAACTAACTAATATTTTTTACAGCCCATCGCAGGCGCGATCGTAGACGAAATCGGGAGTCATGGTCTATTCTGCGTCAAATATTTGGAGAAAAGAGAGATTTCACAGGAAGCAGCACTCGAAAATCATGAAAACCTGCGATTTGTTGAGGTGACTTCGTAATTTATGATTCACTAAATATAAACGAAATCTTAGATTATGCGGACGTCGCCAAGTGGCTCACAGATGTGTGCGGCGGAAGTAAAAGGGTTCAACAAATGGATGATGCGGATGAGGGTTGAAGACGAAGAAGATGACATTTACATGCACGTCTTGTTAGTTTATTACAGCGAAAATAACTCTAAAAGGTTACTTTCAGCGATCCGAAAATATTCCATGTTGGCTCTGCTCTCGATATGGGGATCGGGATCCAGTTCAATGAAAGAGAATTTATAAAAAATGTCAGAAAATGGTGAGTTTTGTGAAGCATGAGGTCCGACTGGACCGTTTCAAACGCCAATGCATTTCAGATTCAGAGGAAAAGGTGTAAAGCACGAAGAACATTTTGAAAACAATCCAGACTCGATTCAGCCTTCCGATGGATATCATGAATAAGTTCTTCTCACTTTTGTACGGTTTTCTTTAAGTGAAAACTGTTTGGAAGGAAACTTTTGTAAATCGTGAGAATCTTCACCTCAAAACGCCTTTTGCTCATGTTTCTGAGTGTCTTTCCATTACAGTATCCTTTTTTTATTACTACGTTCTTCTATTCTTTATTATTCTATCGTTGTATCATATTGATTACGGAATATTTGGCTATCAATGTAACGGTTTTTAGTTAGTTAATTAAAGTTTAAAAAATAAAGAGAAATACTGGAAAAAAAAAAAAAGAACAGTGAAAACTTTTCAGTACCGCAAGAAGGACAATTTGGAGCGGCTTTAGCATCTGCATGGAGACGGTTTACTGGGGAGGCAATGGAAAATCATTAAGAAAAAATATGTCTAAGGAACTGAGTGAACGAATAAGGTCTGAGAGAGCCCTGAAAAAGGCTCGGAAGGTTGTCCTGAAAAGGATTATCTTATCTGGTAATTTCTGAGAGAGCCCTGAAAAAGGCTTGGAAGGTTGTCCTGAAAAGGATTATCTTATCTTGCAAGGTCTGAGAGAGCCCTGAAAAAGGCTCGGAAGGTTGTCCTGAAAAGGATTATCTTATCTTGCAAGGTCTGAGAGAGCCCTGAAAAAGGCCCTGAAGGTTTTCCTGAAAAGGATTATCTTATCTGGTAAGGTCTGAGAGAGCCCTGAAAGATAATCCTTTTCAGGACAACCTTCCAAGCCTTTTTCAGGGCTCTCTCAGAAATTACCAGATAAGATAATCCTTTTCAGGACAACCTTCCAAGCCTTTTTCAGGGCTCTCTCAGAAATTACCAGATAAGATAATCCTTTTCAGGACAACCTTCCAAGCCTTTTTCAGGGCTCTCTCAGAAATTACCAGATAAGATAATCCTTTTCAGGACAACCTTCCAAGCCTTTTTCAGGGCGCTCTCAGACCTTACCAGATAAGATAATCCTTTTCAGGACAACCTTCCAAGCCTTTTTCAGGGCTCTCTCAGAAGTTACCAGATAAGATAATCCTTTTCAGGACAACCTTCCAAGCCTTTTTCAGGGCTCTCTCAGACCTCACCAGATAAGATAATCCTTTTCAGGACAACCTTCCAAGCCTTTTTCAGGGCGCTCTCAGACCTTACCAGATAAGATAATCCTTTTCAGGACAACCTTCCAAGCCTTTTTCAGGGCTCTCTCAGAAGTTACCAGATAAGATAATCCTTTTCAGGACAACCTTCCAAGCCTTTTTCAGGGCTCTCTCAGACCTCACCAGATAAGATAATCCTTTTCAGGACAACCTTCCAAGCCTTTTTCAGGGCTCTCTCAGAAGTTACCAGATAAGATAATCCTTTTCAGGACAACCTTCCAAGCCTTTTTCAGGGCTCTCTCAGACCTCACCAGATAAGATAATCCTTTTCAGGACAACCTTCCAAGCCTTTTTCAGGGCTCTCTCAGAAGTTACCAGATAAGATAATCCTTTTCAGGACAACCTTCCGAGCCTTTTTCAGTGCTCTATCAGACCTTACCAGATAAGATAATCCTTTTCAGGACAACCTTCCAAGCCTTTTTCAGGGCTCTCTCAGAAATTACCAGATAAGATAATCCTTTTCAGGACAACCTTCCAAGCCTTTTTCAGGGCTCTCTCAGACCTCACCAGATAAGATAATCCTTTTCAGGACAACCTTCCAAGCCTTTTTTTCAGGGCTCTCTCAGAAGTTACCAGATAAGATAATCCTTTTCAGGACAACCTTCCAAGCCTTTTTCAGGGCTCTCTCAGACCTCACCAGATAAGATAATCCTTTTCAGGACAACCTTCCAAGCCTTTTTCAGGGCTCTCTCAGAAGTTACCAGATAAGATAATCCTTTTCAGGACAACCTTCCGAGCCTTTTTCAGGGCTCTCTCAGACCTTACCAGATAAGATAATCCTTTTCAGGACAACCTTTCAAGCCTTTTTCAGGGCTCTCTCAGACCTTACCAGATAAGATAATCCTTTTCAGGACAACCTTCCAAGCCTTTTTTTCAGGGCTCTCTCAGACCTTACCAGATAAGATAATCCTTTTTCAGGACAACCTTCCAAGCCTTTTTTTCAGGGCTCTCTCAGACCTTACCAGATAAGATAATCCTTTTTCAGGACAACCTTCCAAGCCTTTTTTTCAGGGCGCTCTCAGAAGTTACCAGATAAGATAATCCTTTTCAGGACAACCTTCCAAGCCTTTTTCAGGGCTCTCTCAGACCTTACCAGATAAGATAATCCTTTTCAGGACAACCTTCCAAGCCTTTTTCAGGGCGCTCTCAGAAGTTACCAGATAAGATAATCCTTTTCAGGACAACCTTCCAAGCCTTTTTCAGGGCTCTCTCAGACCTTACCAGATAAGATAATCCTTTTCAGGACAACCTTCCAAGCCTTTTTCAGGGCGCTCTCAGAAGTTACCAGATAAGATAATCCTTTTCAGGACAACCTTCCAAGCCTTTTTCAGGGCTCTCTCAGAAATTACCAGATAAGATAATCCTTTTCAGGACAACCTTCCAAGCCTTTTTCAGGGCGCTCTCAGAAGTTACCAGATAAGATAATCCTTTTCAGGACAACCTTCCAAGCCTTTTTCAGGGCTCTCTCAGACCTTACCAGATAAGATAATCCTTTTCAGGACAACCTTCCAAGCCTTTTTCAGGGCGCTCTCAGAAGTTACCAGATAAGATAATCCTTTTCAGGACAACCTTCCAAGCCTTTTTCAGGGCTCTCTCAGAAATTACCAGATAAGATAATCCTTTTCAGGACAACCTTCCAAGCCTTTTTCAGGGCTCTCTCAGACCTCACCAGATAAGATAATCCTTTTCAGGACAACCTTCCGAGGCTTTTTCAGGGCTCTCTCAGAAATTACCAGATAAGATAATCCTTTTCAGGACAACCTTCCAAGCCTTTTTCAGGGCTCTCTCAGACCTTACCAGGTAAGATAATCCTTTTCAGGACAACCTTCCAAGCCTTTTTCAGGGCTCTCTCAGAAATTACCAGATAAGATAATCCTTTTCAGGACAACCTTCCAAGCCTTTTTCAGGGCTCTCTCAGACCTCACCAGATAAGATAATCCTTTTCAGGACAACCTTCCGAGGCTTTTTCAGGGCTCTCTCAGAAATTACCAGATAAGATAATCCTTTTCAGGACAACCTTCCAAGCCTTTTTCAGGGCTCTCTCAGACCTTACCAGATAAGATAATCCTTTTCAGGACAACCTTCCAAGCCTTTTTCAGGGCGCTCTCAGAAATTACCAGATAAGATAATCCTTTTCAGGACAACCTTCCAAGCCTTTTTCAGGGCTCTCTCAGACCTTACCAGATAAGATAATCCTTTTCAGGACAACCTTCCAAGCCTTTTTCAGGGCTCTCTCAGACCTTACCAGGTAAGATAATCCTTTTCAGGACAACCTTCCAAGCCTTTTTCAGGGCTCTCTCAGAAATTACCAGATAAGATAATCCTTTTCAGGACAACCTTCCAAGCCTTTTTCAGGGCTCTCTCAGAAATTACCAGATAAGATAATCCTTTTCAGGACAACCTTCCAAGCCTTTTTCAGGGCTCTCTCAGAAATTACCAGATAAGATAATCCTTTTCAGGACAACCTTCCAAGCCTTTTTCAGGGCGCTCTCAGAAATTACCAGATAAGATAATCCTTTTCAGGACAACCTTCCAAGCCTTTTTCAGGGCTCTCTCAGAAATTACCAGATAAGATAATCCTTTTCAGGACAACCTTCCAAGCCTTTTTCAGGGCTCTCTCAGACCTCACCAGATAAGATAATCCTTTTCAGGACAACCTTCCAAGCCTTTTTCAGGGCTCTCTCAGAAATTACCAGATAAGATAATCCTTTTCAGGACAACCTTCCAAGCCTTTTTCAGGGCGCTCTCAGAAATTACCAGATAAGATAATCCTTTTCAGGACAACCTTCCAAGCCTTTTTCAGGGCTCTCTCAGAAATTACCAGATAAGATAATCCTTTTCAGGACAACCTTCCAAGCCTTTTTCAGGGCTCTCTCAGACCTCACCAGATAAGATAATCCTTTTCAGGACAACCTTCCAAGCCTTTTTCAGGGCTCTCTCAGACCTCACCAGATAAGATAATCCTTTTCAGGACAACCTTCCAAGCCTTTTTCAGGGCTCTCTCAGACCTTACCAGATAAGATAATCCTTTTCAGGACAACCTTCCAAGCCTTTTTCAGGGCTCTCTCAGACCTTACCAGATAAGATAATCCTTTTCAGGACAACCTTCCGAGGCTTTTTCAGGGCTCTCTCAGAAATTACCAGATAAGATAATCCTTTTCAGGACAACCTTCCAAGCCTTTTTCAGGGCTCTCTCAGAAATTACCAGATAAGATAATCCTTTTCAGGACAACCTTCCAAGCCTTTTTCAGGGCTCTCTCAGACCTCACCAGATAAGATAATCCTTTTCAGGACAACCTTCCGAGGCTTTTTCAGGGCTCTCTCAGAAATTACCAGATAAGATAATCCTTTTCAGGACAACCTTCCAAGCCTTTTTCAGGGCTCTCTCAGACCTTACCAGATAAGATAATCCTTTTCAGGACAACCTTCCAAGCCTTTTTCAGGGCGCTCTCAGAAGTTACCAGATAAGATAATCCTTTTCAGGACAACCTTCCAAGCCTTTTTCAGGGCTCTCTCAGAAATTACCAGATAAGATAATCCTTTTCAGGACAACCTTCCAAGCCTTTTTTTCAGGGCTCTCTCAGACCTCACCAGATAAGATAATCCTTTTTCAGGACAACCTTCCGAGGCTTTTTTTCAGGGCTCTCTCAGAAATTACCAGATAAGATAATCCTTTTCAGGACAACCTTCCTAGCCTTTTTCAGGGCTCTCTCAGACCTCACCAGATAAGATAATCCTTTTCAGGACAACCTTCCAAGCCTTTTTCAGGGCTCTCTCAGACCTCACCAGATAAGATAATCCTTTTCAGGACAACCTTCCGAGGCTTTTTCAGGGCTCTCTCAGAAATTACCAGATAAGATAATCCTTTTCAGGACAACCTTCCAAGCCTTTTTCAGGG